TAGCTCAGTGGTTAGAGCATTTGCTTTGCATACGAGAGACCTGGGCTCAATTCCCAGCAGGGTGAAACCTTGGGCAAGTTTCCTTACTCCACACGCTTGATAATAATCCCTCAAGAAAAAAAAATTGGTCACTTCAAACCACGACTGTTTGTGGGACACTGCTGTGCGCAATTGGCTGCCGCATTTTGCCCACAAAAAATACAGTCAATTCACTTTACAGTCTATTCTGTGAAGCGCTTTGAGACATATAGAAGGCATGAAAAGCACTATATCAAATACAAGGATTATTATTATTATTATTATTTATTTGCTTTTAGTTACATTTTATTGTATTTCCTGGAATACTGCCTCCCAGCTGTCTGGGTACATCTAGATTCATAATCACTCTTAAATAACTCCTTCATTTACTGAAACTCTAGATTCTAATGAAAGTTTTTTGTATTTGTTTTCTTGGTTAAATCAAGCAACTTGGTGGTGCTTGGTACCTTGGCGGCAGGTCTGCTATATCAGTGTACCATGATGCAGGTATTGGTCATATTCTGATCCAGTTATAATACAGCAGCAGCTCTTAACTATTTACACTGTTCCATTTCAACACATGTTTATTTAATTTGTCTCTTCTGCCCTGCTGTATTCTTCCCCTGATGTTTTTGGAGGATGTCCATTTAATCTTGACAGTTTTATCCTTCAGTCTGTCACTAATTTTATAGTCCAATGTATAGTGTTTATGTACTATATTTGGGACGTCCTCTCGACGTGAAAGGGGCTAGACAAATGTAATTTTGTATTGTATCTTGGCCCTCATAGCTCTGAATCTGCTTATCCAAAGTTGTATGGTAAATGTTGGTTATGTGCTTGTGCTTTTTTGGTTGTGTAAGGCGTCGCAAGGGAAACTTGAGGATTTTTAACTCATGCTGTGGCCATGTAAAACAGGAGCAGTGGAAGGGTTCTCTGAATATGGCCAGCAAGGGAATACTTTGAACAAATGATATGCTCGAGAAGCAGCAGTAACCTAACATCCTGGGGTAAAAATCTCCTGGCAACTCCTGTCACATTCCAGCCTGAAGGATGGAATCCTCTAGAGTCTAGACAAGTTGTAGATAGAAAAAGTTAGGTTTTCGTGGTATTTTCTTAAAAACAATTCTTTTCAGAAGGGGAGCCAGAGGATACATGCTACACGGTTCAGAATTGAATAAGTATACATTGCAATTTCCCAGATAAACTAAACAGACAGTTTACGTTTAAGGTACTTTTCTGTAAATTTATTACGGTCTAAAACTCATCAATTTCACAGAATTTCCTAATGAGGAAATCTGAGTAACATATGAGGATTAATTTGCTCCTCAGATTTTCCTCATTAAGAAGTAACCAGAAGTAGGTCACTCCCACACTATGTACTTTCTGGAGCAAAGTTCTTCCCTAGGAGATGGCTACTGGAAGGAATTGCCAATTACCACTTGCACCCCTTTTTAAGAATTCCTGTTTAAAAATTGTTGCATTTTAGATCACACTGTGTTTTACCAAGGAGAAATACGGAAATGAATCCTATTTCTATAATTAGTCAGTCTGTTTGATGACACGTGGCATAAAAGGTTACCATACTTTGGTTTTGTTGTTCTCTACTCTTTTCTTCATCAGCTGCTCTGCCTTTTAGGAGTTACATTGGTTCTTTTAGTTTGGTTTTGAATACGGTGTTAATTCATGGTGGAAGCCACATATTGAAGTTGCCATGTCATGAGTAGAATGGGCTTAGATTTCACTTGCAATTTCTTCAATCGTAAATAATCAAGGTCTATTACACAACTTCTTCGTGCAGTTGTACTCCCAACTATCTGCACATCTGCGTTTCAATTTGTGTCAAGGTGCAATGCCAGCAAAGTTTGTTTTTAGTTTTGCGGATCCACAGGATGTTTTAAATCCAAAGTTTACGACAACAATTTGCATTTATACTTTGGCACACAAATGTAACCTGGCAGCATGAGTCATGTGGTTCATGAGCAATTTTTTACAGGTAGAGTGCAGGGTTATAAGTGGAAAGGTAAAAGAGTGGTCAGCCGGGTGTCTGACATGTGGAAACCCATCACCATACTTAATTAAGAGTCTCCAAACCAAGCTGAGATTTCAATGCATCCCACCTACACATGGAAATTCCAGAGATAGATTATTGGAATGTAATGCGCACTCTCTCCCTGGAGGGACGCTTCCTGCTTACCTAATTCCAGAAAGTTTTAGGTGCAGATTGGCAAGAGCCAAGTCTTGGGGACCTGAATGTGTGTTGGGGTACTGCTGGAGTTTAACCAGCTAAAACCACATAGCTTGCCTTGAAAGTACTATCTACAACAACAACAACAACAAGATTCCATTTATAAAGCGCCTTTCACGTCAGGAGGACGTCCCAAGGCGCTGCACAGTTGGGTCAGGACCCGAGCAGGGGGAAATGGTCAGGGTGAGGGGAGGGGAGGGAGCGAGGAGGGGGGAAATGGTCAGGGTGAGGGGAGGGATGGGAGGGAGCGAGAAGGGGGAAGAGAGTCGAGAGGGGAGCTGAAGGCTCGGTCAAAGAGAAAGGTTTTGAGACCGGCCTTGAAGGAGGAGAGGGAGGAAGTGGCGAAGGCACTGGGGGATGGAGTTCCAGAGCCTGGGGGCTGAGAGGCTGAAGGCCCGGCCACCGATAGTAGGGCGGTTGGGGCGGGGGACGTGGAGCAGACCAGAGCCGGAGGAACGGAGGGTACGGGCAGGTAGGTAGGGGGATAGTAGGTTGGAGAGGTAGGAGGGAGCAAGGCCGTGAATGGCCTTGTAGGTGAGGATGAGGATCTTGAAATCAATCCTCTGGGGGATGGGGAGCCAGTGGAGGCGAGCGAGGGTGGGAGTGATGTGGTTGCGAAGCCTGGTGCGGGACAGTACACGAGCTGCAGAGTTCTGAATGACCTGCAGCTTGTGGAGGGAGGTGGCGGGAAGGCCGGCGAGGAGAGAGTTCCCATAGTCCAGCCTTGAGGTGACAAAGGCGTGGACCAGGGTTTCAGCAGCGTGAGGGGTGAGGTAATGCCGTAGTCTGGCGATGTTCCGGAGGTGATGGAAGGCGGTGCCAGTTGTGGTGCGGATGTGAGGGAGAAAGGACAGCTCAGGGTCGAACAAAACGCCGAGGTTCCTGACTGGCTTTGCGAGGTGGAGAGTGCAGCCTTGGATGCTGATGGTGTCGGCGCCTGAGGTGCGGAGGCGCTGACGTGAGCCAATCAGGAGGGCCTCGGTTTTTCGCACGTTGAGCTGAAGAAAGTTGTCTCTCGTCCAGGACTCGATGTCGGACAGGCAGCTGTCAGGACATCGGTGGTCGTGGATGGAGTTGAGAGTAGAGGAGGAAAGGTAGAGTTGGGTGTCATCCGCATACATGTGGAAGTTAACTCCATGTCTGCGGATGATGTCACCGAGGGGGAGCACATAGCTTGCCTTGAAAGTACTATCTAGCAAGCTTTCCTGCTAATTGTCCAGCTAGGACCACCCTACTCATTGGAGCATTGCAGGGTTAACAGGAGCTGTGTGGGATGACTCTGCCCCCAGTGACTGATCTGCCCTTTCGATGAGTCTGTGCTGTCATCAGCAGTGCCCTGGAATACTACGGACCTTACTTAGCTCAAAATCTGGACGAGCGAGACCACCACGGAGGGTGGCTTGATTCCGACATTCCGTCCCAGGCACGTCACTTTGAAGCCAGTTCAGCACCAAGGAGATACCACTTAATCATAGAAAAACTGGGGGTGAGGTGGGGGACCAAGAGAGAGACAGAGGGGCTATCACAGTCTAATATCTTTGTGGCGATATACCTCATAATGGAAGAAGTATTAATTTGTACTCCCAACTAATTATGAGATGATCTATTTTCCTCACTTTTTTCCCTATCTACAGTGGGGCTGGTCTCGGTTACCATTGTTAACAGGTCTCTCTCTACTGTACAGTATTAAGAAGTCAATTAAAAAGACTGACGTACATGACTCATAAGAATAGTATCGTTAAGTGTGTACATGGTTTAATAAGGATCAAAAAGTAGATTGAAGAAAAACTGCAACAACCAGAGATGATCCAAAGATCTAAATCAGCACTTTACTCTTGTATTCATACCGTCATTATTTGTTATAGACTGCTATGTCTATTGAGCATCGATTTTATATATTTTATAAGCACAAAGCTGGATCCAGTTCCTTTTGTGCATGTGGGATCCGTAACCACACCAACCCCCCTAAACAAACACACACCACAAGCGGTTATATGTTCCGAGACACTGCCTCTTGTGAAGGGCGCTGTATAATTGCAAGTTGTTGTTCATCTTTTGCCCTTGGGCTTGAGTTCAGCCCTTCACTCACAGTCCTTTTCCTTTAAGGAGACAAGAATGATGTTTTCAATAAACACAGTTTCTGTGCAATGCTGCTGTAATTCTCTCGCAGAAGCAAATCAGTTGATGATGGTCTGGTGGCAATTATTTGTCAGTTTGTTGCTGCTGATCATGATTCCCAATGCTACTGTTGAAAGTAGTTTAAAGACTGACTTATTGCGACTTATTGGAGCATAATCATAAGTGGAAAGCTATTAACAGACTCTAATGGTTACATTAGCTTCACATTTCTAGTCTTATTTTAAAATATGCAAAAGTATCTATTATGTGCCTTACTTGAGTCTTTTCAGAATTACTGTCAATACAATGCAAATTAACATGTATTTACCTTTCAAGATAACAGTACTGTAGTACATTTTTTAAAATAAGAATAATGAAGAACAATGGGCTACATTATGTGAGGTAGATCAGGATGATCTTTGGACCTATATGTAGTACTGAAATGGCAATCAATATGTGTTGAAAGAAAGGGTGCTTAGCACCTAACTTGTTTCCCATGCGTTTTGAAATATTCACTTAAAAACATTGATCAGATGAACAGAATGTTTTGTTCAGAGACGTTTACTGTATCAGCAATTTGCCTGTGTGATTTTGCGATACACAATTTTGTTTTTCACAGGAAAACGGTCATATGGTCCGAGAAGTGGAAGTGGACAAAGTGTGCTTGTTCGCTACAAAATATGTGGAAGCAGTAAAACAATTATGGAATGACCCTGGGATCCAGGAGTGCTACGACAGGCGAAGAGAATACCAGCTGTCTGATTCCGCCAAATAGTAAGTAGTAAATGTCTGCCTTAAACTATGGTTCGCATGGATTAGACAGGAAGATGGGGATAAAATGTAAAAAGTATGGAAAGTTGATTGTGTAAATGTGCATTTAAGGCCTGAATATCGTAAAACACTTCATGTCCAATCCCCTGTACTAAACTGGTGTTTGTGATCTAAGCAAACCACTTTTTAAGGGTCACCCACCCGTATGTAAAGTAGTCTTGCTAGCCTTTATATGCAGCTTCTGGGCAGCAACTAAACATTCCTGGTTTCCACTTCTTTTCTATTTGGTTGCTCAATATACTTTCTAATGCAACACATCCATTGTTGAAATGTACTGTGAAACGATATTAAAACTGCAGGAAAAAGCTATAAGGTTATCTTTTTGATTTTCTATGTGTGAGTGAGGATGTTCTCTCCTGATTCTATTCACATTTCCTGTGTCAAAGGTCAGCCCGCTCCCAGAACATTACTGATATTAGGCTCTGTGGTGCGCAAAGTGACTCCCTTTTGTCAGTTTTTCACTCTGCCTTAATAGTTGCAAACATAAGAGAGGTAATTGCTATACAGAGAATTAGAGACAGGGTTTTCTTATTTACCTCTGTATTGTTGTAGCACCACCATATTTGTGATAAGTGCTCTGCTCTTACGTATTTTGGCAATGGGAAGATTCATATGATGTACTGCCTGATTAATTTGGGATTCCAATATGTAAACAAATTTTATAAGATACTTCCTGCCAAAGGTGACGTAAGATCTTCTGAAGATTTCAACGAGTTGTAAATGTAACACTGTCATGATGTATTGGGGTACAAAGTGAGAATCCTAATATCTGAGAATAAATTGCACAGAATTTTGGGTTTTTCAATCTGTAACACAACAAAATACTTACTACTATGTGGATGCAGGAAGAGTGCAAAGGTTTGAAACCAAGATCAGGCGACAGCAAAAACAAGCATCTATTTATTCTATTACTATTTTGTAAAGAAAGTTCCTTGCTTGTGTGCAATGTACCCAACATTTGTAGAGTGGTAGTTACTCTGGGGTCAAGGTTATCTTTTGCATAATAAATGTTCTGGAAATCAATCTGATGGAACTTTGTTTTATTTACAAGGGAAATGCAATAATCTAATCGCTCCACGTTTTATTAATTGTGTGATCCTGAATTTGTTCATCCTGGGTTTGTTTTGGGAGGGAGAGAAGGAAAGTAAAATTAGGCATCTCAGTTACAGATATGTGGAAATTAATAGAAATTTGCCATACCAGCCAGATGAAGTATTTAGCGAAGGCAGTGAGCATTATTTTTCTATTGGACTATGATGGGTGTGGCATTTCCTATGATTTTCATACTGGATTATTTTTGATTAAAGTCTGACATCTGGTGGACCATTTAAGAACTGGAAAATAAACTGGAACAAGTATCTACCGAATCAACTGCAAATAATAATTTCTGGTCAACTGTATATCTGACACATGCGCAAACCTACACATGAAAATTCTTGTGTTTGGAACAGGCTCGATTGCTGGCTATCACATTCCGGAGAGTATTCGGTACAGGTTGGCAACAGACAAGTCTCGCGGACCCCAATGTGTCAGTTGGGTTACTGCTGGAGTCTAACCAACTAAAATCACGTAACTTGACAGTGAGAGCAAAGTCTGGCAAATACGAATCATCAATTTCCTTCCATACATTCACTGCTTTCCCAATTTCCTCATAATAAAAAATAAAATTGTGCTCTTTGTGGTGGTTAATGCAGAGATGTCAGCATTTTATGAATTGCGTCTAACAATAAATGTTTGAGCCTTTTGTTCCTTTTTTTCCTTTATCATGTGCTTATTGGTTTTTTTGTTTAGGCTAAACAATAATTGTACATTTGACCAAAATGCTTCCTGTAACTCCGGATGATGATCCTCAGTTGGTATCTTCAATACATTGAATGATCACTTAAATCAACATGAAATATTGATTAACTGATTATTCAAATGGCTAGCTCCAGGTTTGGGCAAGTGAATGAGTATTAGACATGGTGTGACTGGTGAGCTCATGTGTCACACCATGCTTTTATTTTTTTTAAATTACAAGGAAGGTGCAAGGCCATCAAGCTATTATAGCTTCAAATACAAACATTTTCGCAACTTCTTGCAAGTTAAACTCTTGTACACAGCTCACTCTGTATCATGCATGTTTTCCTGTTCTTGACTGCATTGTGGCAGGGCCTAGGTTTAGGGTCCTGGGTGAGGAAGCATCTGGCACTCTGACCAATTAATCCAAATGGCTGAGAAATGCACATTAATCAAATGACACAACCTTTTCTCCTTCCTTTGAAACAGTAAGTGACAGCTTTAATTATTTTATAAAATGAATGGCACAAAGCTGTATTCTGTTTGTATTAAGGATCTGTTTCCCTCTGCAGCTACCTTAGTGACTTAGAACGCATTAGTTTACCAACGTATATACCAACCCAACAAGATGTACTGCGGGTCAGAGTTCCAACAACTGGAATCATCGAATATCCTTTCGATTTGGAGAACATAGTCTTCAGGTATGGGAACTGGCTGCTTGTATTTAGTCCACAAACTTTTGTAACAAAGAGGTTGCCTTGACAAAATAATCATACTGTCAAAAGTTGTGGCAGTATCTCATAGTGATGTGACATCTGATGGGCATCATTGAGAAGCTGTGCAGCACTGTACAGAGGATATAGATAACTTGCATGTAAGACATATGCCAATTAATTTGACTGCTCTACATTTCTCATTTTCAACTTAATATCTTCGAACAGATGGCAATGAATATGGAGCAGAAGGAGATGACTCCAAGGTTACTCTGGACTTCAGAAGTTCAGTTCAAGGAGTGTTGATTTGCATTGTATCTTGAGGTCCCTACAGGAATAATTTTTGTAGACTGTTAAAACTTGTCTGGCTGCTGAGAGGATCCTCATCTGGTCCTTGTGGAATAGCTTGCTTATCTCAGTGCTGTCTTACTCATGCCATGTCTTGCACCAGCTTGCAACGACTGTCCCTCCAGTGAAAGGGTTGATATGCCCAAGGTTCTCTTGAGTGGCGTGCTTTCTCCAGACTGCTAGTGCTAAGTGATAAAAAGCAGTTGTTTCATAAATGAAGCCGCTTGTAGCTAATAACAAGGCATAATGCCCTATTTAGTTCATGCCCAGAAAAAAATCTGCATAAAAGCCCATACCAAAATAAACAAACAATATTTTTGATACAAGACTAAAGAGATAATCACCTGGAGGTGAAACGTCAGCATAACCCTGACCATAATCCAGTATCAGTAAAATTATCGAAGCAGCTTGTGTTTGCAAACAAATCATGTGCACTTTGAATTACTTGGCTTTGATTAGAATGGTGTCTAGGCTTGCAGCTCCAAAGCAAATTGTCCTGCGTTGAATGTAGTGTGAATGACACAGCCTTGATCCTTATCTTTCAAACCATAGTGCATATGAAATTGATTGGAGGTGGGGAGATTCAAGTGCAACAAAGGGAAATGCTTTTATATTTGGAAGGAGACCCATTGTTATGCAGTTAGTTTTCTCCACATTAATCAAATTCTGGCAATAAACGTTCATGCTCTGCACCTGCTGTTTATAAAGCACTGGGGTGAAAAATGTCATATGACTGTTATCATTCTGTAATAATAATCCTAGCATATTTCATGTCAGGAGGATGTCCCAAAGCACTTACATGATTTACTATGAAGTAGAGTGACTATGTTTGTGGGCGAACACAACAGTCAATTTTGCGTACTGTAATTAGTCACCAACTTCAAAATTAGTCGCTGTTTGTGGGCCATTGCTGTCATAAATTGGCTGCCACATTTACTAATAAAATTCACAGTCAGACCACTTTACAGTATATTTTGTGAAGGGCTTTGAGAGATCTCGATGATGTGATAAGGCGCTACATGAAATGCAAGGATTATTATTTAATTATTATAAGATCTCACTCAGAAGGAACAAACGGTATCAGGCGTACAAATGTAAAATATACTGTACAGTAGGAGATGCTCTTCTGAGCTTTTGGAAATAGAAGAGGAAGCTTAACCCTTTATCTAATCCATGCTACACCTGATCTACAAGCACTTGATGCTGACACAGCATAATATAGTATAGTAGAGCTGTTACAACATGATAGTTGGGGGGGGTGGGGGGATGGTCTATAAATTCATTCAACGAACACTATAATGGGGATGAGTCTTCACTTTTACATTCACAGTGCGTACACACAGAAAGCTGGCTCACTTCAAAATGAAAGCCATTAGAACAGGTTTATAATGGACATGATATGTTCTGTATATGGTATTTCATTTCAGTGCTAATATCCCCCTGATTTTGATTACCAAAAGGGAGATAGCATCCACATTAGTTTTATTCATGCTTTCAGAAATGTGTGAGGGATGCTTATTAAAACCTGCAGTGTTGAAAGTGAAAGCAATATTTGACTCAAAGGCTATCAAGAATTAACTTTAGCAGGATTCTATTTGTGCTTTATGTCATTCAATATATTGAACAATTTGATTTAATCAGTGAATAATTCATGCTGTGCTGATTGATTTTTTACCCTGTTTGGATAGTGGATCAGGAAATATTCATTTGGTTTACTTTGCAGAATGGTAGATGTTGGAGGTCAAAGGTCTGAAAGAAGAAAGTGGATTCACTGTTTCGAAAATGTCACCTCAATTATTTTCTTAGTTGCACTAAGTGAATATGACCAGGTCTTGGCTGAATCTGATAATGAGGTGAGGATTTATTGGAATTGCTCTAATACAAACAATAGACTTTTTTTTACATAGAAGGGAGCCATTCACTGTTTTTCTAAGTTTTTCTAAAATTAATTCCTATTTCTAGTTCTTTTCCCATTGCCCTTAATGTTTTTCCGTCTCGAGTCCTTATCCAGTTCCATTTTGAATGATTCTGTTGGTGGGAATTACACACCCTAGCAATCAAGCTTCTGAGTGAACAAATTCATTCAGCACCTTGGGATGTCCTCCCAACATAAAAGGCACTACATAAATGCAATTTGTTGTTCTAATTTCATCCCTAATTTTCTGCTAAGAATCGTAAACCTTTGCCTCCATGCCATCATTTTTCCCAACTAAAGGAGTTGTTCCCATTTGTCTTGTCCTACCTCTTTACAATCCTTAACACCTCTATCACATCCCCACTCAATCCCCTTTATTGCAGTGGATAAAAAACCTAATTTAGTCAGTCTCTCTTCATATATGCACACACACACACACACACACACATACATTCATTCATTCATTCATTCATTACACTGGCTATTCTGAAGAGACTGCTTCTGGAGAGATTTTTGCTTTTAAATAAAGACATTTATAGCAATTATGGCAAGATCAGGTCTTGGTCAGGACTTAATTAAAGTATTAATCCAAAGTGATAGTTTTTTTTGTATAAAAACAAAGTTTGCATTTAGATCTATTTTGTTTCCTCCAAGTAACCACAATCTCAATAAATATGCTGTCTAATATTCATAGAAAGATGTTAACTCTCAGTGTCTCTGCTCACCTCTTGATTGTATTGCTTCAGCTTGCCCTTGGTTTTACAGTATACCTCTGATGCTGATCCACCTGTATTTCGTTTTGTATTTGTATAGATATGATTTGCACATGTTGCTTAATACATATATTAGTGTACATGCTTGTACCACTTGCATAATAGATTACTGTTCTAATTCTGTCAATTATTGATCACATCTTAATCATTTTTAGTATAAACACTTTGTTCAAACCACTGAATGTTATGCTTGGTCAATGTTTCTTTTAGAATCGAATGGAGGAGAGCAAAGCACTATTTAAGACGATCATTACCTATCCCTGGTTTCACAGCTCATCAGTAATCTTGTTCTTAAATAAGAAGGATCTCTTGGAAGAGAAGATCATGTATTCGCATCTAGTCGACTATTTCCCAGAATATGAGGGTAGGTGTTCTTTGGTTATTACTTTATCAGTATAGAATAGCAAATGGGTAGAACATTCTTTGCACACATATTGGCATAGCACATTATGTGAGTTAAAGCTGAACAGTTTGTGGTGAATTATCCACTCTATTATAAAGTTGACGATTTAGCAAAATAGAAAGGTACGTTGATTGATTGATTTTTATCTTATCATACCTCTTACACACCTTTATTATGTTACTATCAATTCTTGATCAGTGTCACCTCAATAATGTAAAATATTTAAATAAATTGTAACTATGGTATCCAGCAGTATGTCCTAACTTTGATATAATATTTTTGCTTGCTGAAATCTGCGTTCCAGTGTACTGTGCCTAATTCTTCGGAAACAGAAGTTTTGTTCTCATTCAATTTTCTGTCCTCTCGTGAAGACTTTCACGAGGGGGAAGGCAATAGAAGGGTATGCAAGCCAAAGCCCCTAATCAGTAGGATAGTCCTAGCTGGACAAGCAGCACGAAAGTTTGCCAGGCAGTATTAATGGCATACTTATATGGTTTTAGCTGGTTAAACTCCAGCAGTACCCCAACACACACTCTGGGGTGCCAAGCTTTGGATTTGCCAACATGCACCTAATAATTTCCAGAATTAGGTAAGCAGGGTGCATCCCTCCAGGGAGAGAGTGCAAATTCCATTAAATATCTGCGGAATCTCCACATGGAGGTGGGATGCATGGAAGGCTGATTCGTTTGGGTATTGTGGAGCATGGTGCTGGGTTTCTACATGCTCGCTCTTGGTGACATCATCTGCAGAGATGGGGTAAATTTCCACATGTATGCGGATAACACCAACCTCTACCTCTCTGCCTCCACCCTGAACTCCAGAATTACTGGGCCCTGACCGACTGCCTGTCCGACATCAAGTCCTGGCTAAGGGATAACTTTCTCCAACTCAGCATCAGCAAGACCGAGGCCCTCCTGATTGGTTCACGCTAGCGCCTCCGCACCTCGGTCGCTGACAGCATCAGCCTCCACGGCTGCACACTCAACCTCACTAAGCCAGTCAGGAACCTGGGTATCTTGTTTGACCCTAAACTGTTCTTTCTCCCCCACATCTGCGCCATGACCGGCACTGCCTACCACCACCTTCGCAACATTGCCAGACTCCGCCACTGCCTCACCCCTCAGGCTGCCAAAACCCTCACTCACGCATTCAATACCTCAAGGCTCAATTACGCGAACTCCTTCCTCATCGGCCTTCCCGACTCTTCCCAAGATGCTGATCATCCAAAACTCTGCAGCTCATGTACTCTCACACACCAGGCTCCGTGACCCCATCACTCCCACCCTCACCCGACTCCTGGCTCCCCATCCCCCAGAGGAACGAGTTCAAGATCCTCATCCTCACTTTTAAGGCCATCCATGGCCTTGCCCCTCCTACCTCTCTGACCTGCTGACTCCCTACCAATCTGCCCGCTCCCTCCGTTCAGCGGGCTCCGGCCTGCTCCATGTCTCCCACCCGACCCGCCCTACCATCGGTGGCCGGGCTTTCAGCCTCTCTGCCCCCACTCTGGAACTCCATCCCACGATCCGTTCACCTCACTTCCTCCCTTGTCTCCTTCAAGGCCGATCTCAAGACCCTTCTCTTCGGCCATGCCTTTGGTCTCCCTTCCACCTCTCTGCCTTCCCTCACCCCTACACCACCCCTCCCCCATGCTCGGGCCCTGACATCTGATTGTTCAGCGCTTTGGGACGTCCTCCCGACGTGAAAGGCACTCTATAAATGTAATTTTGTTGTTGTTGCATGCCACCTGAAAAATGAGGAATTTCCAGTATGCAGCGTGTATTCATAATGTCTTGTACAGTATTTAGCAAAAACAGCACATCTTGTTTATACTGCATGTAAAGACATGCTGAGAAAAAAGTAATGAGTTCTGATCTTTTAAAGGCCTTACTTTGAAGACATAATTTGCTATGCTATGTCAGAAACTAAATGTTTAATCTAATGAGTTCATGTGTCTTTTGTGTGCAATTCCAATGACATTAGGGCCTAAACAAGATGCGAAAGCTGCACGGGATTTCATCTTGAAGACGTACCAAGATCAGAATCCAGATAAAGAAAAAGTCATTTACTCTCACTTCACTTGTGCCACTGATACAGAAAACATACGGTTTGTCTTTGCTGCTGTCAAGGATACTATCCTACAGTTAAACCTGAAAGAATTTAACCTGGTATAAAGAACACAGCAACAAACTCTTTTGCCAAGTTATATATATTTTAAAAAGAGCTATCCAATCCATTTTACCTGCCCAAAATCTAAATTTTGTGCTTTTGTAACATACATTTTGAAATTTACACTGAAATTATCACTTCTGCAGAGGACTCTGAGAAGAGATAGTGACTCACTTCTGCATTGAAAAATTAATTCACGTAATTAGATTTATTACATTTGCAAAGAAAGAAACCTGCCCATGTTTCTGAAGTTCAATAGGGATGCTTTAGGTTTCTTAGCAATGTTAGAAGAAAATAAGCAGTGATTATTAGAGTCATGTTGAAAGATGCCTGAATGTGGCTTTGTAAAGGTTGTCTCAGTAGTCCATTGTTTTAGTTATTGCAAAAGGAAAATACACCAAGAACTCCAGGTTTACAAATCACACAATATCAAAATCCTATCCTGGCTTTCCTGGAGTCCAGAGGTTTACTAAATGCAACTGATTAACTAAAATAAAAAGGTACACTTTTTATGGTTCCCATCACAATTACTGACTATTACTTTACTATCTGGTATTTGTATTTAATAGGAACTTATTTAAAGAACTCTCTGAACACAACTGGTGTACAAAACAAATGCTAGTATTTGCATTTTTCAAGAGTTTTTAATTCAAATCGATAAATACTTACCATCAGAGGATACTCTTTTTATAATTGCTAGCACTAAGAATGCTAAATAATTAAAAATTCCGGATGCCATTAATGAAGGCAGCGTACAGTTAATATTTTGAGGATTGGGGGATGGATATTGCTAAATGCAATAATTTAGACAAAAATATGGAAGCGTCTTTTATTCTTAACAAATGGTTAAAAGGGTTCTTGCTGGAATAGTCTAAAATGTTTCAACCCTTTAAAACACATTTTTTCTCTTTCATATTATTAATCACAAATGTACCAAATTATCTTGCAGAAGTTTTCAAATGTTTTTCCTCTTTTTAGACTGTCACTATTCCTTCGCATACCAAAGAATTATAATAGATCAGGTAGAATGTGAGGAATTGTTTTATTCTGCCACAGAAATATAGAAATTGCACGTGGTTCCATTCTGTTAAAATGCCTGCAAACCACTGTAAATATTGCTCCCACATATTTTATATGTATATATATATTGCAGCATTGTTTTTCTGCTTTAATATTCATCCTTCTTGACCAAATGCAATATTGTTATTTTCGAATAAGGAACTGTCATTGCAGCCAATAAAATATTTAGATGTACAGGCATTTCCTCTTATAGGACAAACAGGTAAAAATCATACTTTTGAAAAGCTAAATGTGATGATTTATAATGCACAGACCTCTTGTCACTAACCCCATGTTGAAACTGTGGGTTTTATATTTTTTCACTGCTGTAATGCATAGCTAAGGTTAGATATTTGATGTTTTCTGAAACAAAACTGTTCTATAACTTTTTTAAGTTGTATGCAACACGCCAAAGAAAATCTTTTATTTAGGTGGTTTTAAAATGTTACAATGCAATGTATGTGATTTTGCGCATCATTGTTCAGTGAGGTTTCTTTGCTTAATTTTATCCAAGTCATGAACGTGGCTGGTGAGATATTAGTAGAGCAGATCTGCAGTACCAGTTTCTCCTATCACTGATATTTTTTGATTGTTGTTTGACTGCATAGATTAATGCTAAATTACACTAAAGTTGCAGAATCCCTTCCGAGGTCAGCATTTTGAAAGTCCTGCTTACAGCTCAAAAGCAAGTATATGATCGTTCTTTTTGCTTGATTTTTCTTTTTACAAGATCTCCAAGAAAAATAAAAAATGTAAAAAAATTGTCATAGGCCCTCTTATAAAGAAAAGGCACGAGAGGATGGGGAGTGGAGAGCATGCATTTTATTTACTTTTTCCAAGTTGGCTTCTGGATCAGTAAACTAATAAATTCAAACCAGTTAACGAGAAATAATACAAATGAAAACATCTGCTTCAAGTTCATGTTTGTTTGGGTGAAGTTGAGGTGAATCAAGACCAGTTGGAAAATCCTTAATGTCATTAAACTGTGAAATATGGTCAAATATTAATTTATCACAAGTTCTATTTTTCTTGCAACAAATGTTTATTGGGGGTGTTCTAGCAGATAGGAGCCAATCCCACTTTTACAGGGAAGCAGACAATAGTTAGAACATAAATTCTTGATCAGTAAAAAGCTGAATAATTGTAGAAATTCATGTTTGTTAAAACATTGCTTTTTGATATATGTAATCATTTTAGTTTTGTAACCAGCTTCAGTTAGTGGGTAGTGGAATTTGCAATCAACCCCTCAAAAATCTATTCACAATATATGTAAAGACCACAATGGTTATTTACACATGTACTTAAGGTTCTACTTGCAGATGTACTCAAAATACATACTTTTACTGGCAAGAGCCCACAACATACTCAATTCTGTAAAAACCTGTGTGAAAGATGGTCTTTACTGTATAATTCAGATATGGCCCATTATTAGAAACTGTTGTGTACATACTGTGAGAAACTGCTTTCAACCCTGTGAGAAATTTACTTTCTATAGATTGATGTTAAGTTTCATGGAACATAGCATAAGCACAGAAATGGAACATTTGTCCCAACAATTCTGTGCTTTCTGCATAAGCCAATCTAATTTGAGCATAATAGTTAACCCTCCTTTTCAAGTATCTATCACATTCCTTTTAAAAATAATTAATGGATTATGCAACAAATAACATTTCTTGCAGGAATATCCAGTCCAACTATCCTCTGTGTAAAGGCATTTTTCAATCTTTTAATTTTTTTGTGTTTATCGTAAATTTCTCATTGGATTACATTTGGATACCTTCTGAATTTTTTTGGAATGCATATGACTATTGCAGGGGATACTACAACTTTATAAGTTGAGCAATAGCTGTAATTGAAGAAAACCAAGTTAATGTTGCCATAAACACCAGCTTGCCAATGTTCATAAAAGGTGCTAAATGCTAGAAAGATGAAACCTGAAATAAGTGCACTTTTAGGATCACAATTGTAGTTCTATAACACTCAATACTTTTTAAGTTCATATTTTTATGCCAGAATGTGTATTTCACTTTTAATTAAGATTACAATTTTTTGTCATCTGACAGGCCAAAGCATTTTGCTAATAGCCTAATTTACGCTTATGTATGCTTGTATTATAAAGTGTTTTATTGGTCAATAAATTGCTCTTTTCTGATCTGTACTTTGACACTCTAAAGGAGTTTTGTATTTGGTAATGCTGCTGTTTCAATCAAATTAAACATGAACATGGTTCTTACTTGCAGCTTATATTGTCTTTTGATAACACTACACAACTAATAATACTTTAATATTGCTGAACTATGAGCCAGTTGGGAAAAAACAGTGGAAAGAGCAAACACTACTGTCAGTAACTTACAAGTCCTCTTTAGGTTTAGCTTTGCCTTGGATGTCCAATTTTGTAACACAAAAAGCTACTTTATTAAAGATAACCACTTTGAATAACATACTTTCATTTGCTTAAAAAAATGAAGTTTTGCTCGTTTACAAATTTTGGAACTGGGTGTTCAGGAATATCAACTGGAATTGAACTCAGGTCGCTCACTTGCAAAGCGAGTGCTCTAACCACTGAGCTACAGGACTCCACTTAGACGGTGAGGCAAGACCGTAGTGGGATTTAAAAGTTCTTGAACTCGATCATCTTGGGAATAGAGCCAGGTAAGATGCGACTCCTAATCACATTTAACCTGAGCTACCCCAGCAACAGCTGGATTTATTATTTCAAAAATATAGTTGTAATTCTGGACCTCAGACCCATGCCTGACAAGAGCTATCAAATCAAACTCTCAGAAACACCAAGCCAGAAGTACTTTGCAGGGAGCTTTGGATGATGATTGGTCAGATAGACTATGGTAGGTGCAGACATGAAATTTTGCCATGGATGCTTAAGATTCACAAATAAAAACTTACACAGAATTTTATTTCAGTTACATTCAAAACAAGATGTAAATGGCATGTTACAAGTTGTTCACACAGAAATTTACATTCAATCCAGAATGAAAATATTTTGGTAAGTATGCAAAATCAACATGAAGCAATCATTTATGACTGACCTGAGAAAAAACTGTCCCTTACAGTTAACATATTTAATAGCTTAAGCAATATTAAGATGAATGCATGTGTAATGCATTTTTTTAATAGTTTATACTACTGAAGGTTGCAACATTCCATCTTTGTACCATATCCATGCAGGCATGCAACGCGCTACTAGTGAGAAGCACAATATGATTACATCTCCAGTATACTTCAAAGGTTCACATTTCAAAAAATGAATACTTAAAAGGCACCACTGGTGCAGTACAAAATAAGGTAAAGCAGCTACATTTTTACTAAAATATGAGAGAAGTGGTCATTTCTGATATTTACCCGACTGTCTTGAAATAGAATGAAGCATTTGTCCAACTCATAAATCTCCCATTATTATTAAACAACAGTGCTTCAACCTATCACTAAGTACAATTGTATATCAAGAATTCTGCCAGAATTCTCTTTAAATGTACCTTTTATTTTGTATTTTATACATCGGATCAGGTTAATTAATTTTGGCCTATTTATTATGATTTGTAATTTAGGTGAATCTCAATAGCAAATCATATTAATGTTACAGAAATTGCCTTATTTTGAAATCAAATTTAGTCTTCACCAAAACATTGTTTAAATTTGTAACAAAATTTTCACTGAAGTTGGATGTTTTTACTTGTATTATCATTTACCATGCAAATATTCTTTTCAAGTTATGCTTGTAAGATTCTACATAGGGGCAAACAGCAGCTAAATTCAAAGATAGGCATCCTCAATTTTCTTCAACCTACAGATAAAACTCAGTTTTACATCATTTTATTTTTCAGGGGGAAAATAAAGTTGGAGTAAAATTATGAAAAATCATGAACTATGTGGATTTATAGCTGGTTTGAGTATCTTACATAATAGTTACTTAATTTATAAATTATATGCTCGAAAAAAACCCTTAAACTTTGAAGCAAAAAATATTAAACCGTTACAATAAAGCCTTTAAAATATACAAATACAGATTGGTGTTCAAAACACATTTTCATAAACAGTGACATCACAAAATATTTTATGGATCATGGTATGATTGTAATAAACAGGAGTAGACAATGCAATCAATTGCATGCTTTGACTTGGTGAAGAATACAAGTTACTTTTGTCTTTCCTTACGTCTTCTTCCGCATCCCCAAACTCGTGAACCACACTCAAGTCTTCAGTCGGCCATCTACTCTGATGAACTTTGTAGGTATTTCATTATCTACTACCAGATGATTAACAGCAGGTGGAATTACCTTTCCTCCCTGTCTTCAAAGAACATTCCCCCCCACCCCCCCATTCAAGATTAGGAATTCAAAATATGGAAAACTGCAGGTAGTTATTACATTATTACACAATGAAAAACGGTCAGACCATTTCCACTATCCAATTAAGAATGTAGCTACCATTTCATTGTTAACAACTGGAGCTTTACTCGTGGTCAGGACTTAACTGAATCCATAAATTCTCCTGTCCACACCAAAGTGACCACCCACAGGTAGTATGAATTGTATTCCAGCAAAATACGTGTTTTTAAATATGTTCCTATACTCTATTACAACTGGGGATCCAATTAAATGTTTCTTTACCTATCTCTGGGAGAACTTATACTGGATAATGGAGTATTCTTAGCAACAATACATCAATATTAAAGCTAGCCAGTTCAATTACCATGATGTCAATATATAAACAAAGGCTGAGCTGCACATCATTCTGGCACCAAGATCTATATTGCTTATCAATATGCTCAACTGTAATTCCATTTTTGAGGGTGAATTTGAATAAAGTGCTTTCCATGAAGCAGTAGTATTGGCAGATTCAGCAGAGATGAAATGCGTGCATTCAATACAGCACCTTATCACATCAAAACATCTCAAAGTGCTTTACATAGTACAATTTACACAAAAAACTAACTGTATTTTGGTGACTGCTTAGGCTTATCAGGATTTTAAAACAAATTGTTCACAAGCCTGTGAAGGGCTATGGAAAGATGGAGTTGAGCAGTTTAAAAAAAATGGTGCTCGAAGACAGTTATTCTTTTGCTTTAATACTTTGAGCTGAAAGATGTTATTCAAAAATTGTCTACTGTTCTGAAATATTACATAAATGAACGAGAAGGCATTTTTTTAAAGAATTAGCAATTAGTTCTGTAAAAATGAGAGCTTCTCGAAAATTGCCATTGTATTTAATGAGCCGCACATTTGGAGGCAAAAGAGCCTAGTTATTACAATCTTTGCATTTAATATAGCGTCCTATCAAGTTGCCAAGATATCTCAAAAAGTGCTTCATGGGATGTACTGTAAAGTGGTGCAACTGTGTGTTTTCTGGGTGAATGCCAATTAGTTACTACACAAGATTTAGGAGTTATCTGCAATGTATCTCAACCGAAAAGTACAATATGAATTCTTATTTGCATACATAATCTAAACTTACATTATATTTTGATCAACATAATCATTGTGAATAAATTTGTGTTCCTGTAACACTATTAATGAACAAGAACACAAGAGATGGCTTTGTATTAATTAAAATTAATTAGTTGCATGTGTGGTTATTTATATAACAAAACAGGTAAGGCAAAGAAAGTGACACTTCATTGGCATTAATACGGTTATGGGCAAATGCAGATTGCATCAATTTGCTGAATGATAGAGAATGCTTACATTCACAACAGAATATACTTGCGATGGATTCTGCAACAAGTGCACTTCACGACAGGACTTGACACAGTTTGAAATATCCAGCAGTTAAGTTTTTTCAAACTGAAGATATTGCACAAGCTACCACATGTACTAATTTAGTGCACTGAATACTCAGAGCAAAAATTGCTTTTAAGTATACCTGTATACATTGTTTTAGAAATAACTGGACCTTCACAGAAATTTGGTGCGATAAGTTTTCTTACTTAACTGCAGATAAAATTCTCAAACAAAGTGACATTTAGACATATTGGCATATAGAATAGATAAGATTTTAATTTACTTAGAACAATGATCAAGTACGTGTTGTGTCATGCATAAGCAAATCTAGTAATGCATGATCAGAAACAGAATCGTTCAATGCTAAAGAGATTTGTTTATTTGCCTGTATTAGGAAATCGCTGGACTAAGCTGAACGTTCAGGTCACTGATCAGAAACAAGAAAATCTTGCTTCTCAAAGAAAATATTTCAACTCTTAAATACATCGAAAGAAATCAAAAATAAACAAAAACAGAACAAAAATGTCCCTTTGAAAAAGTGAAACTTCTGAATGTCTCACGTTGCATCATTAGAGATAAGATAATGTAAAAAAAAGGTCACTCATCATCACTTGATCAATGGTGAACATTGACACTTCAAAGATATTTATTTGCGTGGCACTTGGTAGAGTGGTACTTTCCATTGTGAAGGCTTTAAAGGTGGAACTGAAAAATTATTTTGCCGTGAGGAGTAAACACTGTCTATTATTATTATTATTCAAAGGAAGCAATTCAATACAAGATTTCATTTTACACCAAATCTAATACAAAAACAGAAAGGACGTGTAATGATCATTCACATATTAAAAGTTGCACACATTGGTCAAAAATCATATATGAGACGCAACTTTCACATTTCTTTACTAATTCAATAATCAGTAGGTCTTACATTTTAATCAGAATTTGCAGGCAAAAACAGACCAGGGATTCTGAGACCATTGTGTATATTATTGTATGTACAAGTACAAACATCTATATTATCAAAGTCTAACGTGAGTTAGTGCACATGATAGTTCTATGGAATTTGTAATATTTTCCAATACCATTTATATCTGTGGAAGGCAATTTCTCACTTCTTCCAGCTTGTCCAGAACCCACTAGGAAGTAAGAATATCAAGAATATTAATTGAAATAATAATAATTATTATCGCATTTGATATGTCCCACCTTTCACATCAGGAGGATGTCTCAAAGCGTTTCATAGGATATACTGTAAAGTGTAGTGACTGTGTATTTTGTAGACAAACTCAGCAGCCATGTGACAGAGAGCAATGTCCCACAAACAGCCGTGAAGTGAATGACCCAATTTTATCTGGGGGATTCTTGGCCAGGGCACTGGGAGAAACTCCCTTCTTTTCAAATTGTGCCACAGGACCTTTAACTCCACCGGAATGGCAGATGGGACTTTGGTTTAACATCTCACCTGAAAGATGGCATCACCAATAATGCAGCTCTCCACCAGCACTCTATTAGAATGTCATTCTCGTCTGAGTTCAAAATGGGGCTTAAACCCAGAGCCTTCTCGCTCACAGGCAAGAGCATTACCAACTGAGCTAAACAAGCATCAAGTTCAAACTTGTATCAGATAGTGTACACGCATTCAAGAGGCTAGACCTTCACATGATGGAGAGGGCAATAGAAGGGTATGGGAAAGAGTAAGGAATGAAGACTCATGTGGAGTATAAACACTGGTATGGATATGTTTCTGTGCTCTACATTCTTTGTAAATCTTTCTAACATTTTGAGTCTGCTCATGTATACATAAACTAATGTCTTTAATTTGTCATTGCATGCTTTCGACCTATATCCACTCCCCACCTCATCCCACTGGCACTTGTTGAAATTCCTACAAGTTTCTGCATTGAGTTCCACTTCATCTTTGGCAATTAACAAACTTAACTCACCCAGTCTGGTCATCTCTGATTTCAATGTATTCCTTTCCTCCCTCAATCTGAGCCCCCACACAAACTCCCTGAACCCAATTCCATAGTTAACCTCCTGATGTAACACCTTTATACCATGGTCCTGTCCTCTGGAACACTCCTCTAAAATTAATTTTCCTTGCTACCTCTCTTCCTCCTTTTAAAAGTTAATGTTAGTATCTCCTAGGTACCCACCTTCAACCATACATTCGGCCACTTTTAAATGATAATAACCCTCGCATTTGATACAGCGCTTTATCATGTCTTTGAGACGTCTCAAAGCACGTCAGAGAATATAATGTAAAGTTAATTGACTGTATATATTGTGGGCGAAACATGGCTGCCAATTGCACACAGCAGCGTCCCACAACCAGTCGTGGTTTGAAGTGACCAATTTATTATTATTTTTTTGAAAGAATTATTACCCCCGAAAAAGTGATCCGCCAATTGACTAACAACTGGGTTCCTACTTACTGCTAGGTAAACTGAGGCGTGTGGAGTAAGGAAACTTGCCCATCATTTTGCCCTGCCGGGAATCGAACCCAGGTATCTCACTTGCGAGGCGAGTGCTCTAGCCACTGAGCTACAGGACTTCAAAATCCTTTTGCTTCTTGTTCAGTGTCTACTGTTGCCATTGTTAATTGCTATTTTTTTTGTATCTGGCAGAGTCTTGGTTTTCTTATACTTAATTTGGGTGTGCAGAATTTATTTATGTGTCTGACTCACTTAAGAGAGAGAAAAAGCAGGTAATACTTCTAAAGAAAGTTAGAGACGAACCCTAACCTTATTTGTGTTCTTGGCTTCACCACTCATAAATAATTTTACACATTAAACTCAATAATGCAGTATTTACCTTTGCGTCACTTCCACATCTGAAATTGACTATTTTTCCACATTCTTTTGCGTGAAACACAGACTTGACACGCTCCTTTAAGAAATTATACAGAATGTTAGTTTAGAATCAGTTGAAAAATAATTTATTACATTCAATTTACCAACAGTGATAAATTAATCTGGGTAATATTTTTCCAAGTAAAATTACTAGCAAAAATTGCTGTTGGAGCTTTTTACAAAAAATATAAAATAATAAAATCATAATGTAAAATAGTAGAGGTAAAATCTGTGACATAACAAATTGAAGTCAATTTACATAATCCTTGCTTTCTGATTATTTTAACTATGTATATTGCTAAAAATAAATACTTTATTCTATATTCTCGTCACTTACTTTGGCCTCAATACCAAACCTTATAATAACTAAAGACAACCCAAGTTGCTGCTCATTGACAGATCAGTTAAGATATGCCTCTTAAATAACTCAAATAGATGAAAACAAATCACAATTAGGAATAAAAAAAGGCAATGATTTAGGGTTATGTTTAGACTTATGCACAGGTTGGATATTGGAAGTTATTCTACCACATTCAACAAACAAAATGGACTTATATATAACTAGACAACAATTGTATTACATTTAGCAAATTGATCAGAATAACCTTCCCATGAACTGAAATAAAGTGGTTTTGTACTTATTCTATTGAAATATGGAATTGGCAGATGGAATATAATGTGGGAAAGTGTGAAGTTATTCACCTAGGGAGTAAAAACAGAAAAGCAGATTATTTTCCAGAAGGGGAGACTAGATAGTGTCAGTGTTCAGAGGGATTTGGGTGTCCTTGTACACCAGTCATAAAAAGTTAGTATGCAGGTACAGTAAGCAACTAGGAAGGCTGATGGCATGTTGGCGCTTATTGCAAAAGGGTTAGAATACAAGAGTAGGGAAATCTTGCTGCAACTGCATAGGGCCTTGGTGAGACCGTATCTGGAATATTGTTTGCAGTTTTGGTCTCCTTACTTAAGAAAGGACATACTCGCCTTAGAGGGGTGCAGCGTAGATCCACTAGGTTGGTTCCTGGGATGAGGGGGTTGACCTATGAGGAAAAGTTGAGTAAACTAGGCCTATATTCTCTAGAATATAGAAGAATTAGGGGTGATTTTATAGAAGCATACAAGATTCTTTTGGGGCTTGACAGAGTAGACAGTGCAAGACTATTTCCCCTGGTAGGAGAATCTAGAACTAGGGGTCACAGTCTTAAGATTAAGGGTCAACCCTTTCGAACAGAGTTGAGGAAACCCTTCTTCATTCAGAGGGTAGTGAATTTATGGAATTCTCTACCCCAGAAGGCTGTAGATGCTCAGTCCTTGAACATATTCAAGACTGAGATTGATAGGTTTCTAAAGGATAGAGGGATTAAGGGATATGGTGATAAGGTGGGCAGATGGAGTTAGGTTAGAAGATCAGCCATGATCTCATTGAATGGCAGGGCAGGCTTGAGGGGCTGAATGGCCTACTCCTGCTCCTAAATCCTATGTTCCTATATCTTACAACTTTTATTTCAACATTTTCCATTCCTGAACCAATCACCAAAGACTATTCTGAAATTACTGTTAGAACTTTTTACTAAAAGCAAAATCTGTAATAAAACAAGTAGATTTATTCCAGTCAATTTACACCACATTTTCCTTTCTTGTTATTTTAACTTTATATATTACTGAAAAGACATACGATTAGAAATAACTGCTTTATCTTTGTCAATTACCTTGGCCTCAATACGCAATCTTCTTTCCAAAACAATGAAAGGCTTCTTAGTAAATTCCTCAAAGCTGTACTGCCACTCACAGGTTAACTGCCCAAATGTTCCTTTTGTTACAAAAAAGACACCACTGGAAAAATAAACAGAATAAATACAAAACATTTAAGAGATGGGACAGAACTATTAAGCACAATTTTGTTTAATCTTTTCAGTAATTATAGATATTCAAATAATAGCCAATAACATTTCATTACCAGGACATTTCTGTAATTTGCTTTCTAAATTCACTGAAATCTTACCTTTTTGTAATCATGAACAAATCTGAATCATTAACCTTTTTATGGGCGAAGTACTTGTACTTGGCAAACCTGCCATTTTCAATTTTCTAAAACAAAAGACAAAATGTTAAAATATATGTTGAAATAAACTATTTCCCCTTCAGCTGCATTTTAAAATTTTAACATTTTAAAAACACATATTGCATTAGAAACACAAGAAAGTTTACACCACACAAGTTAAAGTCTACTCCACACGACCAGTACAAAGTGATTAACAGATTTGTCTTTAAAACCTTAAACCTGCTTGGCTTAGATTTGTTTTACCACTTTGCCTCAACAAACAAATGAAGAATTGATGATACAGGTTCTGATAGTATTTTTGTTCTCATAGTGACGCAAAGCACTAGTGAAGTCTGCTTACTCAGGTGGAAGCAACTCTTGTTATATGATTACACAAAGCAAAAATGGAGCAAATCTCATATCTAGGAACAAATCGTGCCCCTAGGTGAAAGAGGCAATATGAAATTGAGTACCTCAATGGTTATATTGACCAGATTTCAGCCTTAAATCATAAAAATTCTTTCTTCGGATGAAGAGAAAACAGTTACTTCTGTATGGAAGGTATGTTTAAAGCTGATACCAATGTAGAAACACCAATGATGGATCCTTGTTTCTTTGACCATCCTTTCTAAAGGAGGCACCATGCTCTAAAATCTACTAGAATAATGATTGAGCTTGTTAACATTCTTAAAAATAAGCAGATACATATTTGTAGAAAAAAAACTGCATTTTTCTTTAGCTGATCCTGGCAATGATACCAGGAAGGATTTTAGTACATTGGACAAATATTAAACCCCAAATTGCAAGAGATTTGTAATACTTAATGTAGCCCAAGTATTGGATAATTGAATCTGCTTTTGATATAATGTCAAAAAATGCACTAGATCCAGTTTGTTTAATACTGGATTTTCTATATCACATTACACATCAGCTGAAAGAAGAAGCTCATTTTGCAGACTATGTTCAGTATGTATTTTCTATTATACAGCTTTCAACAAGCATGTATCTAACTCCTGTTTGATATTAAAAGAAAATTTCCTAAGAACAAAGAAGCTTTAGTTGTACTAAGGTTACGAGTAACACAAATAATTGCACCATACCAACATACTATTTTCAGCAGATATGAGTACTGCAAAGCTAATCAACAGAAGTAACCCGAATGTTACCTGAAGTATTTCTATATATACATTTTTTTAAAACTTAAAAGCTCATATCTAGATATGTACTACTCTGATAACAAATGTTAACTTGTTGCATCTAGTTAACTGCAGAAGGCACATTATCACAGTGGAATACTTTTAGTGATACACAATGTACTTTGATGTTTACCAAGGATTACTGGCAACAACTTATACTGCAACATATTTTTATTTCCTGAATTATGTACTCCTGAAGGTAAGGTACTTATAATGGCACAAAATGAACACTCATTTTACACACCGATTATCATTATCAATCACTCCCAGATCAAGTACAGCACAGTAAAATAACCAATACTCTGCCCCTCTTTAATCTGCCCCAGAAATGTCCACCAGCCCCAATTTATTAAGAGCTACCACTACAGGAAAATGACAATTTTCAACAAATTATTCCAATCCATGCTAAATTCAGGATAATTTTACACCGAGTCCATGCTCATTAAAAACAGGATTGATCTTGCCCAAGTTAACCTGCAATTCCAATAAGCTTTTCTCTGCTGAATTGCTTTTATACTGGTGGAACTCTGAGCCAAAATTGTAATTACATTAGAAAACAACCTAGATATGTCCCTAATGTTCTGGGAGTTGAGTAAATTTACCAATTTATCCAATAATACATTGGTTTTATTGTGAATCCCTCTATTTTGAATATGGGCCTACGGTGAATAGTTTAACTCAGGATGTAATCTACTTGATCCATGCCTCATTGATTTTAGGATTAACACAGAAAACTAATTCATTGGATACTTGGTGACATTACTGTAATGCGATGAAGCATTGGCATTATTGGGTGGATGATCCAACAGAGACAAATCTGACACTTTTCACAAGGAGTATGAGGGCTAGTTCTCAAAAAAAGTGGTTAAGTTGTGGAAGGAGCACTATTATGCTTTAAACCAGTGTTTTGTTTTACTTTGAATGCAACATAAAGAATCACTCCTTATCACTTCTCCAATAAAATGAATGACTTTTCTCAAGATATCAGGTTTCTTTTAAATAAAAGGCAAATCTCAATATTTCTAAGATTGAGGCATCTTTCTGGAGTAGCTCTTTCTCAATTCCACTCCTTGGTTCTATGACACTTAGAATTATTGTATGTATTTCATCCTAATTTATTTTGTGCCTGGAAGTTTCACTCTCTGGGAGTAATTTTTCTTAGCTGGCTTCCTAGAGTTGAATTTGTAACCAGTGATAAAGGGAAAATAAATTTGATTGATGCTTGCAACATTTCACTCTATATTTAGCAAGCATATTACCTCCCATCATGATTGGCCACTAAATTCCTATTATCTTGCTACCAGGGAAACCCAATTTTGGGATTGAGATGGGTAACAATAATGTATCCAAGTCAATCAAGTACGATCATAGTCATGAGACTTTGTGTTCCGGTCAAAATTGAATTATTATAAAGCTATGCTTTGATTCCAAAAAAATTCATTGTCTGCAACAAAATTACAGTTGTATAGCACCTTTCACGTTGGGAGGACATCCCAAGGCGCTGAACAGACAAGAGTTTCGGACCGAGCCGGGGAGTGTGGAGGGCAGGGGGGGAAAAGCAGGGAGTTCGAAAGCAAGGTTGAAGAGGAGGGTCTTGAGATGGGTTGTGAAGGAGGCAAGGGAGGGGGTGAGGCGAGGGACTGTGGGATGGAGTTCCAGAGGGTGGGGGCAAAGTGGCAGAAGGCCCACCCGCCAATAGTGGGGTAGGCGAGGCGGGGGATGTGAAGCAGGCTGGAGCTCGTTGAGTATAGGGAGCGGGCAGGATGGTAGGGGGTAAGGAGGTCGCAGAGGTAGGGGGGAACAAGACCATGGAGGGCTTTGAAGGTGAGGACCAGGATCTTGGACTGTATCACCACTGTGTGGAGTCCTGTAGCTCAGTGGTTAGAACACTCGCTTTGCAAGCGAGAGACCTGAGCTCAATTCCAGGCAGGGCGAAACCTTGGGCAAGTTTCCTTACTCCATACGCCTAATAATTCTGTGCGCAATTGGCTGCCGCGTTCGCCCACAAATATAGTCAATTCACTTTACAGTATATTCTGTGAAGCACTTTGGGACGTCTAGAAGACGTGAAAAGCGCTATATCAAATACAAGGATTATTATTATTATTAATAATCCCTCCAAAACAAAATAATAAATGGGTCATTTTCAATCTGTTTGTGGGACATTGCTGGGCGCAATTGGCTGCTGCGTTCGCCCACAAATATACAGTCGATTCACTTTACAGTATATTCTATGAAGCGCTTTGAGACGTCTAGAAGATGTGAAAAGCACTATATCAAATGCAAGGATAATTATTATTATATCCTCTGTGTGATGGGAAGCCAGTGGAGTTGGGCAAGGCTGGGGGTGATAGGGTCGCGGAGCCTAGTACAGAGCTCTGAATGATCTGCAGCCTGTGGAGGGAGTTGGGAGGGCAACAAGCAATGAGTTTGCATAGTCGAGCCTTGATGCATACTGACGACTGTAATTTTGTGAAGTGCTTTTCAACTGATTTGCTGAATTGCTGCCAAGACCAAATAACAAATTGGCGCTGTCGTCAGCAGCAATCTGAATTAAATGGTGTTCTTGTAAAAAGATCTATTCTCAGTCACATAGAAGTTAACCCAGATCGCATTTTTTGTGCAACAAGTTTTCTTCCCTTATAAAAGGTGGCAACTTGAGCTGGTATGGCCCCTTGGATTGGTTTCTGCCAGTGTTTCACACAACAGTGAGCATCAAGAGGCTCTTCTACCACAGTGCTGCTGGTGTATATAATAATAACCCTTGCATTTGATATGGCACCTATCACATCATTGAAACGTCTCAAAGAGCTTCACAGAATATATTATAAAGTGGATTGACTGTACTTTGTGGGCAAAATACGGCAGCCAATTGCACACAGCAGTGTCCCATAAACAATGGTTGATTAAGCGACTTTTCTTTAAAGGGATTATTACTCCCAGAAAGCGATCTGCCAATCGACTAACAATCGCGTTCGTACTACTGCTATACGTATTCACAAGTGTAGAGTTTTGCCTCATATTGGATAAACTAAGAGCACTATTTAAGTGAGGAAATATTTAAAATATTTTATTCAGGTCGTCTTTATACCTAAACATCAATGCACAACCCTGGATACTAGTACTCAATAGTTGAATGGCCCAAATATAACATATTGAAGCAAATACTGTAATGTGTGTGCATGAAATTTATGTGTGGAATTTATCATTATCAGAGTAGAATTTCTTTCTATTGTGCTCTGTTTTCAGTTATTTAATGGCTTTGCATCTGGATGAGTTGATTTTATAATTTACAGTAAACAAACATTTCGAACTAAATTGAATTGCTGAGCCCTCTTCCTTATTCAAATTTTATGAGGTAATCAACCAGTGTAACATTTGGAACCATGACTATTTCTGAAGTAGAGGTCGCAGAGAGGCTATGTCCAGCCTTCAGAAAACCTGGATGTTGAAGACATCAAATATCGTAAGAAGTGGGTCACGTTGGATTTTAATGAATGGTGTGGACTCATTATCTTTATCCTTCTCTCTGCCAGTCAGTTTCCAAACTACATCCTCTGTACCTGACTGATGTCAAAGAAGACATATGATACCAAATTTAAACTGTGCAATATTGTTAGTGTTTCTGATAAATTAATAGCTGCAAAGGCCTGGATACTATTATCCCAGAAGAGATGAGGAGCTCTCTTTAGCGCTCTGGGACGCTACCCCGCATGAAGGGCGCTATATAAATGTAAGTAGTTATTGTTTAGCTGTATATCTGGGGTCGGCGAAAGTCTAAGATTAAGCAACATAAAGAAAAATTAATGCGGTGGGAAGGCAAAGAGAGACACACACACACTCTGTCTAAGACAAGGTGAATTAAAAGGGGAGGAAGCTACTCTTTAACCCCGCAGAATCTTGCCTGAAATACAAGGCTCAGTGGTAACCAAACTAATGGGTAAAAAGGTATCAAACGAGTGTCTGTGCCGAAACATGCAATATCCATAGACACAATTTGCTTAGAGTAGGTGTATTGGACCCTCAAGTTCTAAAGAAAGAGTGAGTCATCAATACTTGGCATTACAAAGGGATGACAATCATCAGTACCAACCTGCTTAAGTTAATTTAAATCAGTTGATGTACTAGTAGGAGCTCCACTACTTTCAACTAAAATATAGTGATAGGTTCACAAAGGAATGACGACAATCAGACTCAGTAATTGTCATCAGACTCAGTGATTGCTAAACAGTTACTTCTGGAACATGGTCCTCACTATTACTAGTTATCAAACTAGCCTTCTGTGCAACAGCCAGTGCTGACTCACCATGGAGCCATTTTTCAGGATCTGTTGTTGATTGGCCAGTGCCGTTTAAGATTTTGGTGATTGAAATGAGAATCATCAGTAAAACTTAATGGAATAAAATACATTATTAACTCTGAAAAAGAGAGGTTAAAAATACCACAATAATTTACATTGACATGGCACCTTTGTCAGGACATCTCAAAGCGTTTCACACAGGTTACTGCAGCCAGTTTGGTGGTGATGCTGGGTGAAGGCCCAGAGGAAAGCGTCTGAAAGTGCTGTTGGGTTTTAAAATGGGCTTAAAGGTGGGAGGAGAGGAGCAAAGGGGAGTAACTCTGTGATGGAGTTCCAAGGAGTGCTAAGAAATTTTTGGAGTTCCAAGAATGCTTGAAATTCCAATAAGCAGACGGCTGAAAGCTCATCCACTGATTGGGGTATATTGGATGGAGACAAACCGGTGGCAGCTGAGCAGCCACATGCAGAGTTAGTATTGTGCAAGGCCATGGAGGGATTTGAACATGAGGAGAAGGATCTTTTGAGTTTGATTGGCTGGGGGATATGAAGCTAGTGAGGATGGCAGTGATAGATGTGGAGTCTAGTGCAAGAGAAGACATGGGCTACAGAGTTCTCGATAGTCTGCAGCCTGAGGAGAGAGGATATATATTAATAATCTTTGCGTTTGATATAGTGCCTTATCACATCTTTGAGATGTCTCAAAGGACTTTACAGAATATACTGTAAAGTGAATTGACTGTATACTTTGTGGGTGAAATGCAGCAGCCGATTGCGCACAACAGTGTTCCACAAAAAAATTGTGGATTGAGTGACCAAATTATTATTATTTTTTCTGAAGGGTTTATTGCCCCAGAAAAGCGATACCCCAATCGACTAAGAATCTATATACCCTCATGTTTAAAAGAAGAGTCCAAGTAACCTAGACAGAGCTTTTGATTTCAATAACTTTCCTTAGTTTAATATAATTTCCACAGCAACCGACGTTTCATTTAAACTCGATTTACAATTAACATTGCAGTGTCCCTTTAATTGTTATTATAGACACATTTATCAAAATAGCTATTTGTGATTAGTGGTTTGTAATTCAACTTTATATTCAAATACAACATTTAGAACACAACTGTCAATACTCACATGCACTTGAAGCATGATGTACAGGAAGCTGCTGCCAATGTTAATGCATGCATATTACCTTTTAGCTTTTTAGAAGGCGAGACAGACAGGGATGGAAAAATGGAAAAACATGCTTTTTATTCTTTACTGCAACATCTTCTATGATTATTTAGTTTGCTTTCCACAATACCCCCACCCTCCCCCACCCTGTTCGAGGTCAGAAAGGAAAGGCTAACTGCAAAATGCAAAATATACAATATATTATTACGTAAACCAAAATGATTAAATCATTAATCACTGTTAGATGTATTCAATATTCAATGTTTTACACTGCAATTATATTTTAGACTTGATTTGCAGTGCAAAGATCCATATTTTAGATTGGCCTGAGTCCTTGTAGATTGCAGCCAGGAAGAGGGTGTATTGTCACACAATGGCTTAAGAATGCACAAGCTAAAATATTGAAAATTCTTGAAAAACAAAGGTGTCAATGCAGTACTAGAAGAAAAAATAATTTTACAAAAGACATGGGATCAACCCCAACAAGTCATGCAATATTGAATGCAAAGAATTCTGCAAATTCTGTACCTTGGGATATTTAAAATAGCACAAGATCTGTTTTGAATGAAGAATGCTTTTCAGCCCATTTGATCTCATCCTTCCAGAATACTTACACTAGCATCCTCCCATCACAGCATCATGTTGTTTTTTCAATAAGTGAAGTGCACTGGAATACCTGACCTCATTTTTCCTTCTTGGTAAACTGTTTCAGTCATTAATTACCCTCTGGGTACAGAAATACTTGGTGTCTGTCCTGAAACTGCCATTTCCTACCCTGAATCTGTGCCCATGTTTTGCTGCCATATCTTTGCATAACTGAAAGTATTGTTTGGGGTTTATTTTCCCAAACCCATTTAACATCTTAAAATACCTCTATGAGTTTCCCTCTGAGACATCTGTTTTCAAGGCTGAAGAATCTTAACTTGTCTAATCATTGCTCATTCCTCTAACACTGATGATTATTCTTGCATCATCAGTTTGTGATGTCACATAGCTCCCTCAGCAATTTGGGATGTCAACTTGTTAAAAACATCTATGAAGTTGGTCAGAGATCTCCTCTTCTGTGGTTTAGACTTATTGCTTAGATTATTTTATTCTAATAATCTTCCATTTTCTTTCTGATGATTGAGTTCATCAGTTTTTAAAACTATTGAGGTCAGACTAATGGGTCTGTAGTTGACAGGTATGGCCCCTATCAACCTTTCGTGAACATGGGAACCACATTTACTTGCTTCCAATTTGTTGGAACTTCACTAATTGTGATCAACTGCCTCATAATGTCTAACAGTGCTTCACAAATCACAATTTCAGCCTCTTGGGCCTATCTAGACACTCAGTTGCATTTATGTAAAAAGTCCTGGAGTTTAAACAATGGGCAGCATTATGAATTTAAACATTATGGGCATTTAAACATTATGTTTAAATTAAACATTAAACAGCATTTAAACATTATGGGCAGCAGCTTTTTAAGTGTCCTATCTGGTAGAAAAAAAACCTCCAGGAAGTAGTTATTTAATATCACGTGCTGCAAATTGTTCATTTTCAGGCATTGAGTCTGCGGAAATGCAGTTATGTTTTAAGGTCCATTTTATATATAATGCACGCAGCAAGTAAAATTAAATCTAAAAGATCAGTTTGTAACATGTTAAAATAACAACTGGACCTACTAACAACAGTCTTCAAGAAGGATGAAATCTTTGTACTAAAAAACCAACTAAATAAATTACTGATCAGTAATGAATTTTGAAAGATTGTACTCTTCCAAGAGCTAAAACCATCTAAATATTAAGGGGGGGAAAAGCAGTCACAACTTTGTTTGGTTTAATTAAACTAATATTTTAGTTTTAGGAGGGAAAGTAGCATTTCCTAAGGGTTCAAGTGGCTCCAAGGAGATGTCTGGGGAAGACAAGATGTGTAAATTGTTGAGATCAACCATTTTTTCTGACTCATCACTGAGTTTAGGAAATGGGTCCTCAACCCTGCAAACAAGTAGGGCATTCCAAGGTAGGCAAATAACATGACATTTACTAGCACATCATGTTGGTAAAATTGACAATTACCTACCTTAGACAGTAAAAATACAGTTACTGAATCATACCTCAATATCTATCCAGGTATTTAAAATTATTTATAAAAGCCACATTGTGCAGGCTTTAATTTATCAATTATTATTATGAATAAAAAGCAACAATGCAGAAATGCAAAAGGGAAGATTGAAGCAGTCCAATGAGTGACATGAACAGAACAGAAATTAGACAAAGCTTTTATTACATAACCTTCACAATTGTACATTTACCTGGAGTTCCTTATGCAAAGCAGAGATGAAATACAAGTTTCATGAGCAACACATAACACTGAATTCAAAACAGCAATGGAAGACACAAGAATGATCTAAATTAAAAATGCATAGATGGGAGTAAACAAAAACTAGCAAAACAAAATTAATAAGTTCTATTCCTGCACTAAAATTATTTTCTGCAATATTTTCTTCTTTTCCTACATGTGATTTGTGCAACTTTTTAAAATTGAAAATATTCAAGAAAACTGATACCTTGTCTGTTGCTCTTTCTATGCCTATATATTTCCCAGTTTGGAACCTTGCAACTGAACAAAATCACAGAATGGTAGGACACTGCTAGGCAGTTTTATCGATGGCTAAGGCGGCAGATAATAGGAGCTATCATGAATGCATGCATTGGTGATAAGCAGCAATTTCATCAGATTAATCATCATCAACACTACTGTCAACATAATCCTTTCTTTGCAGGCACTTCCATTCTGCAAGCATGGTAAAGAGGGAAAGAAGATAGCTGGTTAGTTTTATTGCACCTTTGTGTGCAACCTTTCTTGAAAAAAGCAAGAAAAAGAATGCTGGTATCAATTTATAGACATTAATGATTAATAAATAAACAGTAAGCAGAGGTGAAACTTGCATGCTCAAAATTAAAACAGTACACTTATAATTATCAACTATAAATGAATCACCTGCAACATTTGACTGCCAACTCCTTCTCTCAACCTATATGGTCTAATGACTCCGTCTTCATGAATAAATCTAGGGGGTCGAAGGCTCTGAGCATCTTCAGATGTTTCTGTAGCTCTGTCAAAATAATATTTTTTTAGACAATTGATGCAATTTAATCATTTGCAACAATTACATTGAAAATAAGAAATAAGATGATTTATAAAGAGTTTCACTTCAAAATGCCATCCAGTTCAGCTGGTACTTTAGAAACAAACACTGCCTTCTAAATGAATGTCAAACTCTAATCATTTAACTAACAAGTTCAGCTTTTTCATACAGATAAATATTTGAGAAGTTTGGTTATCGATTCTGAACCCAACCAATCATTTTCTTTGCTTTTCAATGGATCTGGCAGAACTGAAGTCAATTGATTTTCCTCTCAGGAGGAAAAAGTAATGGGATAAATGACAGATGTTTGAGTCAGAGGTCCAGGAGTACTTTACCTGCCTCACCTTCTCAATTGAATAGTGAGTAATTACAGGAGAAGTAACATGGTATAATATGCCTACAAGCAATATCTCTATGGTTTCTAATTTGATAAATGCTGTTATGATTTATGCGATAAATTTTGCTAATGGAAAATTTAGTAGTTTGTACACACATTTCGGTACAGAAAAAGTCTGATAGTAATCCAAACATTTTCATATTGCAAATATTTGTACTGCTACTACAGAGTGATGTCTATTGTTTTACTTGTTCACCCTTCATTTCATTTAATTCATACAAATCCATGCAAATTCAATATTCCGCTCTTTCATGTAAATACATTTTCAGCCATACCCCTACACTGTATCAACAGATACATTTATCCTATAACATAATAATTATTACTCATATCACTAATACATTAGACTTTACTTTAAATACATTATGTATTCAGGAATAAAATAATAAATTCAGAATCTTATTTTGTTTAGCCTACATGGTGGAAAATAGTCTAAAATGTTCTCCCAATATGGCAACAAATCCCTTCTTCACCCAACCTAAATGTCTCTGTCTGGACATCTTCTAAAATATGCTTACTTTCCAATGCTAATAGCATTATATCTGTGTACAATTTTGGTCACTATATTTCAGAGACTGGAGGACTTTTTCTGCTGGAATAAAGAAGGTTGAGGGATGACCTGGCAGAGATCTTTAGAATTATGAGAGGGTTTTTGATAGACAATAGGGAGAATTCATATTTACTGGTCGGTGAATCAGTCAACAACAACAACAACTTGCACTTATATAGCGCCCTCCACACGGGGTAGCGCCTCAGAGTACTAAACAATGGCAGAACCTGACTCCGGGGTGGGGGGAAGTGGCTGTAAGCATGGTCGAAGAGGAAGGTAGGAAATAGTACCAGAGTAACTTCTAAACAAAAATCTGTCAATTAATTTTCATTCGTTCTTGTTCATATTTTACCTTTTTATGCCTTGGAAAGTACTATTGGCCATGTCTATAATGCCACCAGTCGGTCTTGCTATGGCTCCAACCAAACCCTTACCCATCCCTTTGAAGAAACCGACTGCACCTTCCCTTTGAGCACCTGCAGAATCCAAATAAAATAATTTAAATATTTACTTTTAACCTAACTTTAAAAAAAGCTTGCTGTCTGTGAATAAAAAATATGCAATGTTAGAATTGCAGTAACGTTATCCTTCCCCACAAAAAACAGAAAATCTGCCTGCACCTTAGGTTCAGGGGTGCCTTATGTTCAAATGGATATAGTACATTCCAATATTTTGCCTACCTTCAATAGGTTTTGTCACTATTCCAGTGATTCCACTTACAAAACCCTACAAAGAGAAAAAAAAATCACAACCACATATACATATCACCTGCCTTCAACATTATATACTGCTCAATACCCATCTCTGAAATAATCCATACTATTGCACTTTATTGTACAATAAAGTATTGTACTTGTACTCAATTGTACTTTGAGAAGTAACTGGCAAAAAAAAGATTTAATTTCAACAAGTTAATATTTTACAGTTTCAACTTCAATGTATAGATGTACTAGAGACCATAATATGGGAAGGAGTTTGTGAACACTTGGAAAGAGGGAGATTCATCATTGATTTGTAAAGAACTTGACTAATTTAATTAATTTATTTTCAGCAATTCACTAAGTGAATAGATGATGTAAATCCTGCTGATTTAATTTATATGGATTTTGAGAAGGCATTTAATAAGGTGGCACAAAAGAGGCTAGTTTAAAAAATGAAACCATGTAGAATTCAAAGCATTCCTGTGGCACACATACAAGGGTGACTGAGAGATGAGTTAAATTGATTTTCTCAGATTAGCTAGAACTAGTTATTTATGTTTTACAGGAATGTGAGGTACGACATGTAGTTTTCAAGAGTCAAATGCGAAGAATCAGGGTCTCCAGGAACACATCCACGTCTCAAGGACCCATTGGAAGTCAGGCAAGCTCGTCTATCATCAATGATTTGGAACAGTGCAGCAGTACATGGTTGTAATGGATTATTGATACAGAATGGAGTGGTGACCGTAGTGTCGCTTGTCAAAGCATATCTTCCTAATTACATATTCGCTTAACCTAGTTGATTGGACGAAAACTCGCAATTTACTAATTTAGCTAATCCTACCGAGACCAAGCCTCTTCCTCCACGGGTAATGCCTTCTGTAAAGCCACTTGGCTGTTTGTTCATTGCCTCTCTACGCCTCTGTTGGTACTCCTCATCCATGGTTATTGCTGCAACACCTTTTGCCATGGCACCAGTTATTCTGGATGCAGCACCTGCAAAACCTCCTACAGAGAGAATTTAGAATGAATTTCACTAAAAATCATCACACAATAGAAGCAGTTTAGTTTTCTATTAGGCTCTTGGATATTCCTCACTTTTCATATCTACACTAAAATAATAACGGTAAAAGATACAATAACTTAAGCACTCAAGAAAAATCAAAAGCAGGGTTAATCATGAATTGCTGACTTGAAAATAATACTAATAATCCTTGCATTTGATATAGAGCTTATCCCGTTTTCTAGATGTCTCAAAGCGCTTCACAGAATATACTGTAAAGTGAATTGACGGTATATTTCTGGGCAAATTGCGCACAGCAGTGTCCCACAAACAGTTGTGGATTGAAGTGACCAATTTATTATTTTTTTTCTTGAGGGATTATTATCAGGTGTGTGGAGTAAGGAAACGTGCCCAAGGTTTCGCCCTGCCGGGAATTGAACCTGGGTCTCTCGCTTGTGAGGCGAGTGCTCTAACCACTGAGCTACAGGTCTCCAATATGATTATTTTTTGAAAATTCAAAAAAACAGATCATTTGATCACCAAGGTGTCATTTAGCCAAGATAAATAGACAGTGCAGCATAAATAAGTAAATCAGGTAAGACAATATTTTGCTCAACATGGAACAAACCCTTACTTTAATAACATGAAGTATGGAACCCATCAAGCTGGCATCTTTCAAAATAATTTGTATTGTTGATTGGTTCGCGTCAGCGCCTCCGCACCTCAGGCACTGACAGCATCAGCATCCAAGGCTGCACTCTTCACCTCTCAAAGCCAGTCAGGAACATCGGCGTTCTGTTCGACCCTGAGCTGTCCTTTCTTCCCCACATCCGTGCCACAACTGGCACCGCTTTCCACCACCTCCGGAACATCGCCAGACTATGGCACTACCTCACCCCTCACGCTGCTGAAACCCTGGTCCACGTCTTTATCACCTCAAGACTGGACTATGGGAACTCTCTCCTCGTCGGCCTTCCCGGCACCTCCCTCCACAAGCTGCAGGTCATTCAGAACTCTGCAGCTCGTGTACTGTCCCGCACCAGGCTTCGGGACCGCATCACTCCCATCCTCACTCCCACCCTCGCTCGCCTCCACTGGCTCCCCATCCCCCAGAGGATCGAATTCAAGATTCTCATCCTCACCAACAAGGCCATTCACGGCCTTGCTCCCTCCTACCTCTCCGACCGACCATCCCCCTACCTACCTGCCCATACCATTCGTTCCTCTGGCTCCGGTCTGCTCCACATCCCCCGCCCCAACCGCCCTACCATCGGTGGCCGGGCCTTCAGCCTCTCAGCCCCTAGGCTCTGGATCTCCATCCCCCAGTGCCTTCGCCTTGCCTCCTCCCTTTCCTCCTTCAGGGACGGTTTCAAGACCTTTCTCTTCAACCGTGCCTTCACCTCCCCTCTCGACTCTCTACCCCCTCCTCCCTTCTCTCCCCTCACCCTGACCATTTCCACCTGCTCGGGTCCCGACCCAACTGTCCAGCGCCTTGGGACGTCCTCCCGATGTGAAAGGCGCTCTATAAATGCAATCTTGTTGTTGTTGTTGTATTTATGAATTTTCTACAATTATTTTACCTTCTAAGGTAGGTGAGAAACTGCATAAAAGGGACATCAGTTTAATATGATTTAACAAGACTGTTAGCACGTCACATATGAGAATGCTATGGCACTAATATTGTTAGAACTACAATGTTCAATTGCTCTTTTATCATCTCTAAAGTTATTCCTGTTCTTAACTGGTATTCCCATATTTCCCTTTTAAGGAAAAATATAACAACAGTAATCCTTGCATTTGACATAGCGCCTTACCACATCTTTGAGACGCCTCAAAGCGCTTCATAGAATATACTGTAAAGTGAATTGACGATACTAAGCTGGAGGGAGGTGTGTAGGATGTCCCTCAGGAGTCGTTATTGGGACTACTGTTCTTTCTGATCTATGTTAATGATCTGGACCTGGATATAGGGAGCATAATTTCCAAATTTGCAGACGACACTAAACTAGGAAAAGTAGTTAATGGTGAGGAAGATGGCACCAGACTCCAAGAGGACTTAGACAAATCGGTAAAATGGGCAGAAACGTGGCAGATGAGATTTATTGTGGAGAAATGCAAAATGTTGCATTTTGGTAGGAAGAATGAAGAGAGGCAGTATAAGCTGATGGTACAATATTAAAGAGGGCAAATGAACAGACCTGGGGATCCACATAAGCAAATCTCTGAAGCTGGCAGGACAAGTAGATAAAGCTGTTAAAAAAGCATACGGGATACTAGGTTTTATAAATAGGGGCATATAATTCAAAAGTCAGGAGGTTATGTTGAATATTTATAAAGCACTGGTTAGGCCTCAGTTGGAATACTGCATTCAGTTCTGGGCACCGCACTTCAGGAAAGATGTTAGGGCATTGGAGAGTGTGCAAAGGAGGTTTACCAGGATGGTACCAGGAATGAAGGACATTAGTTATGAAGAGAGGTTAGCGAAACTAGGATTATTCTCCCTAGAACAGAGAAGATTAAGAGGGGATTTAATAGAGGTTTTCAAGATCATGAGAGGATTTGATAGGTTGAACCGGGAAAAACTGTTTCCACTGGCTGTGGGTCAGTAACCTGAGGACACCAATTTAAGATAGTTGTTAAAAGAAACAGAGGGGAGGTTAGGAATTTTTTTTAACCCAGCGAGTTGTTCGGATCTGGAATGCATTACCTGAAAGGTTAGTCGAAGCCGATTCAATAACAACTTTTAAGAGAGAAGTAGATGGATATTTGGGAAGGACAGGATTGCAGGGCTACGGGGAGAAAGTGGAATTGAGTTGGATTGCTCTTTTGGGAGCCGGTGCAAACGTGATGAGCTGAATGGATTCTTTCTGTGCTCTGTGATTCTATGAATATTACCTCCGGAAAAGCGATCTGCCAATCGACTGATAACTGGGTTCTTACTTACTGCTAGGTAAACAGAGGCACGTGGAGTAAGGAAACTTTCCCAACATTTTGCCCTGTTCGGGAATCGATCCCAGGTCCTTTCGCTTGCGAGATGAGTGCTCTAACCACTAAGTTACAGGACGCCAGGTTAGTATCTTCAGATAATTTGGTTTGCAAATTTTGAATTTCATTTCTCTTGTTTTGTGACCACAATTTTTTACAGATCTATTAGTCACACTTTTAGTTTTTGAAACACCTTGAACATAAATGTTTTTGAACTTTAAATGTTTTTGACTAAAACCACAATAAATTTGCAGAGTTACTCATCAAAACCACTACCCTTATCTGAATTTATTCCAATAGAATAGCTAGACTGAAAAATAACTATCCAATTTGAAGTTTTTGTTTCCAATACTTCATTTCAAATTACATTAAGAAAATTGCAGATCCTTTGAAGTGATCACTGCTCAAAGTATTGTAGACTGAGGAGAAATAAATATACTTTAAGGAGTAAGTGTAGAGAAGGCGATTAGAAAATAGTACTGTGAAGTCCATCTGATCTTTATCAGGGCAAAAAGCTATTCATGAAACTAACAAAAGATCTTAGTTTATTGTCAACAAGAACAGCAATACATACCAACAGCACCTCCAACCAATGCTTTTACACCCAATGCCATTCCTTCCACAAATTCTTCAGGACCTTGGATTGCTCCCTGGTGAGAGATTTATTTTTCAGTCATATAATTATCTGTTTTTTCGCATTAAATTGAACACTATCGCTTAGCTAACAGTATTTGCATGGTTTAAAAATGTGACCAGAAACACCCGAGGGATTTGTTGTTTAGTTATTGTATTGTTAGCCAAGCAGTACATGTTGTAAATTCCTAGTCGCATGCAAGGATTTTAGTCGAAAACGCCTTACATACACTCACAAAATACAGGTAAATATACTTCACATGTATGTTTACATATATATTTACTTAACAAACATCTACCACCATTCAATGCAAAACTTTGCATTCTTTTTTGTTTTTGTTTCGTGGGACACAGATGACCCGCCCCAATCTCCATGCAGAAAATGGTTAGATGCTGCTTGTCCTTTGCCATGACATGCCCTATTGGAGCTACTCATTACTGCTGGACTTGCTTTCTTCTGCTGGCCTGGAGTGGTTATTCTGATATGGTCAAGCTGACCTTGATTGACAGCTGCCCTCTCCATACAATATTACTGGTGTTTCCATGGTGCTGAAATCCACGCTTTCACTCGTGTTACCCAACGTTTTAGCAGATAATCAATAAGCAGTAACCAAGGAAATAAAGCAACAATCAAAAAACACTTGCACACTCTGCTTATCATCTTATCATTTTACCAACAAACACACAAAAAGGTCAAAGTACACATGCAAACGCCGGGCGAATAAGTATTGAGATCACATGTACCATGACTGGGTCTATTGCTCATTTTTATTTACTAATCAAAATGCAATTTTGCCACATCTAGATTCCCAAATCACACCTTGTGGTTAGTAGCTAATGTATTTGACAACCCTGCTATCTAACACTGTTCAAATGGTAAAGACTGAGAAAAACTGACAGCATTATCAAATTGGCATTAGTAGGGTGAACTTTAGGTGAGTTTCCATTGTAATTTATTGTTCAAATGAACATTCAGGAGAGCAATATATTTTGTAAATTTATTCTTCAGAATCACTTTAAAGCTTTAAGGCCTTCCTATTGTAATAAAAAAAACAATCTAACCTGATAAGGTTCATAGAAGAAAGCTGTTACACCTTCTGATAAATCTCTGATTAATCCATAAGGATTGCCCAAGACATCTAGTCCAAGAAATAGCACGTACAACTGCTTGATTGCCTAAGGAGAAAGAACAGTTAAAAACAGCCTTTGACATTTTAGCAGGAATGCTTAAGGTGACCTGGTTGCTTCCATGGCAAACCAAATTAAACTAAAAGAAGGGATCTCCTTATTGTTCTTGGTTTAAAAAAATGCTTTATGCCATTTTAACCCAATTAAATACTCATTTTAGCTATTTCATTAAATATGTGGTGTCTACTGTGATTGATGTAAATGATGGCATGGAGGAGGGAAGCAGAGAAAATAATACATGAGCTGTTGATATTCAGGGCCAGAATTTAGTCCAACAGTTCAAACAACAACAAATTACATTTGTACAGCGCCTTTCATGTCGGGAGGACGTCCCAAGGCGCTGAACAGCTCTGAGATGAAGATGCAAGAAGTAGATCTCTGCTGGTTCAACCAACTATTGTGAAGACAACACAAGAAATACCTCTGCATGTCTAGAAACAAACCTTAGCAATAGGAGTCCAGCAATCACAGCACCTGCAGGAGCTGAAGAGTTGTGGAAGAAGCAGGAAAGCAGAGCTTGAAGCCAAGAGGATACAGCTACCAGTGGAATCTCATCACAGCAATGTTCCTGGAAATTGGTGGAATTCCAACCAACAGTACATGATTTTACCACAACTCTACGTCTGCAGGTGGATGCATCAACCACTGTCCAGCTCTTCTTACATCACAATTGCACGTCAAGTGTATTTTAGAACTAACCTGTTTAGAATAATGTCGGACAACCTCCTGTTGAAGTTCTTGTGCTGTGTAAAATTGATTGTTGAGTTCAAAACAAGCAAGCCTGTAAAGAATAAATTCATAAATCAATGCATGCTTAATCGGTCTTAAATAAAGAAAATGTGTTTCTTGACCTATAGGTAACATTACTGATGGTAAAATACAAAGTTTCCTTTGCATGGTGGATCTCCACTAACAAAATACTGCAGTGGGGAAAAAAAACACATTCTATAACACTGCTTTAGTTAGCACCTGCTCAGAAATGGATTTAACTAAAATTGTTATGACACAGAAAGTGTATCAGATTTAGGAGAGTTGCAAAGGATAAAACATTGAAACACAGAGTGGTGGACATTACAGCTCCTGATGCACAATTTTGTTTAGTTGGCACTGTAGTCAATTTCAACCTTTACAAAAATATATACGTAACATACATACCTGAAGACAAGATCTTGTGCATCAGTGAGAGTTGCTCCAATGCTTTTTAACAAAAGGTTCACAGACTGTAATGGCATCACTTCTGATTTTCCTTGCTCTTTGGAGGGATCTTCTCCTCCAGCACTGAGAGAAAAACTCAAATGCAACTGCAAAAATGCACAAAACAGTGCAAATCAATTACATTCACACAAAACATTTCATTTTGACATTTGATGACATTTTTTTTTACACAAAATATTTAAGTATATTGTGAACTGTTGTTAGTTTGATACAAAATTACATTTGTATGGTGCCTTTCACGTCGGGAGGAAGTACCAAGATACTGGACAGTCAGGGATTTGGACCCGAGCGGGGGTCAGGATCGAGGAGGGTGGATGGCAGGGAGGGTAGGAGTGGGCGAAGGCTCGATTGAAGAGGAGTGCTTGAGACATGCCTTGAAGGAGGCAAGGGAAAGAGCAAGGTGAAGGGAATGTGGGATGGAGTTCCATAGGGTGGGGGAAGAAAGGCTAAAGGCCTGGTCGCAGTTGGTGGGGCAGACCGAACGGGGAACGTACGTAGAGCTGGCCAGAGCCTGCTGAGTGAGCGCACAGGTTGATATGGGGTCAGCAGGTCACAGAGGTAGGGAAAGGCAAGGCTGTGGAGTGCCTTGAAGGTGGAGGACGAGGATTTTGAACTCTATCCTCTGGGGAAAAAAGAGCTAGTGGAGCCGGGCGAGGGTTTGGGTGATGGGTCACAGAGCCTGGTGCGGGAGAGGGCACGAGCTGCAGAGTTCTGGAAGATCTGCAGCTTGTGGAGGGAAGAGTTGGGAAGGTCAACAAGCAGGGAGTTGGCGTAGTCTCGCCTAGATGTGAAGAATGCGTAGATGAGGATTTCAGCAGCCTGAGGGATGAGGCCGTGGTGGAGCCGAGCGATGTTGCGGAGGTGGGGGAAGGCAGAGCGGGTCATAGCACGGATATGGGATTAAATCTTCAATTGAAATTTAAAGATCAATATGAAGTAAAATAGAACATATTAGCCTCATGGTAACATAATTGTATTTAAGTGTGTACTTACTTTGATGGGAGAAATGTGGAAATACTCATACAAACTGACTGGTGACGTGTCTGTGAAGGAATCATCCATTAGCTCCATCTGAATACATTCAAGGTCCTTTTGGAACAATTCCACCTTGGCAAACAAGGATTGAAACTCATGAGATTGCAAAATCTGAATTGTTTATCAATCAAAATGGTTTCATTTTAAATTGGAAGAACAACTGTCACGCTCCAATTTTTGGTTACTTTTGCTTTCTATGAAAATCTGGACAAAATGCTTTATTTTGTTCTAGTATGAATAGTGATGTACAAGAATTAGATATGTTTTATTGATTGCAAGTATGCATTTTATCGACATCTACATCAAGTAAAATACCAACAGGTTATAGTTGGAGACAACTATAATGACAACTAAAACTAACATGACTATTTTGTGGGTGACACTGTCGACCAATCTATTCTTCTCAACAATCTTTCCTCAGCTCCAGCTTCAGTCTGTCCTTGCCTGATTTCATTCTTACCTATCCCAATGTCTCCAATTCATATCTAACAACAGCTTCTCCTCCAACCCACGCACTGTCACATGCAGAGTTCCTCAGCATTCTAACCTAAGCCCTCTCCCCTTTAACATCTACATGCTCCTGCTTGGCGATGTCACCTGTAGACTTGGGGTTAACTTCCACATGTATGTGGATAACACACAACTCTGTATGTCTGCCTCCAGCTTCAATTCCAGGACCACTGCTGTTCTGACTGATTGCCTATTGGACATCAAATCCTGGATGAGAGCTAACTTTCTCCAGTTGAATGTCGACAAGATAGAGGCCCTTCTGCTTGGCTCCCGTCAGTACCTTCTCACCTGAGATGCTGACAGAATCATGTATCTGGATGAATATTCACCTCATAAAGCCAGTGTGGGACCTCAGTATCTTGGTCGACTGTCAACTGTCCTTTAAACTCTATTTTGTGCCTTGACCTGTTCAGATTTCTCCTACATCCGCCTCTGCCACTACCTCTCCCCTTGGACCACCACCACCAAAAACAAATTACACTTGGATAGTGCCCTTCACGTCGGATAGATGTCCCAGGCTGCTGGACAGCAAGGGGTTACCAAGAGCCTAAGCTATGCTCTTATCGTCCAGGCTTCACTACACAAACAATCTTCTTCCTGGACATCCCAACTTTTCCCTCCACAAGCTGCAAACCATTCTGAGGCCCATGTCCTCTCCCGCACTAGGATCCACTCCCATCCTTACCCAGCTTCACTCGTTCTCTTCCCCCAGAGGATTGAGTTCAAGATCCTCGTCCTCAAATTTAAATCCCTCCACGGTCTTGTCCCACCCTACCTCTGTGACCTTCGAAAACCATAGCAAACCGCCTGCTCCTTTCGCTCAGCAGGATCTGGCCTGCTTCATGTCCGCCGCTCTGCCCGCCCTAAAAGCCTTCAGCCTTTCTGCCTCACTCTCTGGAATTTCATCCCGGAGTCCCTTCCCCTCACCCCATTCAAGGTCTATCTCAATACCTGTCCTCTTCCCATCCCATCCACTTTGGCCCCCACCCCCAGGGTGGTGCCTGAAACCACAATTTTCTGACTCAGAGTGAGAGTGCTACAAACTGAGCCATCCTGACAAAGAATGCAGATCATCCTAAGGTCACACAAGTGCCAAAATAAACAAACAGTCAGCATTAGTGTAGCTTTAAATTGTTTTTCTACCTTTTGCTCTCCAGAAATATCATCTGTTGGCTGATTGATGAGCTCCATCAAAGCAAAAAGGAAACCCAGATCTACCTTCAGATCCATTTCTTGAATGAGAACCATGAAATACCTGTGATAAGTATAAATAATTAAAAAATCTTCAAGAGGGTAATTTAATTAAGAATTACTTTCCAAGTAACTCATGTATGTTTTTTAGAATTATTTGGAAAAAAATAATCCTTGTTTTGAGAATATAAAATATAATGCACAAATGTCTTAAGAACTACAAAGATAATTGATGTCAAATGTAGTGACAGCATGCAGGCAATTTGCCCACACCAAGGTCCCACAAACAGCTGTAAAGTGAATGCGAAAAATATCTGGAGGATTATTAGTCAGGACACCAAGAAACATTTCCTATTTATTTTCAAATACTGGCTTGATATATTAAACATCAACACAAAAGCCGGGTGGACCTTGGTCTCATCCAAAGCATTGCATTTCAGAAATGCAGGGCACCCCAAGAACTGAACTGGAATGTATGTCCTCAGAGATGGCAAGCTCAAACTCCTGATGTAGGACATAAGATCCACAACCCTCTGATCCAGAGGTGAGAGTGCTACTAATAGACCCAAGCTGACAGATATAATTAGAGTTCAAATTAAAATATGCTACATTTGGGTTTTCTATTTTGTTTACATTTACTACAAATATGGGAGTTCTTTGCTTTTCTCATTCGATTTAATAACAATCATGTTTTAAACAGTAGGATTTTACAAAATAATTAGGACCAAATAATAAATATATCCTAGAAACTAAAGATCTTGAGCTACCAATATTTCTAAAAACTATATTATTTTGCTTTTGACTACCGCTTTGTGCAGATATATAATTTTTTTTAAAAAATCACAAAAAGGTTGATATTCAACAAAATTTTAAATTAGATTTAATTATGTCAACTGAGAGGATTAACGTCATTCATATCTATGACTCACTTGTAACGTGGTATTTTTGACTCTCCTGCAAACCTTGTGACAATACTGACATCGGCAAAAGGTTTTGGTGCTGGTAACAAAAGGAAAAAAAGTACATAAAAATATATACTGAAATATACAACACTTATTTTTCCAAGCTAAATTTTAAGCCCATCAAAAAAAATTGTCCAACATTCATCAATCTTACTGCTTTGCCTTTTGTATGGAAAAAAAGTAGTCCAATTTTTGTAAAAGCTTTCAGGTATAGTGCTCTGAGATATTAGCCTATTTGAAGAGTGCTATGTGTATGCAGGATGATGATGATTTAAGAATGCAATTCACACCTGTACCCAATATACGCAAGGTTAGAGATTCCCACTTCAATGCTGTAATATAATAAGTTAATGGTAAGGGAAAATATAATTTAACTTAGTTTCAATATATCAAAAGTAGAAATGGGTTCCATCGACTATACTGTAACTAGTTTATTTTGAACTGCAACATGTCCGAATATTTATCTATTTAAAAAGTTCTGAATGCATCTGAAAATAAATGTTTCCATGCATATATTTGAGCAAATAAAAAAAATTGTTAATACAAATCATATCAAACTAACCTGAATCCATGTTGATAGATTTAGGAGGGATAATGGGGCAAAATGGAAAGGGAAAGATGGCTCCACCAAGCTGGTTTTGAATCTGACAAAGAAACAGTACAGTAGTGCTTTTAGAGAGGACAATATGCTTTATTCATCGCATATTCATTAAATCTCTATTTAATCCTATTTCATGCTGGTTTTGTATTGGTTATCCTGAGAGTCTGAAAACAGCAAAAGACCCTTGCCTCCAATTCTAAAAGTTGTTCGGAATTTGATTAAAATTTTCCAATCTCATTTCATTCAGCAATCTTACAAGATTCTCAGGAACAATACAGCTTACTTTTTTTGCCAAGAACTCTGCAGTTTCCATTGGCACTCACTATTCCACCGGCATTTCATTATTTGGATTCAGACCATGAGCTCCCAGCTCAAGAGTACACGCTATGAAACTCAATGTACAACAACAAAACTACATTTATAGAGCGCCTTTCAGGTCGGGAGGACGTCCCAAGGTGCTGGAAAGTCAGGGGTCAGGACCTGAGCATAGGGGAGGGGTGGGGTAGGGGTGAGGGAAGGCAGAGAGGTGGGAGGACGACCGAAGGCACGATCGAAAGACAGTCTTGAGACAGGTCTTGAAGGAGGAAAGGGAGGAAGCGAGGCGAGGGACTGTGGGATGGAGCTCCAGAGTGTGGAGACAGAGAGGCTGAACGCTCGGCCACCGATGGTAGAGCGGGTTGGGCGGGAGACATGGAGCAGACCGGAGCCCGCTGAACGTAGGGAGCGGGCAGGTTGGTAGGGAGTCAGCAGGTCAGAGAGATAGGAGGGGGCAAGGCCATGGGTGGCCTTAAAGGTGAGGACGAGGATCTTGAACTCAATCCTCTGGGGGATGGGGAGCCAGTGGAGTCAGGCGAGGGTGGGAGTGATGGGATCACGGAGCCTGGTGCGTGAGAGTACATGAGCTACAGAATTTTGGATGATCTGCAGCTTGTGAAGGGAAGAGCTGGGAAGGCTGATGAGGAGGGAATGTCCATAATCGAGCCCTGATGTGATGAATGGGTGGCTAAGGGTTTCGGCAGCCTGAGGGGTGAGGTAGTGGTGGTGTTTGGCAATGTTGCGGAGATAGTGGTAGGCAGTGCTGGTCATGGTGTGGAAGTGGGGGAGAAAGGACAGTTCAGAGTCAAACAAGACACCCAGGTTCCTGATGTAAATAGTTGCTTACGACTTTGTACTACCAGCTGTGCCAGCTACAAAATATAGAGAACCACAATATTATTTTGGTAACATCTGTACTCTAGAAATTGAATTGTATTTGTTACTGCTCAATTATTTCTAATAGTATTGTTACAGAACTTTGATTAATATTTCTAGGCTATTCAGTACAGATCTGTGGGAATTTTTATAAGCAATTCATGGTTTACTGTTTTCTTTGCCAAAATAACATTATTTATTTTTACCAGCTTTTAACATACCTGTATCCTGTAAATCTGAAACCTCAGAGATTTCTGGTGAGCTGAGACTGCATATTCTACTTTTATAGCTGGTAAATAACTTCTTCTCAGTGCTGCTTCATAAGGTTTTAATAATCTCATTTCCAAACCGGTCGGAGTCAGAAGAGCCTTTGCACAAGATTAATTTTTATATTTATAAACCAGTATTAAATGCTACAATTAACTTGAAATACATCAATTTCAATTTGGTAATGCAATTATTAGGTTATCATGCATGCAATAAAATACGCAGTTACTGGATCTTAAATCAACAATAAAAAGAAATTATAATATAATACGCAGTCTGTTAAATGATTTCAAGATTTTATTCTGCAGAATGAAATGACTTTGGTGCTAGATTTGACTTCCTTATCCTTCTTCATTCTTTTCCTCATCTATATGCTTCCTCTTGGCAACGCAGACACAGGATAAATTTCCACAAGTATGCGGATGACACAAAAATCTGCTTTGCCTCCTCTAGCTGCGCCTCCAGGTCCGCCGATGTTCTATCAGCTTGTCTGGCAGACATCAGGGCCTGGATGAGTGCAAATTTCCTGCAGCTGAATGTGGACAAGACAGAAGCCATAATCCTTGGCTCCTGTCAACGTCTTCACTCCTCAAACTCCCTGGGCTCTCCCTCACTCATCGAACCAGTGCGTAATCTAGGCGTCCTTCCTCCCCCACATCCGGTCCCTGACCAGGACCGCCTTCCTCCACCTCTGCTACTTTGCCCCCCTCCGTCTGTACCTTACCCCAAATGCAGCCGAAACCCTCGTGCATGCGTTTGTCACCTCTCGCCTGGATTACTCAAACGCACTCCTCGCCATCTCCCCAGTTCCACTATTCAAAAGATCAAGCACATTCAGAACTCTGCTGCCCACATACTGACCTGGACCAAACTCCGTACCCACATTTCACCAGTTCTGGCCAGGCTCCACTGGCTCCCCATCACCGAACGGATTGACTTCAAGATCCTCACACTCGTGCTCAAATCCCTTCACTCCCTTGTACCACCCTACCTCTCGGGCCTCCTTACCCTCCAATCGACCACCCGGCACCTCCACTTGACTGGCATCGGCCTCCTGCTTGTCCCTCGTGCTCTCCACTCCATCATTGGAGGTTGCATTTTCAGCCACGACCCCCCAAAACTCTCCCTCAGTTCCTCCACCTTGCTACCTCTCCCCTTTTTCAAGTCCCACCTGAAAACTTTTCGACCGTGCTTACGGTAACCTCCCACCACAACTTGCAGTCAGGCTCCGCCACTATTAAGCGCTCTGAGACGCTACGCTGTGTGGAGTGTGCTATATAAGTTGCTGTTGTTGTTAAAGCCTATGGAATTATTTTATTCCTTTCTCCTGTTGCAGACAATTTAACAATACATTCCCTGAGCTAAGAAAATCTAGGTCATGCATCACTTTCTCAAGCTGTAAAAGTGCTAACTTCACTTCTATTTATAATCTGGTGAATAACTCAATAAAATTGGACTTAAGCAAGTTAAGCAACAAGCATTTCTAAGACATGGACTTATTATTGGGCAGGATCATGAGCATAGTTTTCAAAACTGACCTGAAAATCATGACATGATTCAACAATCTGGTTGTTTTGGGGGCCAGAATCCTTATAATCCTTAAAAACCTTCTCCAATTCTCTTGTCTGTTTTATGCTTGTTGGTTTCCAGCGGGATTTAGCTTTGATTTTGGTCTCCCAAACAATGTCAGAACTGGATTGCACATAAAACAAAATTGTATTTGAAAATCTTCATATTGTAGATTCAAAAATGTACGACTAATTAATTTTCTATACTATTGTGCGTTGTTTGAAATTAAACATTTTTATAACCAAAAATACCGATTTGTGACTAAAACACAGCAGCTAATGCAGCAACAACAACCACCACCTTACAGTTGTATAGCTCCTTTCACGTCAGGAGGACGTCCCAAAGCACTGGACAATCAGTGTTTCGGACCCAAGCTGGGGGTCAGGACCGGGGAGGGTAGAGGGTAGGGGGGGGGGAAGGAGGGTGACCGAAGGCACAGTCGAAGAGGAGGGTCTTGAGATGGGTTTTGAAAGAGGCAAGGGAGGGGGCGAGGCAGAGGGCCTGTGCGATGGAGTTCCACAGGGTAGGGGCAGAATGGCAGAAGGCTCGCCTGCCAATGGTGAAGCGGGCGAGGCGGGGATGTGAAGCAGGCCGACGGACCCTGCTGAGTGGAGGGAGCGGGCAGTTTAGAAGGCTGCAGAGGTAGGGGGGGAATCAAGACCATGAAGGGCTTTGAAGGTGAGGACCAGGATCTTGAACTGTGTGATGGGGTGCCAGTGGAGTCGGGCGAGGATGGGGGTGATAGGGTCGCGGAGCCTGGTCCCCGAGAGCACATGTGGTGCAGAGTTCTGGATGATCTGCAGCCTATAGAGGGAGGAGTTAGTGAGACCGACAAGCAGGGAGTTTGCATAGTTGAGCCTGTATGTTATGAATATGTGTATGAGGGACTGGCTTAGTAAGGTGGAGTGTGCATCCTTGGATGGTGATGCTGTCAGTTCTGACGGGAGCCAAGCAGGAGAGCCTCAGTCTTGTTGATGTTCAACTGTAGAAGGTTAGCTCTCATCCAGGACTTGATGTCTGCCAAACATTCTGTCAGGACAGCAGTGGTCTTGGAGTCAAGGGTGGAGGCAGAGAGTTGGGTGTCATCCGCAAACATGTGGAAATTGACCCCATGTCTGCTGAAGATGTCACCAAGAGGGAGTATATCGATATTGAAGAGGAGGGGACTAAGGACAGAGCCCTGGGTACCCCGCACAAGACGGTGCGGGGGCTAGGGGAGAAGCTGTTTGTGGAAATTAAGTGGAGACGGTGTGAGAGGTAGGAGCTGAACCAGTCAAGGACAGAACTACAGAGGTTGAGGTGAGAGGAGAGGTGGTGGATGAGGATAGAGTGGTCAAGGTTATCGAAGGCAGCAGAGAGGTCAAAGAGGACGAGGAGGCAGAGGGAGCCCTGGTCGCAGACAGACAAAATGTCATTTATCACTTTGACCGAAGCTGTTTCTGTGCTGGGGACGGCACGGAAACCCGATTGGTGGTGTTTGTGAAGGGAGTAGTGGGAGAGGAAGAAGCGAAGCAATGACATTTTCCAGGACCTTGGAAAGGGAGGTTGGAAATGGAGTGGTAGTTTGAAAGCAGAGATGGGTCCAGGGAGGATTTTTTTTAGGATAGGAGTGATGACGGCTGTTTTTAAAGGTGTGGGAACCGTGTCAGTGGACAGGGAGAGGTTTATGATGTTTGTGAGTAGAGGGGCAAGGAAATGGAGCTGAGGGGTAAAGTGGCAATGAGAGAGGAGGGGGAGGTTTGAAGTTTGAAGTTGTGGAGGGAGGGATGGGGAGGGGTGTGAGAGGGAGATGGTAGTGGTCAGAAGGGCAGAGGCAGCTAAGTGGAACGCCTCAACTTTGGTTTTGAGGAAGACCAGCTTCTCCTCGCAGTTGGAGTTGGAGGAGAGGATGGGGTGAGGCGTGAGAGGGTGGGTGGAGGAGCCGGTTGATGATGCAGCAAGAATTATAAAGTATTATAAAGATTCAGTAAAGAATCTGAAATAAAGCATGCATATACTCACCTTGTTATGCCAATATAGACCACTTCCTGTCTTATTGAATTATTGACCAGTGAGAGACCTAGATTCTGCAATGAGAGATTGATTTCCTGTGCTGCAAGCTCTGCTTTCTCATTTTCCTTTGTAACTTTAAATATTTTCTCGTCTTTCGTAAACACAACAACTCGCTGAGTACCCTCGAAAATTGATGTCAAATAAATGTTCCCATTACTGCTGTCAAACACTGAGAATTTATCCTAAGAGAAAAAATACATTTGAGTATTGAATATTTTTGTCACTTCCAAAGGTACTTTTTTATTGCAGAATGTCAAAAATTTGATTTCAGACATATCGAATTCTCGCAAATGGACCTTATCATATCAAACATTTTCAAAACACTTTACAAGTATTTTCCTTTCAAGTTTAGTAGCTGTTTTGTAGGCAAATGGGTAATCATTCACACCACCAAGACCCAGAAAGAATAATTAGATAATAATAATCCTTGCATTTAATGTTGAAATGTCTCAAGAATTCAATGGGTAGGAAAACATACTGATCTGTCGACAGGAAAATGGTGGCAAAGCTCTCACAAATTTTATGCTGAGCTGTGCTGCTAGGCAGGAAGTTTGCAAATAGCTCCCAATACTGCTTTCCATCAAGTGAGGACTCAAATCAGCATTTATTAGATATCAAATACTATTATTATTAGATAGTTACTATCCTAAGTGGGGATGAGTTTGGGGGGGAAGACAAACAGGGTGTTCTTGAGGCTGACAATGTCGGCAATGGAATGTCGTGATCAAGTCATTTCTCTGTGGCGGTTGCGGAAGTCCATTTCCTGAGACAGTTGGATCTGCAGTTCTTAAAACTCTGCTGATTCCAGCCTGGCCTGTGAGCAGGACCTGGAGGGACATCTCATTGGGGGCAGTAATTTCCCACACTTGGCTGCTTTTAACCCTGCTCACCAAAGAGGTTTGGTAGTCCTAGCTGGAGAAGCAGCAGGAAACTTGCAAACAGTACTCTTAATGGCAAACTATGCTATTTCAGTTGGTTAATCTCCAGCAGTACCTCAATGCCCATTCTGCATTGGGATACCCAAGCCCTGGTTCATGCCAACCTCTACCTCCTAATAATCTCTGGCATTAGGTAAGAGGTTGTGTCCCTCGAGGAGTAAGTGTACAATCCATTCCAGACCCAGATAAATATTCAAATGTAAGTAGCATACATATGCAGTAAAACTTGCATAAGTCATGTCAGTCAGGACCATGATATCCAATACAACTTTCGTGGAGTCTGAGTTACAGACAAACTTGTACAAGTTAGATTTTATATGACTAACACATAACAATAAACAAGTACCTCTTTTTCCGCACTTGTTTCAACCAAGTACGCTTTACTGTACTGCACATGCGGTAAGTGCACCTGTGGCTGTGGGTCAAGCCTCTGTTTCCCTTGTTTGCTTCAAACGGAACACTGCTTGTGCAGTATTTCAATGCAGCCGGTAAGTGTAGTATCGGCGTCATGCGTTAGGAGATGATTGGCGTTACGAGTTAGGAGATGTATTTGAGACTAAGAAGCTATTAACGATTTAACCGTTTATCCAATTTATAATAAAATATGACTAGTGCAAAGAAATTTAAGTGTCTTTTGGTAGCAAACTGAATGGAACTTGGATGCATGTTAAGCAATTATACGATTTATAAAGAGAAGACTTATGCGATTTTTACTGCATGTGAAACTCTCAGTCAGGTTTGGATAGTTTTAAACAGGGTGATTGTTTTCTGCACCACATTAACCAAAAGTCTCAAATCGCATATAATTACTGAGTATTTGGAGGCAAAAGCACAAATTAATTTGAGCACAGCAGTGTCCCATAAACAGCCATGAATGTTGTACTTTAGTTTAATGCCTCTTTTGAAAAATGGGACCTGAGTAAATTGTACATTTGAAAATGTTACTCCAAGTGATTTCTGGATACGTACCTCTACGGCACTCAGCTGTTCTGTAGAATTTCCAAATTTGCAGATCAGTGTTCTGCATCCTGTTAGATCTTCCCAAGTGTAATACATTGCTTTACCTGGTGGCAGTTCAGTTGCTTTCTCTGTTGAACAACTAAAAGAAAATTGTGATTCTTGTAATTAAAAAAATCCTCATATTCAGCTTCAGGATTCTCTTTACAACAAACTTACATTTGTATAAATGAACATCTCCAAGCACATTACAGATGAAAAAGAGTAGAGCAAGGAAATGCGATATCTAAGGGTGTTGACCAAAATTATAGTCGAATAGAAGTTTTTTAAATGTTTTTTTTAAGTAGGAAGGAAGGCAATGCGATCTTGGAAGGGACATTGTGACTAAAGGCTGAACCATCAAAAGTGGGATGGAAGAAGAGTGAGCAATAAAATAGAATTAGAAGAGTGATGGTACAGAAAGGAAAATAAGAATGGAAAGGATTGCATTGATAGGAAGGAGGGAAACTACATAGAATTGCATGGCAGGAAAACACGTCATTTGGCACAAGTCCGTGACAGTATTTAGATTGGATTTAGAAGACCAGAATTTTAAAGCGACTCTGCAGGAGTAGTGGAAACTTAGTGAACATGGGAGCCATGAGTGTACAGAATCTAATGAGGGAGAGAATACACATTGCAGACTATTGGATGAGTTGAAGCTTTATTGTAGGTAGGAATGTTTAAATTCAGTATAAATCTGGAAGCAGATTGTCCCCAGTCCTGTGTTTCTTCCACAAACCAGAGCAAAAAATAACTGAAAGCATGGTCAAAGAGATAGGTCTTAAATTCTTCATATTTAAGATTGGAATGACATGATTGCCATTCAACAGAAGACTTTACAGGAATTATGCATTGATGGTTACTCCTTATTTTTCTTTACCCAATATGAATAAAGAGTATATGAAAGTGCCATAATAGTTTCCAAAATGTAATTTAAAAGGATTGCTTGATTCTAGTTATTAATGAAGTAACATTTTGCCTTCACATCAAGTGGCAGAGAAAGATAGATAGAACAGTTAGTAATCTCCATGCTTTCGTGGTTTAGTTGTGGACCAATATTTCAAACAAAATAACGAGGAAGATCCCAGGAGGTAGAATTTTCTAAGTTGAAGCTTTACTGATGTTACCTTTTTTAATAAAATAAAGCTACAGCATAACTTTTACACAACACTATTCATTCTTCAGGTTATCTTATTCCTGCTGAATATTATCAATACACAAAAGGCAAAATACTCCAGATGCTGGAAATGTGAAATAAATATAGAAGTCACTGGTTCTGACGAAAGGTCATCAACCTGAAACGTTAACTCACTTTCCTCTCTCCAGAGGTGCTGCCTGATCTGCTGATTGTTCCCAGCAACTTCTGTTTTTATCTTCAATATATATGTGACATAGTATCTGGCCAATGATGGTTTAATAAAAGGTCTGTAAAGTCTGAAGTTATTAAGAGATGGAATTGCCTCGATTTATAAATGTCACAGCTTCAAAAATGTTTAGGCTAGCAAGCAACCTATCAAGATTTTGCACAGAATATAGGGTCTGTTCCCCTACAAGATACAGTCATTCCAGTTTGCAGTAGAAACCCATGGTCACCCCCTTCTCCCTTACTCAGGATCCAACCCCGCCACATCAATTTGTAAATTTGAATTGCAATTATGAGGTGCAACTGTATTACTGTAATTTCATGAACACACAGATTCTACCACAGGAATCAAATTTGTTTCAGGCATTGAATGGGGATAAAAAAAAACATCTGTAGCATTATTTATTAAAATGATATATTCCATGTACCTCTGATGATATTCAATGGTTTCTGTACTTGTGTGGTTAATAATGAGGAATGTAGCAGCTCCTTCATGGTAATCTGAGAAAGTGATCACTGTTGAATGTTCTGCCAAGTGTACATCCACTATGATGCCTCCAAACTGTAATGCATTGGAGAAAACTGAGTCAATCAAGAATAGCCTTGCTGTAGTACATCCTAAATGCAGCTAGGTTTTAGAATCTACCTTCAATTAAAAATCTAGTTTCTGCTATTTGGAAAACATGAATTGTGAAGAAGAAATTGCGTACAAACAACAACAAGATTCCATTTATAGAGCGCCTTTCAGGTCAGGAGGACGTCCCAAACTAAGTAGAAACATAAATAGAAAACAGTGATTGCTGAAAATATGAAATACACCAATCATATGATCAGTAATATTACAATGCAATAGTACTGATTAGCAATGCACCCTTTTTAAAAAAGGGTTGGGACCTTATGAACTCCAACATTATAATAGGACTCTGCTCCATTGGGTCTTTTGCAATTCTTGTTTAAATATGCACTGAGGTCTATATTTTACTGCACTTCTATTCCGTTCTTACTTTGTTGTCCAGACGTAGTAATGCATAATTTTCTTGTTTGTTGAAGTAAACCTTTTTAGGTGATGCACTGCATCCTTCAACTCGGACTAGGAATCTCTTGCAGTCCTTGTCGGGCCAAAATGGAACACACTAATTGAAACAAATGATATTGTATTATAAGACAGGTCAACACAAATCTAAAACCAGAATAATATTGAGCTTTTCCTTTACCAGATTTTCTCAATAGACAATCTAACAGTATGTAGAGATGGATTTAGTTCTTCCTCATTTACTTAACCATTACATTAAGCAATAGTAACCACATTTGTATTATTTCACAAGTAACACAATAGGAAAATCTAACTGGATACCAACTTCAACATGTATGCACACACACATATTGATCAGTATACCTAAACATACATATTCAAATGCAGGGCAACATAATAAAATGACCTAAACTACATGCTAGTCCTTTGCTTCGCATTACTCTTATTGGTTAAAATTTTAACACCTGTTATATTTTAAGATGGAAATATCTGTCTTTTGGATAAAACATTAAATTAAGATTCTGCCTGGCTGTTCAGCTGTATGTTAAATATCCCATGATTCTATTCAAAAAGAGAAAGGAGTGTCTCCCAGTGTCATGGACACGAATCTCCCAGTTAAAATGGATAATGAACGTTATCGCTGCTCGTGGGACATTGGCAGCCACATTCGGCTGCAAGTACACAATCAGTGCACTTCACAGAAAATTCTGTGAAGTGAATTATCCATACAGAAGCATGTCATCTTAAAGAGACCATTCACAACATTAAACAGTAAATTCAATGCTAAATTACCTGATTTGAATCAATCCAAAACCAGTTTTCTTCTGTCTCTTCAGTTACTTCTATTCTGTATTTAGTATGATTGATCAACAAATAAAATGGTGTAAAGGTAGCGATTCTGGTTAGGTTGAAGCTGGTAGTATCTATTTTTACGCCAACCTATTCAAGAAAATCCATATGATGGAAGTTTATTTTGTAAAAACGTAATGCAAAAAACTACATATACAACATTTCATTTCTTTCACTTCCTGTGCATTGCACTCATGAAACACTTCCTTCACAAAGTCTCATGGAACATGTGATTATAGCCAGGAATATTTAGCTTTGATCTGATACATGCAGAAACCTATCAACATGCTCAATAGTATCCAAACTAGGAAAATGAATGCTGCCATTAGCTTGTTTTTGGGGCAGACCCCAGCTACACAGATTGATGCAGTGAATGGTTTGTCAGTTTGGTTATATTTCTCATAGACCTCCCCTCACTCTGAATCTAAAGAATTTCTAAAGGATAGAGGGATTAAGGGATATGGAGATAGGGCGGGTAAATGATAGAAATCACAGAATCATACAGCACAAAAAGAGGCCATTCGGCCCATCGAGTTTGTGCCGGCTCTTTGAAAAGAGCAATGTAGTCAATCCCACTCCCGAGCCCTTTCCCTATAACTCTGCATATCCGTCCTCCTCAAATACCCATCCAACGCGTTTTTAAAAGTAGTCATCGAATCGGCCTCGACCACCCTTTCAGGCAATGCATTCCAGATTCGAACAACTCGCTGCGTGAAAACATTTCTTCTCACCTCCCCTCTGCTTCCTTTAGATACTATTTTAAATCTGTGACCTCAAGTCACTGACACAACCACCAGTGGAAACAGTTTTTCCCTTTCTAAACGATCAAATGCCCTCATGATTTTGAAGACCTCTATTAGGTCTCCTCGTAACCTTCTCTGCTCCAATGAGGATAATCCTAGTTTCTCAAACCTTTCCTCATAATCAAGGTCCCTCATTCCCGGTACCATCCTCGTAAATCTCCTCTGCACCCTTTCCAATGCCTTAACATCCTTCCTATAGTGTGGTGCCCAGAACTGGGTGCAATATTCTAACTGAGGTCTAACCAGTGTTTGATATAGGTTAATCATAAGGTTAGAAGATCAGCCATGATCCTATTAAATGGCGGGGCAGGCTCGAAGGGCTGAATAGCCTACTCTTGCTCCTACGTCTTATGGTGAATTTCAGGAGTATAATCACTAATCAAGCGATACATTCTTACAATGTATTTACATTACAAGAACATTACAACATACTTTTGTATAGCATCTTTCAAGTTGGGTGGACATTTCGATGTGCTTCACAGTGCTGAATGAGCACGCAAGCTGGGGGTGGGAGCTGAGGAGGATTGAGAGAGGAAAGATGACCAACCAAGGAAGTAGATTTTGAGACGTGCCCTGAAAGAGGGGACGGAGGAAGGCAAAGAGATTTCAGGATTGAATTCCAGGGAGTGGGGACAGAATGGCTGAAAGGCTTCCTGCCTACAATGCATTTGTAGAAGTGCCGGGAGAATGAGGAAGCACTGATACATCAATTTTGTGTAGATTGTACATGATTCCCAGAAGGTCGAAAGTGCATGAGTATTAAAGCAATCGGTGGGTAAAATGTCATGCCTGATCGAATTGTTGGAAAAAAAGTAACCAAAACAGAAAAATACAAAGAAGACATAATTCTAAATCAGAGTTAATATGCAGTTTATTCAGCCTTCTATTTTTCAGAATACACATTTAATATTTTGTAATTTTCTTACCTGATACTCCTTTTTCATTCCTTTGCATTTAACACAGCCATAGCTAGCCACAGTGTCCAGAGAGAATTCATCAGATAAGTTGCTGTCAGTTATCCTAAGCTGAACCTGCCATAGAATATAACAATTTCAACATTCAATGAAATTACATATTTGTGTTCAATCAATATTTTGTAATGTGATTTTAACTATGCTCCTTACCATAGATGAAACTGCTTTTGGAACATTTAAGAATGATTACATAACAGGAACAAAATGTATTATGATGTTGTTATTCTATATACATATATATATGTAAATTGCATTGTATTGTAATCTGACATTTGACAACTTTTAAAACTTATCCTCTGAATATTAATTGCACAGAATAATAAAATCATTTTAAATGTTATCCAACGCAAACAAGAGGAAACCTAAATATAGGTATACAGATGTGATGCAATATTCTCATGACACAAGATTTCTTTGGAAAACCAATGAAGTTTGCAGGGAGCAAAAGAGTGTGTTCTTGAATGGGAAAAGGATAGTCAAGGAAGTGACAATTCTCTCTCCACCTACCCCTCCCCAAAAGAAGTGGGTGATGTTGGGTTGGCCAGTACTTTTTGCCCATCAACAACAACAACAACAAGATTCCATTTATAGAGCGCCTTTCACGTCGGGAGGACGTCCCAAGGCGCTGCACAGTTGGGTCAGGACCCGAGCAAGGGGGAAATGGTCAGGGTGAGGGGAGGGAAGGGAGGGGGTAGAGAGTCGAGAGGGGGGCCTCTCTTTAAACCCTTGTCCTTGCAACAATTTTACAAAATATTGATAAATATAAGGCATTTCATTTTGGAACTGTAAGCAGTAAACACGTTCTATAATCAATTAGCTGAGGTGGAGAAGTAAAAGGAATTGGATGTGGTTCTGTCAGTCACTAAATATTTCCAATCAATATGAAGCTGCTATAGATAATCAAGCTCTAGGTTGCATCTTGTTACTTAAATGTTTCAAGTTTTAATAGTATTATAGATACATTTGAATATTTAAAAGAAAATTTAGTAATGTCTATTTCATAATGTTCCAATAATATTTTACAAAGGAGAGTACCTAACAAACAAAACAAAAAACAAAAACAATCAACCCCTAAGACTGGAAACTAAAAGAACTGTAATTCAAGATTAAAACAAACAAAAAAATCCTACCTTGTTCTTATGGAAAAAGTTTTTGGGTCTGAATGAAAAAAGAAGTGGCTTGTTGTAGTCCAAAGGATGTTTATGATGAATATCATCAGCTTTATATTGAAGCATCCGTCCAGTTTTATTCAGCATCCAATAGGGGCTGTACAATGCTAGCATGACATGTCCAACATTGTAGGTCAAATGGATTGCAATATCCATATCAAATCTGTCATTATCAATAACTGCAGTGAACTTAACAAATTCAATGTCTTTTTGATTGCTTTTGATGTAGTACTCTCCTTCCCAGCTATGTTCAAAATAATTCAGAATGTGTAGTTCTAACTTGGATTTGTCCAGTTCAGCATTATGAAGCTGGGCAGAATGTCCCTCTTCCAGTGTCACTGTTTGTTTTGTATGTTCCTTTAACAAAAGAAAATTGCAAGCATTTTAATATCTCTTTGTATATGAAAGCAAAGGAAAGTGCTTTAAAATGTTTTCAATAATCTGCTTTGGTTTTTTAGTTTTATTAAATAAAACTGTTCTCACAGGTGAAGAAACACTTTACCGATAGAAGCTTTACTTTATCAACCAAAAGCTCAAATCTTCCAAAACACATGTTTTTTTTGTCAGTCGAGAATCTATGACACATGTGGAAACCCATTATCATCCAAATCTGTAATCGATGGGTTGACTTAATTCTAACATTGCATTGCTAAGCACATAACCTTGAAGCCAGCTCAGCTCTGAGGAGACTCCACTTACCTCCCTTGCATCCCCCACCCAAATCTGATTATTCAATGTCGATATTCCTATCATTGTGAAGCAGAATCACCAAGCATTGGATTATTCACCCACTAATAGAGATTGTGAGATGGGTCTAGACTCTAGACCATGGTGAGACAAGTTAGTTTACCTGACTGATGATGTGTTATTGCACAATTGTTGGCCAACTTTAGTAAGGAAGTCAATTGGATATTAACTATAATAATCCTTTCATTTGATATAGCGCTTTTCACGTCTTCTAGACCTCTCAACGCGCTTCACAGAATATACTATAAAGTGAATTGGTCGTATATCTGTGGGCGAAACACGGCAACCAATTGCGCTCAGTAGTGTCCCACATACAGTCGTGCATTGAGTGACCTAATTATTATTATTTTGTTTCTTTTTTTTTGAGGGATTATTATCAGGCTTGTGGAATAAGGAAGCTTGCCCATGGTTTCACCATGCCGGGAATTGAACCCAGGTCTCTCGCTTGCGAGGCAAGTGCTCTAATCACTGAACTACAGGACTCCACCTTCAGGATCTGGATGTTAGATCCCTGTGTTAAATTTTTTTTTTTTTAAAAATTCCTTCTACTTTCTCCCAATTTAATTTATACTGTATGAAAGAGGAGAAATCACAAGACTCATGTTAACAAAACCTCTTAAAGACCCTTTATTTTTTATTTAATGATACTATAATTCTAGTGTGTGGAAGAATGAAAAAGAATTAACACACCGGTAAACTTACCTCCCACTTTACAGAAACATTGACTGAATAAGGCAAAAGGTTTTGAAGAATTGCAGGTGGCCAAAGATGGAGAACATATGCATCACATTCTTCATCAGAAATTGCATCTGAAAAATCAGATGTAAGTTGATCACGCATGGCAACTAAGTTGATTATTAGTGAGAGCTGCTCACTGGATCCAGATAGTTGACATTCTCGAGAAAACATTGCATTTGTATTTCTCTTTATGTGATCAAAAGTGATCATCTCACAGGGATCATACACCTCTTCGCTTTTTGTTATTAGCTGGAAACAAAGATCTGATCTGAAAACAGAAATGTTAACAAACCAAGTAGATATTACAATTTAATATTTGGAATTATGTTCCATTAAGATAAAACTTAATTTTCGTCTAGCATTCATTATGTTATGTTCTTATGTTATATAAAATTAACATAAATCATGTAATTTAAAAAGGGTGACAAAAATCAAAACCAAAGCTACAATTCAGAGTGAAACTTCAATAATGGGCAAGATTGCAACTGCACTTTGGCAAGTTTTTCCAGTTTGTGAAGTGAAACAAAATCACAACTTTACCAATATATCAAGTGCAACAACAATACTATCCCAGCTATCTCAATGTGTTGAGCATAAGAATCAATCCAACCTATAAAAACTACAAAACTGAATTTTATTTTGCATAAATGTATTCGGATAATACATTGAATTTTTGCACTTTAAAAATAAATATTGCTATTAGGTTTAAGCAAAAAAATGATCAGTTGCGCATTGATAGTGAATAAGCAAGTTAAACAAAACTACGTATAAAATAATAATAATAATCCTTGCACTTAATATAGCGCTTTTTACGTCTTCTCGACGTCTCAAAGCGCTTCACAGAACAGACTGTAAAGTGAATTGACCGTATATTTGTGGGCGAAACGCGGCAGCCAATTGCGCACAGCAGTGTCCCACAAACAGTCATGGATTGAAAATTACCAATTTATTATTGTTTTTGGAGGGATTATTATTAGGCGTGTGGAGTAAGGAAACTTGCCCAAGGTTTCGCCCTGCCTGGAATTGAATCCAGGTGTCTCGCTTGCAAGGCGAGTGCTCTAACCACTGAGCTACAGGTCTCCGTACAGGTCTCTGTATAATCAAAATTTAAAGTGGAGAAACAGTAATCTATATAAAACGTGCCATGTTTATTACGCCCATTATAGTTCATGAACATGAAATCATGCAATGATTTTTCTAAACTAGAAATTTTTGATTGCATTGTAATAAAGGTGAACTTGATGATTTCAAACTGAAATGGATTCCCGAAAAATCTCTTCTCTTAAGATACTTTATCTATTGTAACAAAAGATCAATTTATAAATCATATAATTGTTTTTCTTTCTTAAGCATAATGCAAATTATCCTGCAACTAATTTTGTGTAAAGTTTCTACATTTGTAAAAAAAAATCTTGAAGAATTAAAGAGATACCATACCTGTAAGAAGGTAAAGGAAGATTGAACTCTTGCTTTGGCTGAACTGTACCAAGTAGATTCAGGTTAGACTTTGTATTTTCAAATACATTGAAAGGTACTGTAAAGTGATTCTTTACCTGTAAATTTTGAAAAGGGAAAATAGAAACAATTTAGTTATGGAAAATCATCTAAATGAATATTATTCCAAATGTAACAAGCTGTGGTTTTATTTTTTCTCTCCTCTTTTTGTTACTGAAACATAACTGGCAGATACAGTGATTTCACCATTTGAAAAACTTTTTCAAAGAGGTGCTTAATTGTATAACTATGTTTGTAAAGGCAATGTACTTACTGCAAAGGCCTTGAAACATTACAAAATAATGCAATTTTTTATTATACGTTTTTTTTGGTCAGCCAGTTATTTGACATATGTGGAAATTCATGCTTCCAACATATGCTTCAGAGTATCCAAACCAGTTTCCTCTGTACTCTCTTCCCGGAGGACACACCCTGCTTACGTAATTCTGAAGAGTATTCATCCTTATCCTCACCTTCAAGGCCCTCCAAGGCCTTGTCCCCTCCTATCTCTCCAACCTACTAACCCCGTTATCAACCTATCCACTCCATCTGCTCAGCAGACTCCATGTACCCCGTTCGCCACACCATTGGCGGTCATGCCTGCAGCCTCTCTGATCCACCCACTGGAACTCCATTCCACATTCCCTTTGCCTTGCTCCCTCCCTTTCCGACCTACTATCCCCCTACTTACACCTCTCCGACCTACTATCCCCCTACTTACCTGCCCATACCCTCCGTTCCTCTGGCTCCGGTCTGCTCTACATCCCCCGCCCCAACCGCCCTACCATCGGTGGCCGGGCCTTCAGCCTCTCAGCCCCTAGGCTCTGGAACTCTATCCCCCAGTGCCTTCGCCTTGCTTCCTCCCTTTCCTCCTTCAAGGCCGGTCTCAAGACCTTTCTCTTCGACTGTGCCTTCAGCTCCCCTCTTGACTCTCTACTCCCTCCTCACTCACTCCCTCCCTTCCCTCCCCTCACCCTGACGATTTCCCCCCTGCTCGGGTCCCGACCTAACTGTCCAGCACTTTCTGACGTCCTCTCGACGTGAAAGGCGCTCTATAAATGAAATCTTGTTGTTGTTGCCTCCTTCAGGGCACGCCTCAAGACCCTCCTCTTCGACCGTACCTTCGGCCACCTTTTCTGCCCTGCACCCTCCTGATCCCAACCCCTCCACCCCCGGTTCAGGTCCTAATCCCTGACTGTTCAGCACCTTGGGACATACTCCTGACATGAAAGGCACTTTACAAATATAATTTTGTAGTGTATTAGGCAGATTGAAAAGATCTGAGGCTTGAGAACTGCATGCATTAAGAAAAAACACAAATATTTAAATAATTAACACACTATAATGAAAAAGTGAATGCTATTATGAACATTGTACCTGAAGAGGAGATCGGATTGTTATTATCTTGCTCCCTTGATCTGCATCAATCTGGCAAATAATGCATCGCTGAACAGTTGACTCATTGTATGTAATATTGTACATACGACGGCCTAATTTTGTTAGTGGAATCTGTTCAGCAGTAGAGTGACCCTGAGGAGCTGCATGCAATCAAATATAACAGAACAGTTTACTGAATACAAGATATAAGAAACATTCTCTCCTGGGATGGTGGTGGGAGGGGGGAAGGGGTGGTGAGAAGATGTGGGGGAAAGAAGTGGAAGCTCTCACAAGAATACTGTTTAAATGTTAACATGTCAATGTGAATGATCCATCCCCAGTACCCTTGACTCACAGTCTCACTCTTCTCTGCAAAGCACCAACCTGGGAACAGACAGTCTGTCCAGGGTCAATATCCTGGGGTTTCTGTGTCTGGAGCAGAATACTGCAATCTATTTGACTTGGAAAGTAAGCATAACAACAAATTGCATTTAAATAGCGCCTTTCACTTCGGAGGGACGTAACAAATGCTGGAAATTGAGGGTTTGCACCTGAGATGGGGGTTGTGGAAAGATAGCCAAAGATGTGGTCAAATAGGACCTTGAAGAAGGCAATGGAGTTCCAGGGCGTGGGGTCAGATAGTATGACGACCGACACTTGATGGTGGGGTAGGCAGGGTGGGAGACATGAAGCAGACCAGGGCCTGCTGAGTGGAGGGACCAGGTCGGTTGATAGAATTTAAGAAGATAGCAGATAGGGTGGGGCAAGACTGTGGAGGGATTCAAAAATGAGGACATGGATCTTGAACTCAATCCTCTGGGGGATGAGCCAGGAGAACTGAGCAAGGGTGCAGGTGATAGGCTCATGGAGCCTAATACGGTGGAGGACATGAGCTACTGAGTTCTGGATAGTCTGTTCACTTACAAGTAACCCAACATGTGCAAATTGTTTGGTTTCACTACCCTTGGTCAAGGTTCCATTTATGCCGTCTAAGTTTAGAATTTTAATTTCTAAATTAAAGAATATTTGTGATTATTAGTGCTATATCAATCAGTGTATACATGCAGGAGTAGGAACTGCCAATTACAATATATATCCTACAAAAGATAAAATGTACAATTACTGTGATTCTGGTGAAGCTTCGAAAGGTTCCCCCCACCACAACATGCTTTCTCTACATTAATGTTACTATTATTAACATAAAATCGCAAAGTATTTAATAGAGTGAATGCCATAAGGTTATGGGTTCAAACCCCACATTGGGACTTTGAACTCATAGTGTAGGCTGACACGATAGTACAGTCCTGGGAGAATGCTGATTGTTAAAAGTGCCATCCTTTGGATGACTTTAAACTGAATTCCATCTGCCCATTGCCTGTTCAGGTAGATGTTAAAGAACGCATGGTGCTATTCAAACAAAAAGGGAGTTTCTTCCAGTATCCTGGCCAACAATCCCCCAGATAAAATTAGTGATTAATTTCAGGGTTGTTTGAGGGACAGTTCTGTGCTCAATTTGGCTGCCACGTTCACATATAAAATACACAGTCACTGCACTTTAAATTAATTCCTGTGAAGCACTTTGAGATGCTTTGACTCAGTGTAGCACTATATCAACTGCAAGGATTATTGTATTATCATAAATATATTTCACAGAATGTATGTAGTTACATGCAATGCGAAAGTAAATTAAATTATTTTGAAGCCCAGAGCCTCGAGTTATAACCATCAGAAGGGAATAAATGTTTACTTCATGATGAATGACCAAAATAACAATCTTACTTAGTGATATGTAAAAAAGCTTATTGGCCTCTGCACAGGTCAGGTTCAAAAGTTGATCCTTTTCACTCGTGGTTGGCTGGTAATCCATGCTGAGATTCTCTCCAATTGTCAGTTCATATGGCTCATGTCCAAAGTCTTGATTGATGAAGACAAGCAAATCATGAGGAGAAATGGTAACAGGAAGTCCTAGGGAATTCTTCACTGCAAAAGGTGCTTGGTCTTTCTGAAATACTTCAGCGGTTTGGCTAGCTGCTTCAGCAAATGCCTAGAAAAAAGGTAAAACTTAGAAGAGACAGCTCAATATTGGCAAAATGTAAGCCAATTCTAAGGATATGAATGCTTCAGCCATTTTGTCCCCATTCTCTGGAACTCCATCCCAGAGTCCCTCCGACTTGCTCCTTTCCTCCACTCTTTCAAAGCACATCTCAAAACGTACCTCTTTGACTGTGCTTTTGGTCATCTTTCTCCTCCCTCCTTCATCTCTCTTTGCTCCTACCCCCCAGTTCAGGTGCCCAGCCACCGTTGTGAAGGCACTTTAAGACGTTCCCTCGCTATGAAAGGTGAAACGCTCCCTGACACGACACCGTCTGAAGGGCGCTATATAAATACAAATTGTTGCTATATAAATGTAAATTTTATTTTAAATTAAGCACTCAGAGACACCACCCCGTGTGAAAGACGCCACAATTAATGCAAGTTGTTGTGGTTGGCAATTCCAGACTCCATAGGTTGATTGGTTTTGTAAGGACAGTATTTCAAGCTCACAGACTGGAATTTTAAATAGATATATTACAGTAAATCAGCTATGAATCTTGTAGAATGAATAGCTATTAACTCTGCAATTGGTCTTGGGACCCTGATGTTAGTCGTGAAAAATTAAGTTGCTTTGATTCATCATGCAATTACCACCCCACCGCCCCCCCCATCCCACCTCCACTTTGGAAGGCACACATTTAAGAATGTTGGGTGAGAGCACAATCAGGCTTTTAAGTGAGAAAGTGGGGTGGCAAAAAGCTGCAGAAGAAAAAAAAATATGTGGAATCCCTTCCCCACCAATCAAACACATTTTAATAAAATTAATAAAGCACACTTCAATTACGCTTGCCCATCCTGTGTATACCGTGTGTGATGTTCTCTATTCTTTACTATTGTAATGAACTTGGGAACTGACAGTGTGGAAGGTTACTAGGGTGGCCTTTGGAGCGTACTCGAGAGGGTGGAAGATCTCTCTCTCTCTCTCTCTCTGAGGCTCGGGGAACGAGGCCCCAGCCTAGTAAACAAGAAGGCTTGAGGCCTGGGCCACATGGCTTGCTAAGCAGTGGAAGACAGCTGAGCAGTGAGCTTGGGGATTCTGAAGGTGAATGGTCTTAATAGGGGTTGCAGAACACCAAATGCAAACCGAGGTGCCAGCACCCCTCTGGAACTGTTACTGGTAAAGTGTGTTGTTTATCTCTGTTCGGACTGTCAAGGTTTCCACCTCCCTGGATGCAAATCTTGAATTAAGTGTCCATCCATGTGGCCAAATATAAATCTGGCTCGAGTGTTCTACTATCATTTGACCCAGTTTTATATTTTTAATCTTTAATTTCTACCCAGTCTACCGGTATTTCCTAACTGCTATCTGTAATGTTGTTTTGTACCTTTTACTGACCTATCTTTTCTTGTCCTCTACTTCTACTTTGATGTGTGAGCAAACTTAGAAACCAGTTTTCAGTGGCTGAAAATCAGTTTTGAAGGGGAACTTCAAAAGCTGAGACTTCAAAGAATGACAATCGCATCACAGAAGTGATTAAGGTAATCTTGACATTTTTTATACCTAAATCAGGATCAAGGATGTCAAATGTCAAATGACGTTTTCACTTTGACTTCCAAAAGGTCTTTGATAATGCCTCACACAAGCCTTCTTTACCATTTAACGTCAGTAGGTATCAAGTGCAACAAATGAATTAATAACCGTCTAAAGAAAAGAAAGCAGTGTACTTGTAAGGGAAGTTAGGTTAAGTGTCTACATGCTCCCCTTGGTGACATCATCCGCAGATACGGGGTAAATTTCCACATGTACGTGGATGACACCCAGCTCTACCTCTCTGCCTCCACCCTGAACTCCAGGACTACTGGCGTCCTGTCCGACATCAAGTCCTGGACGAGGGCCAACTTTCTCCAACTCAACATCAGCAAGACCGAGGCCCTCCTGATTGGCTTGCGCCAGCGCCTCCGAACTTCAAGCGCTGGCAGCATCAGCCTCCACGGCTGCACACTCACCCTCACTAAGGCAGTCAGGAACCTGGGTGTCTTGTTTGACCCTGAACTGTCCTTTCTCCCCCACGTCCGGACCATGACCGGCACTGCCTACCACCACCTCTGCAATATTGCCAGACTCTGCCATTGCCTCACCCTCAGGCTGCCAAAACCCTCACCCAACCATTCGTCACCTCAAGGCTCGATTACGGGAACTCCCTCCTCATCGGCCTTCCCAACGCTTCCCTTCACAAACTGCAGATCATCCAAAACTGTGCAGCTCATGTACTCTCACGCACCAGGCTCCCCATCACTCCCACCCTCACCCGAGTCCACTGGCTCTCCATCCCCCATAGGATCGAATTCAAGATCCTCGTACTCACCAGCCTTTAAGGCCATCCATGGCCTTGCCTCCTCCTACCTCTCTGACCTGCTGACTCCCTATCAACCTGCCCCTCCCTCCGTTCATTAGGCTCCAGCCTGCTCCATGTCTTCCGCCCTACCTGCCCTACCATCGGTGGCCGGGCTTTCAGCCTCTCTGCCCCCACACTCTGGAACTCCATTGCACAGTCCCTTCACCTCACTTCCTCCCTTGCCTCCTTCAAGGCCAGTCTTAAGACCCTTCTCTTCGACCGTGTCTTTGGTCTCTCTCCCACCTCTCTGCCTTCCCTCACCCCTACAACCAGATTTTCATGATCTTGGTGTATTTAAATGAGGGGTTATTGCAACAAAGTTGAATTTGTAGGTGACCCGAGCTAAGACTGCGGAATCAAAGAAGGAAGCTAGGATCTAACAAAGGCTGCTCAACAGGATATGTATCTGGGTTTATCACTGACAAATGTTGTTTAATAAAGATAACACAAAGGCATTTCAGATTGGAAGAAAAAAAGGAAGCAGACACTACACTCCATGTTTCCCTTCAAATTACTATCAATGTAGGATCACATCACAATTGTGATTAAGTTGATCCTGAAACAGTTTTATGCCTAAACCAGGAACAAAAGTATCAAATGTCTTATGATTCAGTACATTCAATACATACTTTCAGTACATCCTGTGAAGCCCTTTGAGATGTCCTCCCGAGGAGAAGGGTACCATATTAAAGGGAAGCATTATTCTCATTATACGTAACATCTCATGTAAAAAGTGATATCTCAAAGGGGAATCTATAAAAAGCTAATCGGATAAAGCAAGTTAAGTTAAACACTTCAGAAAGACAAGGGTAGTAGGGAAAGAGATGGATTTACTTGTGAAGGACAAGCTCAGGAAGTATTTCTTTAGACAGATGGCAATTTCTTCAATTGATAAGAAAATCTAAGGACTTATTTGCTACAGTTGAAGCTACATGTAAATAAGAAATCTTATGAGCCAGAATGACTGTTTTCTAAATGCTGGTAAAGCTGAGTTTGTAACAGGGAAACAAGTCACAGAAATCCCTTTGTGCATGTATGTGTGGGAAGGGGAGAGAATTGAAAGAAGGTGAAGGTGTAAATGAAACATATGTGAAGTGGTAACTACAACTCTTAATTTATATGGAGAATGCTGACAACAAATAATTGATAAGAAACTCTTGAAAACCGAGGTAACAATATGAAGGTTTTTAAAGAAAATATTCTTACCATGCCTAAATTGTTCAGCATGTTCAAACCACATTTTGACAATGTAATGTTGAGCTGGTCTTTGGAAGAGATATTAATGACAGTTTTATATTCTGGGACATTGAACAGTTCCTTCTCATTTTCCGTGTTTGCCTGTTGTTTGACAACTTTCTTCTTTATCTGAAGTAGCAAAGGAGCCAAAGTGAAAGAGAAAATTCTTTTTTAAAAAAACCAATTTAAAAATGGTCTATTATTTTCTAAAAAATATATACTTTACTCAATCCTTCACATCCAGTGTACATAGCATCTTATCTTTAGTCATTTATAACCTGTTGCAAGTGGAAAAACCTCAAGTGTTGAGATGGATTTTTTTTCACTTTCCTGAGCAAGAAACTGAAATAAATTTTTTTTTGCTTGCAAATTGTCCATTCTGGACCAATCATTTATACCTACAGGAAAAAAAACATACACTGTTTGGCCACAAGGGAAGCAACCTTGGGTGCAGATGAAAGTGATAGTCCCCTTTGAACGTAAATAGGCTATGAAGAGCATTTAAAGGTGAAACTCGTTCAAACAAGAAACTCATCAAATATTTAAAATATACCAAATTGTGTAGGTTCACACCTAAATGAGTAATAATCTGCAAAGGTGCCATTTTTGAAATCACAGAAGACGCTCTACAATTAAAATACTAAACAAGTTTTGAAATCTATTTATTTGAATTTCATTTCAATATGAAACTTTAGGTGCTGAGGGGTGCACTGCACCGTCGGAGGTGACTTTTGGATGAGACGCTAATCTGAAGTTCCCCGTTTGTGAAATGCGTTGACACATCCTCCTGACGTGAAAGCGCGTACACCAAATACAAAGTTTATTTATTTGTTATTTTTATGGAAAATACCTTTACAATGGGATATAATAGTTAATATTCTTTTTTGGATGTACCATCACCATGCTTAAGAATATCCAAACCAGTTAATATTCATACTTAGTAACTTCACTTCACAGTAAACCCCATGAAGCGCTTTGAGAGATCCTCCTGATGTGAAAGGTCCTACATCAAATGCAAGAAATATTAATATCAATGCATCAACTCTTGAAGTTTGGTCTGAATGAACACAGGGAGAAAGTAAAATATCATATCTCAAATGCAATCCATCCTCCACAACCAGTCCGAGAGGAGAAAAATAAATCTCGGCAAATTGTTTCTTCTACGCCCTGGTATCATTCTTATAAACCTACCCTGTACTGTTTCCATCACTGCTATATCCTTATAGTGTGGAGATCAGAATTGCAACCAAGACTACAAATGTGGTTGAGCCAAGGTTTTGTATAAATTCAACACTACCATTTATCCAGAAGAAGACTTGTATACTCTACTCTTCTGGATATAAAGCCCAAACTAATAATACTAATACTACTAATACTTTTTGTTTAAACAAGAAACACTTGTATAGAAATTATACCTGGGTATAGATTTACTCTTTGTTAGCATTTCAAAGTGTGCAGAATTTGGCAAAATGTTGAAAACTCGCTTGAAAATTAAAGACTATTTAAAAATTTGCCAAATTCTGGACCCTCTGAAATGGTAAGAAAATAGGAATGAACAGCCTATTTCCTCATTATTAATCGTACAACTTCTTTTTAAGTTTTTAATTTCAATTTTTTAATTCAGCTCTCTGTGGATGTTGCCTGACCTGCTGCATGTTCCCAGCAACTTCTACTATTTTATTCTTTTTAAGTTAAGTCAGCAATAGATTTCAATATTGTTATAAACACATGTAAATTAGTGTAAGAACAAACCTTTATCCAAAGTTCCCATGGTCTAAAGCATTCACTGTTTTCAACTTCCAATGGTTCCAGCAGTGGTTCCCACACTGCAAGCACTTCATTGTAGTAGTGTACCTACCAAAGCAAACACAATATGGATAGTTCCTTCTTAAGCAATTAATAGTTTGCACCAATTTGATTGCAATTTTATTTAGAAATTCATTATTTTCCCCCCGCTATCCATCATAGATAGGTACCATCCCAGAACTACATATCTGCAGAGGAGGGCTCAAATAACTCACACTGTTTTATGAGAGACAAATGCATGTGTCTACAATTGGCCAGTAGCATCCCAATAAATAGAGAAGGGCTCAAATAATTGACGGTCAAACTTCCTCTTGAATGCATCTATACTAATTGATTTAACCACACTATTGGCTGTCACTTGTGTAAAATATTACTCTGATATCACAATATACCATTTAAACAACTTATTTTACAGAAGACTATGGAATTAAATGCATAGGTTAGCTAAGAAGGCAGATAAAGTGCAAATGGAATCCATGCAGAAAAATACAAAGTAGTGCATTTGGGGAACAAGAGGAAAGAAAAAATATACCTCAACAGACAATTTTCTTGTTGAAGTGGAGGAACAGAGATACCTAGGAATACCTTTATGGTTTTAAAAGTAGGAGCAGAAGCAGATAACACTATAAAACAGCAAATGGAAATTATATTTTATATTTAGGGGCACCAAATACAAGGAGTAACGAAGTAATTTTAAGTTTGTAAAATAGATTGGCCAGATTGTAGTTAGTATTGTGCCCAATTTTGTGACATCATGAACATGGAGAGGGTGTAGTGGACATCCAGTGGGTCAGGGATGCCCAAACTTCTGGGCTAACGCCCCTCATAACATTAGGCATCCTGACTGAGGACTCCCACACAACAAATGCATAGAAATTGAGTACCTTACTTTAATTGCAAACAACATTTTAAAACTGACTGCCAAATGAAGTTCAATATAGAAAAGTGCGAATGTACTACAAATTAGAAGAATAGGAGACGTGTGTATGTTCGGTGCTCCAAGACACTATCCCATATGAAAGGAGCTATATAAATGCAAGATCTAGGAAGGTTAGTTGACGTATTGGTCACCATGTCAAAACAATGTAATGCAGCAATAGAACAAGTAGATAGGTTTAGGGTTCTGAAGGGTAATTTCAGGACAGACACCAGTTAAGTATTTATTTAACAACTGAAAACAGAATACTACAAAGAGATTGAGGCCAGAATGCTGGACTAAAAAAACAGATAAGTTGTGTCCCGAATCAAATCAAATGACCCGAAGATGAGATCAAATGTCCCAAAGGGCCTTCATCATCCGACCTCTTGTGATCTTATGTTTATTATAGCAGTTAATTCTAAAGATAAGCATTCTTGTCAACAATTGGCTGAGATATACCCTTCCTTAAATCTGCATTACTTTCCAGATAAGCACATACGTATATAAAAGAAATCGATAACAAAAAGAGACAATACAAAAAGATCTGGACACAATATCTTTAAAGGTTTTATATTTAAAGAAAACCTACCTCTGAAGTAAGGTTGCACTGTAGGTTAATAAAGGTACTCCAATTTTTTAGAGTCCCCTTAAAAGCTGACTTTGCCAGGAGCATTGGAATGGTTCTGTGTCCAACACCCGCTTCAAGGGTCACACAAATGAATTCTATCACCACGTTTAGGTTCTCACTTGTTGGTACTAATTGTGACGTCAAGGTATTCTCACTTTTGTTAGCTTTATCATCTTGCAAAAACCAAAATTTTAAATCTTTGACATTCTTTTCATCCCATAAATCAGAAGGGTTTTGACTATTTTTCTCATGTGGACTCTCAGGAGCTCGACTCAAAGCAGATGTAATTGTGAGCACCGTGTTGATAATAACAGGCGATACCTAGGAAATAAGTAGATGGATATAAAGTTCTTATTTTTTTGAATTTATTTTCATATAAATATGCAATAAAAGGTTTAAAATTCAATGAAACACTTACTTTTAGCATTAGCAATTTAATTGCCAGTTCCATGTTTTTTTCACCAGTACCATATTGATTGCTTTGGAAAAACAAATCACATGGCTGTAATACCTGGTTTTAAAAAGAAAATGTGTTGATTAGATAAAACTTGAGACAAGAGCACTATAACCTCAGCAAAAACACATCTTATAACTATAGTGAAGAACAAGCTACCTTACTCAATTCTAGATTTACCAAGCATAAGCAGCATATAGGGCTTTTCATGTCTTAGTGCTTTATGCTGGTAGGCACCCAAGCTTGGGATGGGAGCCAAGGGGGGTGAAGAAGGAAAAGATGACTAAAAGCACAGTCAATGCTAAGTTATGCAGTTTTAGCTGGTAAAACTGCAGCAGCACTTCAACACACCCTCTGAGGTCCCTAACTTTGGCTCTTGCCAACCTGCACCTAATATTCTCTGGAATTAGGTAAACAGGATGCTTCCCTCCAAGGAGAGAGATTGCATTCCATTCCAGACACTGGAAAATTTCCACGTGTAAGTCGCATACATCTATGGGACTCTGTCTGGTTCGAATATTCTTAAGCATGACCGCATATGACACCCAGGTGACCATTTTTATATTAAAAAAATAAAAAACAAGGTCAATTTAGGTCTTAAAAAAATTAAACCCTCAGTTGTATTGATTGTCCAATAGTTTTACTCCGTAGAATGATGTAATCCAACACATTTGAATTCATAAATGTAAGCACACCGTAGCAGTTTGACTTTTCCTCTTCTTTATGAATGGACAGGCCAGAACTTTGAGGTCTCTGACAGTTGCTGTCATTTGCTGACCATCAGGATCACTGTTAATAGTAACCTCACATTGCGCTGTCATCACTAATGCTGGAGCATCTTCTCTGGTTAAATCTGCCACAAAAACAATCTCTGGATTCCTAACGTAAATTGTGAGTTCAAATTTGGATGTAGCCTGTGCTGGCGCTGGAAGTAAAAAAGAAAATATAAATGCATACGTATGCAAACTCAAATACACTATTAAAAGGTAGTGCCCTTTGATTTTGCTAACCTTTATCTTTTACTGGTGCGACTGGTGTTTTTGTTTTCTGCTCTGTAGACTTTTGCTCATTTGCTTTCAGAAAAAAATCAGTCACTGTGAGTAGAAATTCCATGCTTGCACAAAGATAGACATCATCTACAATAGTTTCCATAAATGTGCCTTCTCGTCCTTGTTTGTACTTTAGCTCAAGCATTATTTGCTTTTCAGGTCTCATTTTCATCTCCAGCATTCTGAAAACAAATACAGAAACAATTGAGCACTTAAGTCTTGAAATCAGTCCCATGTTTCCATTTGTTTTAACATATACTGTGCAGTTCTCGAGTGCATTTGAATGCAATTTGAGAGTTTTTCTACCAGGAGAAGGTATAGATTAGATGCTAAGTGTTCGGCCTATAATGAATAATGAAGATTTGCCAGATAATCATTTCAACTTAGTAGTTATAACAAGCAAATAATTTGAATCCTCCCCGAATTCAATATTTAGGTATTCAATCCCATTTTCTTGTTCCAAATTAAATGTTACATTTAAAACTTTAAATATTGCTGCAGTTTTAGGAGTGAAAACCTAGAATTATGAATGTTCCACATTACGTGCTACTATTATTACATGTTAGGTTCATTTGTGGAGCAATGCTGGGAAGTGCTGAGGCATCTTGCCTTTATCCTAGTGCTCAGGGATGTGGGGGGGAAATTTGAAACAGAATAATGGTACCCAAAATGTAAAAATAAATAATAAACAGGTGTTGTCATGACTAGTATGAAGAAAAATGCCTGCAAGACTTTTGCATATCTGCAACATAATGTTGAATTGTTAGTACTGGTGCTATACTAACTTTGTGGGTAACATAAGATAATTCTCAGGAGTTGTTTTCAAACTGACGAAAATAGTGTTAGTTTTAATTGCATCAGATAACCTCTTCTTTCCCCCAGTATATTGTGTAATGCAGGTAAAACACAGTTCCTTTACAACTTTTTTAAAAAAAACACACAAGTCGAGTATATACAGGTTCATTAAAGAAAATGCAAGAATTCAAATCACCTTGACTTAGCTTTCTGTATTGCATGTCGCTTATCGTCCAACATACAGTTGGAAAGTTTTACAACAGCATTCATGGATCCATCAGATATCATCTTAACAGAAGCAGAGACAGTGTGCAATTTGAACTGTGCTATCTGGTGCTGTTCAGATCGCTTTTGTTCAGGAATTGCCATCTGATACAATGAAGAAAAAATGCAATAAATGTATTTAATCATAACCTTCATGTTTATAGACTCCAATTCAAAGTTTTTAAAAATCAATTTAATGGAGCGTGTTTGAACGTTATCTGTCTGAGGAGCATAGACATAGGAGAGTATAGTTTGTCATATTTGTTTGCCTGATTGAACATCAAGATTTATTCCACATTTACATACATAGGTCCAAGTACTCAAGGGCACTGCTGATAACAGACCAACCAGCTTGGCTTATCAGCACAACCTGGAAAGGCAGACCAGTTACTGGGTGCAGGCATACCTCCCACTTGGCTCTTGTTAACCTATAAGCCAAACCCCTAATGGGTAGGGTCGTTGTAGCTGGACAAGCAGTGGGAAGCTGCTTCGCAAAATTGCCTAAAGAACACTTTCAATACTAATGATGATAAATGAGTAAATTTATGCAAATTGAATCTTATTTTCCCCAGATTAATGCATTAAATTAGAGTTAATATCTAGGGATTATGATAATAATAAATAATAATCCTTGCATTTGATATAGCACCTTATCACATCTTCAAGGCGTCTACTGTATATTGCGCGGGCGAAATGCAGCAGCCAATCGCACACAGCAGAGTCCCACAAACAGTGTAGGATTGAGTGACCAAATTATTATTATTATTTTTTGAAGGGTTATTACCCCCGGAAAAGCGATCTGCCAATTGCCTAACAACTGAGTTCCTACTTACTGCAAGGTAAACAGAGGCGTGTGAAGTATGGAAACCTGCCCAAAGTTTTGCCCTGCCCGGCAAACGATCCAGGTCCTCTCGCTTGCGAAGCGAGTGCTCTAACCACTATGCTACAGGACTCCATGATATGGTGGCACTTTACATAGTTGTTTATTGGGGTACTTTTTCAAATTACAGGATTAATGTAACTTGAAACAGTACCCCAATAAACAATAATATACAATGCCACCCTATCATAAAGCACTTGGTTATTGTGAGAACTTGGTTATAACATAGTTGCAATATAGACCCTATTCACTAAAGATGTCACACCCAGCCCACTTGCTTCTCGCATGCTGACAGGCTCTCACACTAAAATGGTCAACTTTGGGAAAATTTGGTCGCAAATTATGTCATTTTCTGCTTTGCACATGAACTGCAACAGGAAGCGATGTGGTGATGCCCTCGATCTGCAATTCAGCCTTTATTTTATATTGTCTCGCATTATGATGTGGCCTGGGAATTTATATATCGAACCACTGCATTATAAAGGGACTTCACCGTAATACACAATTTGCTATGTTACAGATTTGGTATCAGGAAAGCACTAAATATTTCATATAAAAATCCAAAAAGGTAAGTTAATTGTTTCATTATCAGAAATTCGTTAGAAAAGTAAGAAAGATTAATGCTTTACCGGATCCAAGGCTTGGCTGTCAAGCACTAATGAAAGTTCATCTAACTGAAAATCCAATTTCAGCTGTGTTTTAATTTTTAAGGGTTTCTGTGTTTCCACAACAGCAGCTGTTACTACAGTTCTTCCTGAAAAAGATAAAGTTATATTTTGTATTGTTACAAACTGTAATTAGCTCAATATTTTACTTACCTCTACGTTATTCTGCTTAGATGTGTCCAAACACCACAATAATTGTCTGTAGATACTCTCTAATGTATCCAAAGGTATTGATTTGCTTTACTGAGAATATTCTACCCTTTTCATGCTTCAGACTTTCTTCAGAAGTGTTTCCACTTTGTTGCTATGTACCTCCTGCATCCCCAAAAACCTGTTTTTTCCTGCACCATGACTGCCATTACAATACAATACAAAATTACATTTGCATAGTGCCTTTCACATTAGGAGGACTTCCAAGGCGCTGGACAGTTAGGGATTTGGACCCGAACAGGGGTGGAGGTTGGGATCAGGGAGCATGGCGGGCAGGGAGGATGGCCGAAGGTGTGGTTGAAGCGGAGGGTCTTGAGAGGTGCCTTGATGGAGGCAAGGGAGGGAGCGAGGCGAAAGGAATGTGCGATGGCATCCCAAAGGGGTGGGGGACCTTTGGAATTATGATTTGAGAGATCAGCCTTGTGAAGAAGCTAATGGATTGTCCCTCTCCCAGTATAACAAAGACCTAAAAGTCAGTAGAATTGAGGGATGAAGCCTATATTCCAACACTAACTCCACATGCTGGTGCACAAACACATTGACTGAGTCTCTTCATGGAACTTTACCGGCAGATAATTGCTTAAGAGTATCCAAACCAGATTGGGAGTTCCACACATGTATGCTGTCTACATATGGACACTTTCCAGTGTCTGGAACAAAACAAGACACTCTCTCCCCGGAGAGACATGCCCCACTTTTCCAGTTCTGAGAATAATAAGCACAGGTTGTCAACAGCCATGCTGTAGGGGGCCTAGAGTCTGTGCTATGGTACAACAGGAGTTTAACCAGCTAAACCCATATAACTTGACATTGGAGAACACTGTCTGGCAAATTTCCTGCTGTTTGTCCAGCTGAGAACACCTATCCATTAGGCCTTTAGCTTGCAAAGTTAATAGGAATTGAGTGGGAAGAATCCCTACTTCCCGCAACTAGTCAGCCCCTTCCAAGTGTTGATGATGAACCAGATAGACTGCTCTGTCATCAGCAGTGCCCTAGAGTACTGCAGCCCCCGACTTAAGAACCGTACTTCCATGACCTCTACAGATCTGATTTCATTGGGTCTTTCTATTACCAAACATGTCACCTTGGAGGCATCTCAGCTCCAAGGAGGACTAACCCCAAGGAGGAGTCATTAGTTGGTAGGAACTATTGTGTCCCATCCATACCCACACTATTGCTTCAGTATTTTTTTAAACCCAGTGTTAATTTAGGTCCTTTAAATTATTTAATAGATATAGCATACAAATAGAATACAATTCAATGCTTACTTTGGTTTTTATTCTGTGGGAAAACAAATCTAATTTATTATTTCATGACTATGACAGAGTTCTTCTAATCCTGAAAACATAATAATTTTCATGTAAAAAATATCAAACCTGCAGAGTTTTGTGAAAAACTTTGTGTAATCTTAACAGGACGATCTACTTTTTCAAGCTGTGCAGTTCCAGGTTCAATTGAGTCATCACTCAGATTTTCATTTAAAGTCTTCAACACAATGATCAGATCTTCTTGGCTAAGCACAAACTGCAAAAACAAAGTTAATGATTCGACAGCTAATTTGTTACATTAAGACACTGAAAGTAGATATCTTCCCAGCTGTATAAATTAAAGATTGTATAAAATTGAGAAAATAAATTAAAATTAGGCTGTATTGCTTGTTGTGGCAAGATTGCTGAGAGTAGAAATTTTAGACCTTGCCTTCTGTGAGTTTCTGCCTGATTGTTAAAGTCTGAGTGATTCAGGTTGGTAAAATGAACAAAAAGGTTATTCTAGACATATATGCCTATAAATAAACTTATATTGTACTAAACTTAATTGGGTTTTAACAGATAAACTGACACTTGTGTGGCCCGTGGCCGTTCTGTCACATGAACAGCTGTTCACTCTGCACAAGCACAGTGTGTTAGGGTGAAACACCCTAATGAAGTGGTTTCATCAGGTTAACAAGGTTTCACTACTGCAATAAAAAATAATCTGTTCCAAAACAATAATTTAAATGTTTTTGAGCAATCCAATTGACTACTCAACACTTTTAAACAATGCCTAGCTCTTTAACATCAATTTATTAATTGCTTCAGGCTCCAGTATGGGATTTCAGAGCAGGAAATATTAAATTAGCTATCTGGAAAAAATAACTACAGTAATTGCATTTAGCAGTATAAAGTGGGCTTTGTTAACAGGATTGTTTCAACCAGTTTCAAAACTACCTGGTAACATACGTTTCCTTCACATTGTTCTGAAATTTACTTCAAGGTTACTTTTTTAAAAAAAGTACTTACACTCATGGGTTTCAGGATCCCGGTGATCTCAATATCAGGCATCTCATGGTACCAGGTAGCAGCCAAATTGCGTTTTATAATGACTATCAGATTTACAGGCTGGAGCATATGAACTTCAGAACGAAAAGCCTTATTATGGAATACTGTCCTGATAAAATAACATTGTATTCTTAGAATGACAGAAATTTACAGCATAGAAAAAAGGCCATTCGATCCATCGTATCTGTACTGGCTCTTTGAAATGGCAATCTATTCAGCCCAATTCTATCTGCCTTCCCATACACATCCAAATTACTCCATTTTAGATAGTTAATTCCCTCTTGATTTCACAGGCAGGTGAAGCTAATGCACGGTTACATTCTAAATAAACTGAGCCATCAATGAGTCTTGAGCCATCACTGCACTGCGTACTTACTAGCTAGCGTGGAATTGCAATGAATAATAGGAAATGAAGTTGTACTGCACATGCTTCCATAGAACAAGACAACGTTTTCGACGATTCAATGTCGCCAGCCGGTTAAGTGTGCACGCATTGACGGGTCAGAACGTCATTTCCCGTGATTCAAAGAGGCCGTTAAGTGCGGGAGTAACTGAGGGTATGGGAAGTGGCTTTACAAGTTAGGAGGTGATTAATATGAGCAGTGCAAAGAAGTCAAAAGTGGCTTTGACAGGAAATTGAATGCGACTCGGGTGAATGTACGACTTAGTCAATTATACAAGTTTTACTGTATTTACAAAAAATTTCTTAAAAAACCTATGCATTCACTTTTTGTAGAAGAGTTAGATGTGATCTTCAATACAAAGGTATAGATGTGAATACCATCGTATTAGTTAATTTCTTCTCTAATAGATACACAGATGGCAGCACAAGCAGCTCAGTTCCCAGCATAATTTGTAAATGTAACTTAGTTAAGTTTATATTCAGTCCTCTGGCTTTAATACGAAGGAAATTATTATGGATGCTCAATTGCTATCAATTGCTTTAAAAGGACATTTAAGTTGTTTAATCTTAATAATAATAATCCTTGCATTTGTTATAGCGCTTTTCACGTCAGGAGGACGTCCCAAAGCGCTTCACAGAACACACTGTAAAGTGAATTGACTGTATATTTGAGGGCGAACGCAGTAGCCAATTGCGCACAGCAATGTCCCACAAATAGTCGTAGATTGAAAATGACCAATTTTTTTAGGGGGGGGTTTTCAAGGGATTATAAACAACTAAAAATAAAGTTTAAACAAACTTATAATTAATAAACCCAAATTTATGTTAATTATTGTAGATCTAGAAAGTAGATTGTGCATTACTTGAATGTATTTATTGAACAGAAAATAAACACCCAATACCTCAAACCTTACGCTTCTCATGAAACAATATAGAATGGTTTTGACGTGAAACGTCAGATAGCTATGTAAGGCGTTCCTTTTATAAGGGGAGAAGGAACCATTGATATATGTTAAAGGGACGATTATTATACTTGATATATATTCACATACATTAAGAAAATACGCAACATTTCTTTACCTGTATAGTTTCAGTTCACTCAGCTTAACTTTCATAGTGTCAACCACAGGTGGAACACTCATGACAGATTTTAGTTCAACGATTGAGAAGCTGTTTTGAACAGTGATGAGACCAAAATCTGCAACAACAACATTTTTGGAAACTGGAGACTGTGGTATGACAACAACAGGTGCTTTGATATGAACGTCAAGTGACATTCGGGTGCTCCGCTCTGCAAGATCCTTCACCCCCGAAGCAGCCTTTTCTGCTGCATGGACAGTTGCCTCAGTAACTGCTTCTTTTCCAGCTTGGAAAATATTGATAAAATCCTAAGCAAAGAAGTGAATGTTTTACACTGTACAGAATAATCAATATACATCCAAAAGCATTAAGGACCTTTCTGGTTGAGAGCTAAATATTATTCCATGTTCCAACATTTTCCTTCAATTTTTCAACTCACATCAATTTTCAAATAGTCCCCCCAATGGGATCTTTAACATCCATGAACTAGCAGACAGGACAATGAACAGCAAGGTTGAAGGAGTAAGGAGGGAGGTAACGGGAGGCACAGTTAAAGAAATAGATTTTCAAGAGCTTTTAAAGACAAATGTAATCAAGCATTTAATAGTTAATGGATTTAGAATGAAGATGGAAACTACTCGGTAGTCCAGTAGATAAAGAGGGCTGTGCTGACTACTAAGTTATACATTTTGGTCTCGTGATGAATTAATGAATCTCAGCAACAGTTGCAATGTTACCATTTGCCTTTGCATTTTAATATTGGAAAAAATAAATTGAATCAGGATTTTTGCTCCTGTTTGCTATGTAGAAATCACTGCTGGAAGGCACACACATGTTGATGTTGGATGAGAGCAGAATCTGACTCAGATAGAATAGTCAAATAAAATGATCATTCGGGTAAGGTGCTTGAAGTCCATGAAACCATATCCCAGTGGAATAAAAGTCAAATGCCTCAAGAGAAGAATAGAGAAATATGGAGACAACTAACACGTAATCATGTGAAGATGGATCATCTGCAAACATATAGGATGATTGTGCCCAATATCAGAATTGTTTTTATAACAAATGTCACACCATTTAGAGGAAACCTAACGGTTGTTGTCCAATCTACTATTATCTCCCACATATACAATCAACATGCGGAAGAACCCACTGCAGATTGCAATTTTTTAAAATAATAGTTTCAGGATGTCAATTTCACTTAATTATTTTACAAAACAAAAGTTTGCACCAGTCTCTAAAATGTAATTACAGCTCACCGACTCTACTTAGCCACATTTGAATATTATACCTCGTATACGATTTCTCCATATTGGTGCTGGCATTCCATACAAAGGTTTTGCTTATTCTATTTAAACCCTTTAACTGTAGCAATAGATTTCTGGATATTTTATAAATAAATCTTGAAGAAACCCTTACCAAAACAGAAGAGATAAACTTCTTCACAAAGATAACTTGAATGCAGCCAACTGTCAATTTGATATAACTGTCAACGGCATTCATATCAGTGTAGGTAGCACCTTGTGTTGCATCCACATGAGAGATCATTTTAAAGTTGAACACCTCTTTCCCAGTAATTGATACAGCCTGAAAATAAGGAAATAAATTGTCAATTAAATGCAAGAATACTCATTAAAATAGTAGCTGAGTGGAACAGTAAATTACAGCATTACTGTTTGGTACCAGACAAATTCAAATTTGTGGAGAACTTCTGCCCATTTTCCACTACAGATAATCCAAGCAGAAATAACTTATAAATAATTTAATAAATAAAAAATAATAACCCTTGCATTTGGTATAGCACCTTTCTCTTTGTGAAGATGTCTCAAAGTACTTCACGAAATGTATTGTAAAGTGGAGTGACTGTATTTTGTGGGTGAATACAGCAGCCAATTTGTGCCCAGCAGTGTCTCACAAAGAGCTATGCAGTGAATGACCAATTTTATTTGGGAGATTGTTGGCCACAATACCAAGAGAAACTGGAGTCCTGTAGCTCAGTGGTTAGAGCACTCGCTTTGCAAGTGAGAGACCTGAGTTCAATTCCAGGCAGGGCGAAACCTTGGGCAAGTTTCCTTACTCCACACAGAGCCTAATAATAATCCCTCCAAAACAAAAATCAATAATAAATTGGTCATTTTTAATCTACGACTGTTTGTGGGACATTGTTATGCGCAATTGGCTGCTGCGTTCTCCCACAAATATAGTCAATTCACTTCACAGTATATTCTGTGAAGCGCTTTGGGAGGGTCCTCCTGACGTGAAAAGCGCTATATCAAATGCAAGGATTATTATTATTATTAAACTCACTTCAATTTTCGAATAGTGCCAATGGGATCTTTACCATTCACCTGAACTGGCACTGAACAGGGAGCACGGAGGAGGGATAAAGGATGGAGAGACAGGAAGCACAGTCAGAAATAAATTTTCAGGAGCCTTTAAAGATAAATGAAGAAAAGGTGAATGAAAGGATTTAGGAAGGAAGTTCCAGATGGTTGAGACATTGTTGCTTGGCCACAATGTGTAAGGGGCTCATCTAAATTGGCCAAGTGGAGGGAGTGAATAGAAGAATGAGGATGGAGAAAGTTAGAGATAGGGAGGAGCGAACACATGTAGAAATTTGTAAGGGTGAGCGAGGATCTTGAAATCAATCTTGCGTGAGTTAGGAACCCAGTGGAGTATGCTAAGAACTAGGCAAACGAAGTTCAGTGTAGGTAAGGGTGTGAGCAGCTAAATTTTGAGTGAGTTTGGACTTCTTGTTGAGCTGGGGAGGCCAGTGAGGAGGTCAATGGAGAAGTCCAGACTGGAGATAAAGGGTTGGGTAGATAGGGGTTTCAGCATCATTGGATAGGATAGGGACAAAGCCAGAAAAGTGGTGAAGATCAAGAAAAATGGTTTTGGCTAGGGACCAGATGTAACAGAAGAAGTTAGCCGAGGGCAAGGGCTTAGTGGCCAGAGCATCCAGGATAGTTGACTTAATTAGCACATTGTCCATATATACAATGCATTTACTCAATTGGTACAGTACATTGCTATATTACAAAAAAGTTTATATTTATATAGTGCATTATCAGGAGGACAGCCCAAGTCCCTTGGCAATCCCGGCTTGACACCCAAGATGGGGATGCGAGCTAAAGGGGATAAGAAGGAAAATGATGACCAAAGCCATGGTCAAAGAGGAAGATCTTGAGACAGACTTTGAAAGAAGTGAGGAAGGGGGCAAGCTAGAGAGACTCTGGAATGGAGTTCCAGAGAGTGGAACCAGATAAACTGAAAGTCCATCCGCCACTGATGGGCAGGAGACATTATTATTATTATTATTATTATTATGAAGCAGGCTGAGCAAACGTAGCAGCTGGGTCGGTACAATATTGTTTTTTTTCCCCCAGCAAAGAGGCCATTTTTGAACAAAAATTGTCATACAAAAATTAGATTACAAACAGTCTGTGGATGGCTACTGACATATAGTAATATATTCCCAGATATTCTAAAATATTAAGGGTAGAGAAATATGTGCCATGCTTTTGTAAAGCACATTTAAATACCTTTCTATATAGAGCACGTTCATCTGAATCCACAGCTACAATATTTTTCAGAATTGCTACCACTTCTGTCACCTTCTTCTTCTGAATCACCTCTGCATCAAGACCTATTTAAACACATTTATAACAAATATTAAATTAATACTGAAGCTGAACACACAAAGATTTAGGGATTACTTACCAAAGTAACTCATTCTTCAGATACATCTTCTGAACACAAGATATTTTGGTAGCTGAGCAGAATATGGAATAAAGAAATATATTCTACCTTGTACCTTATCCATTCTTTAGAGATACATGTTTCACACACCACAATAATTGAGTTCAGGTTCTGGTAAAGACATGGACAGCAACACCCAAAGGATTTACTTTGGGCACTCTGCATTTGGTCATTGCCCACAGGGGGAAAAAAAGGTGTAAACATGCACTGGAGCAGCAGTTTAATGTTTTTGTTTTACTCCTAATTATCACATGCTGGATCCAGGGATGGCTAAGTGGGAGCATAATGTGTGGAGCCAGCTTTATTAAAGAATGAAGACTTTACAAGTTAGATAACTTTTCTCATTCATTCTGCATTTTACACATGCTTAAATGTTTAACAATGGGAATTAATTTTCGATTCGTAGAAAATCAGAAAACCCAATGAATACCGAATAAAATCCGGAACCTGCAAGCTGAATCATATCTATAAGTTACGAACAATTATTTTCTATTTCAACAAAAGTGCCGCGTTGACTATGAAAACAGTAATGTCCATTAAATAAAAATATTTACCTTCGATGCTGATTTCTGAAATTATTCTCATTTTATTTTGGATAAAAATTCTCAGACAAGCCAACTCTGCGAATACATGAAGATTGATCACATCTTCAAATTTAGCTGGTTTGGAAACTGAAAGGAAGAAATAGTGTCAACATCAGGGAGCTTAAAACAGTCTTGTGGAACTTGACGATTCACTATCTCCCTCAGGATTATTTAAATTTTGTTTCTTCTGCTGCCTAAAAACAGGTTCCAATTCAGCTAGATTATTTACCATTAATGCAAAGAATACATATGAAACTTCATCAAATGCCTTCTAAAATATAAACGCTGGATAATTCATATACCAATTAGTTATTTCCGCAAAGAACTCAAGATTATTTAGAATTTACATATTCCTTCAAAAAAGGCTGATTACTCCATCCAGGACTCTATAGGATCGAAAGCAATTTGGATGCTCTAAAGCAGGAGTCCCCAAATGGTCAATCGCCACTAGGTGGCGCTGTCCAACATGATCAAAAACACAAGAGGGAGGAGCGATAGAATTGTATAAATATTTAGTACAATTGAAAACAAATGTTTAGTCCAGATGCACAAGTATTTCATGCACTTGGAAATAAAAATATAAAGTTTAATGTTAAAACTGCAGAAATATTGTTCCTGCTTCTTTTTTATTGAGCATGCGAGAGGCCACCTCGCCATCTGGTTGGAGACCGCAGCTTTAAAGCATTTCTCCCTTATAGGTGTTATGAGCAGTTTTACCCTCATTTATTTCTAGGTTATGTGCTTCCCTATCCAGTCCATATCCTATTTCACTGAGTGCCTTAAATTTGTCTAATCCTTCGAGTTTCATCACAATGCATTTTTAGTCTTTTAATTATGTTAATTCCTGAGGAAAAACTGACTGGACATAACATTTTACCACCTTTCATATGCAAAGAATTTATTTAACTTATTTGTTGATGGTTTGCATCTTTTTCAAAAAAATTCCTTAAATAGCGTTTTTGGTCTTTAGTGCACAGTCTCGTATCATTAGGTATGTGGAAATGAACAGAATCAGAAAAAACTATTTCTAAAAATGTATGTCTATGAAAAAAAACTGTTAGGACACATGAACCCATACTCCAGCACGAGTCAGGAGTTTTCAGGAAGATTGTAAAACATGTGAATGATGCATCAGTCACTGCTTTATAGAGTTCAAATTGCACAATACAACAGAGAAAAAAAAGGAGATACAGAAGTCTTACGTGTCGTTTTACTTGGAAGAGTGTCTTCTTTCTTTGATTCCTCAATAGTACGAACTGGTTCTTCCAAACCTGCCTTGATTTTCGAAGACGGAACAAGTGAATTCAGGAAATTAATGGAACTCAGAAGGGCTTCAGTGTGCAAATGTGCATCCAATGAGGAAAAGTTGATCTGTAGTGAAAAATGTTAAAGGACCAATACTTTTGCATTTCTGATACATTGATACATTCTGATTCAAATATTTCATAATCAATTATTTCAGAAGACATGATCTAACTACTTAAACAAAAGGCAAGTAAATAAATTTAAATCTATTTAAAGCTACTAGTTTTCTGACGATCCAAAAAAATTCCATTGTGATTTCAGTGGAGCCATGCCTATTTTAGTAAAGATATTGGTAAAAATAAACTCCTTTATGTACACGGCAACTCTCTTTAAGCATGTAGGATTACCATATTATACTATATTAATCTGCATAACTAGACCAATAAATTCTTTGCTCTGCAAGAAAAGTATACAAGCACACCTGTTTTCAAAATCACTGTACAAATAATAAACTAGTATAAAAATATACATAGATTCATCATAAAAGGATGAAGTCCTGTAGCTTAGTGGTTAGAGCACTCGCCTCGCAAGCGAGAGGACCTAGGTTTGATTCCCGGGTAGGGCAAAACTTGGGCAAGTTTCCTTACTCCACAGTTTACTTAGGAGTAAGTAGGAATCCAGTTGTTAGTCAATTGGTAGATTTTTTTTTTACCAGGGGTAATAATCCCTTCCAAAAAATAAATAATAATTGGTCACTCAATCAACGACTGTTTGTGGGACACTGCTGTGCGCAATTGGCTGCCGCGTTTCGCCTACAAAATATAGTCAATTCGCTGAACAGTATATTCTGTGAAGATGTGATATTCTGTGAAGATGTGTCTTGAAGATGTGATAAGGTGCTATATCAAATGCAAGGATTATTATTATTATTATATGATGCCATTGCAAGTTCATGCTTATCAAGTTGATATCATCATATTCTAATTATTGAAACATTTTCTTTTTAAAAATATATTCAAAGAAGAAACATTTTAACATCACAAAATAAACTAGTAAACTCTTGATGTATCATCACTTCAAGGCCTCATGGTCACCCTGGATATAAAATGTACATACTATAAAATTTACACTTTATAGTAAATTCTGTGAAGCTCTTTCGGTTGGCCGACTGACATGAAAACACTAAATCAAATGCAAGAATTATTTTTTTAAATTTAAGTGAATAACCAATTTTATTTGGGGGAGCGTTGGCCAGGACACTGAGAGAAACTCTCTTACCTTTTGAATAGTGCCATTGGATTTTTAAGGTCCATCTGGATAGTTAGACAGGACATCAGTTTTAATGTCTCATCCGAAGGACGGTAACAATGTGGCGCTTCCCCATCACTGCACTGGAGTATCAGCCTCGGCTATGTGAGTTCAAGATCTTGGTGTGGGGCTTCATCCCACAGCCTCCTGACTCAGGGCAAAGAGTGCTACCAACTGAATCTGGTAGAACCCAATATCTATTTGCCAAATTAAATGTTGGTCCTGAAATTCCATCTATTCTTAGCCTCCAAGACCATTTTGTCTTAAAATTTAGGACTTATGGAAATTCAGTTAAGTTTTATTTCTATAACAACTGTAATGTTTGACTTCCAAATTAAGATTGAATTTTAAATGTTACCAAAATTCTGAACAATGTAAATGTTATGGAAAAGTAACAGACTAAGATTAAGTAGGATTTTAGGCTATTTATTTCCAGTTCAAGTTTTACCTTTATTAGCTGCTCTGTATTTCTGTAAGTGGTTTTGAACTCTGGTCCATTTCTGTCAGCCTAAAAAAACACGTTGAAAAGCATTATCTATATTTAAAAAAACACTCTTTCATAAAGCTCCATAAAAAATGTGTCATACCTTAGTATATTCAATGCTAAGGAGATCATCCTCAAAGTTGTCCAATGTTGTGATAATATAAATTGGTTTATTTTCAGTATCTAAAACAAAGGTTTGAGATTCAGATTACAAAGTCTCAATCATGTTATCCAACAATAATTATAATTGTGGACAAAAATAATGCCTCTCGAAACAACAACAAAATTACATTTATAGAGCGCCTTTCACGTCAGGAGGATGTCCCAAAGCGCTCAAAGCGGTGTCAGGGCCCGAGCATGGGTGAGGGGTGGTCTAAGGGTGAGGGGAGGCAGAGAGGTGGGAGGGAGACCAAAGGCACGGTCGAGGAGAAGGGTCTTGAGACCGGCCTTGAAGGAGGCAAGGGAGGAAGCGAGACGAAGGGACCATGGGATGGAGTTCCAGAATGTGGGGGCAGAGAGGCTGAAAGCCCGGCCACCGATGGTAGGATGGGTACGGCGGGATACATGGAGCAGGCCGGAGCCCAATGAACGGAGGGAGCGGGCAGGTTGTTAGATAGTCAGCAGGTCAGAGAGGTAGGAGGGGGCAAGACCATGGATGGCTTAATGGTGAAAAAACACCTTAGTGTTCTATTATAATAAAACACTTGTAAACGTGTTACAATAAACACTAAGCAGGGAAAAGAGATTTAAAGATGCTGATCAAGGAACAGTTGAACGCTATGTTTTCCGCTGGATGTTGAAGGTATGAAGAGATATCGAATATTAAAATGTTTTTTTCTTTCCTTGTTCTGTGAATCTGCAACCATCAAGTCAGCAGTATTGCACAAAGACTTACAAATCCAAACAATTAATCATGACTGACAAAAGCCACGATTACCTCATAATAATATTCCATTACAATGATCCATTTACCATTGTTCACTTTTTTTCCAATAAAAATAAGGTTTGCATATCTTTCAATCCAGTCTGACAAAGAGAAAATTGCTCATAACATCTTTTCACCTTACCTATGTGTTCCGGACATGTTAAACAGACCTCTTTCAAAAATATCACTGCAGTCATGTCATATGTTCGAATTTTTAGTTCTGTGCCCAATCCTGTTATTTCCAACAGTAACACTGGGTTTTCACCATCATGCATGTGACGACAGATTCCTACTGACACCTGGATAGATTTTTTTCAAAACGTTAATACACACAAATTAAAACACAAACCATATACAATAATATATAGAAATCAAATTAATCTTGTTGCAAAGACCAACGCTTTCTGAGATATTGGGTTGTTTGTCCTGTAGCCCAGAACAGGGCTGCTGCACATAGTGAATCAGACGGCTAATTGGGAGAGAGAGGGTTGAGGTGAGAGAGTGAAGAGTGGGGAGGAAAGAGCGTGGGGGGGGGGGGGGGGGGGTGAGAGTGCGCGAGGGGGGGTGAGAGTGCGCGGGGGGGGGGTGAGAGTGCGCGGGGGGGGTGAGAGTGCGCGGGGGGGGTGAGAGTGCGCGGGGGGGTGAGAGTGCGCGGGGGGGGGAAGATAGCGCGTGGGTGTGGGGGGAGGAGAGAGCGCGCGGGGGTGGTGGGAGGAGAGAGCGCGTGGGTGTGGGGGGAGGTGAGAGCGCGTGAGGTGGGGGGGAAGGAGAGAGTGCGGGGGGGGGGTTGAGAGGAGGAGAGAGAGTGCGGGGGAGGTGAGAGGGGGAGAGAGAGGGTGGGGGGAGAGAGACATAAATTGGTGGACAGAGGGGGAGAGACGGGGGACGGGGTGGGGGGGGCGACAGAGAGGGAGAGGGGGAGGCTATCTCCTTCTCTCCCCCTCTCTCACACACACTCTCTCTCTATAATTACGTTCACTCCACTTCTCACACCCTTCACTCTCTTCCCTCTCATATTCCACTTCCCCCCCACTCTCCTCTCACCTACCGACTCTCGCCCACCCACTCTCAATCTCTGATTCTTTCTTTCCCCCTCACATTCACTTCCTCTCCCCTCACTCTCTCTCTCACACACTTTCCCAATCTCTCTGTCACTCCCCCTTTCTTACCCATCTCTCACACACATACTCCCCCTTCCCCCTTGGTCTTTAGGCAGGATTTGAAAGTGAGAGGGAGGGAGCAAAGCGGCAGGATTGAGGGAGAGAGTTCCAGGGCGTAGTGGCTGAAGGCATGGCCACCGATGGTGGAGTGGCGGGGATGAGGGACAAACAGGAGGCCAGAGCCAGCCAAGTGGAGGCACTGGGTGAGGGAGTAAGCAAATCGGATAGGTTGGGAGGTGCGAGCGCATGAAGGGATTTGAAAACGAGTGAAAGGATCCTGAAATCGTACAGTAATTGGGAGCCAGTGGAGCCTGGCAAGGACTGGTGTGATAGGGGTACGGAGTTTTGTGCAGGTGAGAATCCAGGTTTAGCTGTATTTAGTTTATTGTAGAGATGGAGATACCAGCGAGGAAGGCATTGGAATAGTCCAGCTGGGAAGTGACAAAGGCGTGGACAATGGTTTAGGCTGCTTTTATTGTGAGGTACGGATGGAGGCGGGCAACGTGACAGAGGTGTAAAAAACATTCCTGGTCAGGAAACGGATGTGGAGTAGAAAGGAAAGCTGGGGATCAAACCGAAAGCCTAAGTTGCGCAAGTTCGGTGAGATTGAGGGAGAGCCCTAGGAAGGTTGAGGAGAGAAGATGTTGACGGGAGCCAATGAGTATGGTGTCCGTCTTGCTGACATTCAGCTGCAAGAAATTTGCGCTCATCCAGGCCTTGATGTCCGTCAGACAAGCTGACAGGACATCAACGCACTGGGAGTCGCAGCTGGAGAAGGAGGAGTAGATTTGGGTGTCATCCACATACATTTGGAAGTTGACCCCATGTCTGCGGATGACATCGCCGAGAGGGAGCTTGTAGATTTGGAAAAGAAGGGGGGTAAGGATGAAGCCTTGTGGTACCTGCGGAGGAGGGAGGAGAAACCGTTTGCCAAGATGTATTGTTGTATTAATAATAATAATCAATGCATTTGATTTAGAGCCTTATCATGTCTTCTGAGACATCTCAAAGCGCTTCACAGAATGTATTGTAAAGTGAGAGGATAGATAGGCAGAGAAATTCGAACGACCATATAGACAGATAAAAAACTACAGATGCACAGAAAATCAAGTAGAGTGAGAAAGAGAGAGGGGCACATAAAAACACACTTATAGTGCTATTGCAGTGTGGATCTCATGTTAAAAAAAGCAGACTTCCAGGTGATCAGGTTGTCATTGACATCACTTCCTATTTTGAGCATGCACAGAAAATAAAAATTAATGTTGCAGTGACACCTGTCCCAGAAGTTGGTCATTTTGCTTTTAGCTTGGGAACTGTGCCAATTGTGTGCATTGTAAAACCCACTATTAAGCTTTACTTTGTCTCCACAAACGGTCCCTGAAATTCAGATCTCTGACTGTCCAGCATCTTGGGACGTTCTGCCAAAGTGAAAGGCGCTATACAAACGTAATTTTGCATTATATTTAACCCAGGTATACCAAGCATCACGTTATAAATAAGGCAGCACTGTACTTAATTTTATATAATTATAATGCACTGTAATTAAAGGATAGAGTTCAAACTTGAATAATTTTCCCACATAAATGTTTAACAAGTTTTTCAACGGAATACAGCAAATTATCATGAAACATAACAACTGGTTAACCAGAAAAGGGCAAATAAATTACCTTCGTTATTTCGAATTCCATTTGAAATTCAGTCATATTTTTCATAGATTCTTGTTTTTTCAGCTGCTTTTGTTGCATAGTGTTTACCCTTTTGAATGACTCATTTCTTGCAAGGAAAAATGGCGAATCTTCTGTAGGTGAGCTTGGAGCATCAAAGAATTCTTCTTCTGATTCTATGGAAGCTGAGCATGAAATTTTAAAACATTATTAACAGATTTTCAGAAAATAGTAAAAGTTCATACTACCAATTAAAATAGATTGCGTGATATATTCCAGCTCATGTCACGGAAAAGCATGAGACAGGATTTAGGGTGACATATAGTGACAAAAACAATGAAGAAAGTAAACATATAGAAACTGCCACCTGACTCCCAATCAATATTAAGTGTCAAAACAGATAACAGAACTGAACTCATCTCATTAAAATGCACACGAAAGAGCTCTGGCATGATCAATGATGTAAACTGAAAATATTGAGGAAGAACAAAAGGAGTAAAAGGACAAGTTGAAGAGCACAAGTGTGTCTTAATGTAGGGCACTGCTGATGTCAGACCAGCCAGCCTAGCTCATCGGCCTCACTTGGAGGGGCAAGAGTTCTTCCCCCTGAGCTTGTGACCACATCACTCCCACCCTCGCTCGCCTCCACTGGCTCCCCATCCCCCAGAGGATCAAATTCAAGATCCTCATCCTCACCTACAAGGCCATTCACGGCCTTGCTCCCTCCTACCTCTCCGACCTACTATCCCCCTACCTACCTGCCCATACCCTCCGTTCCTCTGGCTCCGGTCTGCTCCACATCCCCCACCCCAACCGCCCTACCATCGGTGGTCGGGCCTTCAGCCTCTCAGCCCTTAGGCTCTGGAACTCTATCCCCCAGTGCCTTCCCCGCTTCCTCCCTTTCCTCCTTCAAGGCCGGTCTCAAGACCTTTCTCTTTGACCGTGCCTTCAGCTCCCCTCTCGACTCTCTCCCCCCTCCTCGCTCCCTCCCTTCACCCTGACCATTTCCCCCAATGCTCAGGTCCTGACCCAACTGTACAGCGCCTTAGGACGTCCTCCCGACGTGTAAGGCGCTCAATAAATGGAATCTTGTGGTTGTTGTTGTTAACTCCACAAGCCAAAGCCCTAATGATAGGACGGTCCTAGCTGGACAAGCAGTGGGAACCTTGTCAAGACAGTGATTTCAATGACAATATGTATGGTTTTAGCGAGTTAAATTCCAGCAGTACTCCAATAAATGTTCTGGGCCCTCCAAGCATTGGCTTTTTGCCAATCTACACCAAATACTCTACACAATTTGGCAAATGTGTCCCTCCAGGGAGATGGTGTGCATTCTATTTCAGATATAGGAAAATTTTCATGTATAATTGGCAAATATTACTGTAGAACTCTGTCTGGTTTGGATACTCTTAGGGATGGTGTTTGGTTTCCTCACATGTCAAGATTCCGGTTGACCAAAACATTTTTAAACCTCAGTAGGTTGAAAATGTAAGTATAATGGGAGGTGGATTCACAAAACCATACAATTGGTTAGGGTATGAATGTTCAAATATTTATTGTTTTTGGTGTGCTAACATTATGAATACACACTTGGAAGTTAATGAGCTTCAACAACAGGGTGAGGAATTGCAGAATCTTCTCTTGGGAAATGAACATGGGTAAAGTTCACAATAACACTGAAGGATCAATTAAACACATTTAAATGAGTTAAGTGATTAACTTGTTTTCAGAGATGACTTCAATTGACTATCAACTAATTAAGTCAATTTATATTAGTTGCCAATTCCTGATATTGTGAAATTTAAAAACCAAAAGCAGATATTTATCAGACTGATTTCAGTTCATCCCAAATACTCCAACTGCATAATAATTATAAGTATAATTGCAAATCAGTATTCATCAACATATGAATTAAAAACACGGAGTAGCAAAAAAACAAATTAATAACATAACTTGCTGAGAACCAAGAGAACCAATTATGTAAACTGAAAGATAAATTTAAATAAAAAACAGTAATTTTGTACAGGCAGAATCCTACTGTAGATTTACATAAAATGGATAGCAATATTCCAGAAATAATATATTTCAGAAAATCTCACCTGCAACACTTATAAGAGAAGAGTACACATTTCGTATTGATGCCCTCTGTACAGACCGAGGTGTCATATTAGGAGGCGATTTGTGAACCTAAACAAACAAGTTACAATTAAATTATGTCAAATAAAGTGGAACATGATATGAGCCTCTAGTTTACTTCAGAATTGCACTTTCTAGTGAAATCATATCCTTAAAATAACCCACCCTAGGAATAACTGATATCCAGACCATCATCCGATTACAAAAGGGTATTAATTTAAAATTAACTTAACATTATATTTCTGGTTTAAAAACTAGTTCAAATGTGTAAGATTAAACAATTAATCATATTGTCTCTGAATATGAAAAGAAAACATTTTACAACATCCCAATATAATTTCCATTTTAAATCTATTGATTTAACCATACCTGAAGTGTTTTTACAGTTGGTGATGGTTGCTTTTCTGGTGTAGGAATACTGTCAATTAAGCTTAAAACCGCTGTAAATTTTTCATCCGAGATACAAAATGAAAGTAAAGAAAATCCACCATAGAGTTTAAATCTATTTTAAAAAAAGTAAAAGAACTGTATTACACCTTCAGTATAGATTCAACTTGGAAAATAGCTATTTTGAATTGGGAAACAAATCTAGGTTTAAGTATATTTTAGAATATTTTTGGTAACCTTAGAATGCTTGTTTACATTTATGTCAAACAATAATAAAGAACATCTAAAAGTATTTTCTGAAAATAACCAGGATCACAGCCACTTGCTTTACTTTTCATACTGAGCATCAGCTAAGAACATAAGAATATTTGGAAATGGGGGGGAAAAAGTGTTTGGTTTCAAAATTCCTGTTCTTTTTTGATTCTCAACTCCACTTACCTATGTGACACAATCCATCGACTCTGCATAAATATATCAAATTGCTCTTGAACATCTATCTATTTTCAAAGATCTTTCCTGTCAACTTATACCACAAGTTGACGAGCTTTTGAATAAAAATGTTACTTTCAATTTGCTTTTTATTATATATTAACTCCATAATATCTAACCTTTTGATAGTGAACATTTAGCCTATACAATACTGTTAGCAATTTTGTTAAAACCTTTCAGTATCTTAAAAACTCATTCATCTTGAAGTTTCTTAGACTGAATAACAAAAATAATCCTTGCATTTGATACAGCGCTTTATCATGTTCTAGTCTCAAAGCGCTTCACAGAATATATTGTAAAGTGAATTGACTGTGTATTGTGTGGGCGAAACGCAGCAGCCGATTGCGCACAGGAGTTGAATGGGTTGAGTGATCTCTTCCTATGATTCTAATTAACTTCCCAAAGAGGACAAATCCTATTTCCTTAACCCTTCATTGTAACTTAATTTCTTGATCTTCAGAACCACCTGATTGCTTGCCTCGGCACCTTCTCAAATTCAATGATATCCTTCCAAAGAGTAAAATGACCAGAATGCACACAGTACTCCAGACAGGGCCTGACCATGGCTTAATACATTCATACATTCACCTCTAGATTCCTCCCCTAACTAACAAAGACCATATATTTTGATCCTTACATTTGGTGTACTGCCGTTCATGTTGGAAGGATTTGTTAAAGAGCTTCACAGGATACAGAGGCAAGTTGCAACAACAGGCAATTTGCGCACAGCAATGTCGCACAAACAGCCACAAAATGAATGACCAATTTTATTGGGGATTGTTGGTCAGGACAGCGGGAGAAACTCCCTTCTCTTTTCAAAGTGTCATTGGATCTTTAACATCCACCTGAACAGGCAGACGAGACCTCAGCTTAACATCTTATCTAAAGGAAAGCACTTCCAAAAATGCAGCACACCCTGACACTGCACTGAAGTATCAGCCTAGAGTATATGAGTTCTAAGTCTCGATGTGGGATTTGAACCCACAACATTCTGATTCCCTGTCAAATCTCTTCACTTCCTGGAACCTCTCCAATCTGTTTACCTCCCATTCCATAGCCTTCATCAGTTGACACAGGTCTTTTGCACATCCCTTGTCCACAATCAGCAACTGTACTTTCAGCCACTATGCCCTGAACCTCTGGAACTCCTAGTCTCAATCCTTCCATCTTGCCCCTATTTAAATCACACCTGAAGACTTTCTTCTTCGATCGACATTTACGCACGTTAAATCAAAACAGTTTTTTCTTCCGCAAGCACAGACATCAAAAACAATTCAAAGAAAATCAGGCCTTTTATGTTTTAAAACCCTGTTCTGTTGAACACAGTGTGTAGAGGATGCTATGTTCAAAGAAAAAAGAATCTACAAATTAGGTATTCCTTTTCAATGCTGAGTCACCAAGTGCCCTGCGTAATAATGACTTCAATCCACAACCGGTTGTGGGACACTGCTGTGCGCAATTGGCTGCCATGCTTCACCTGCAAAATACACTTTACAATATATTCTGTGAAGCTGTTATGCTGACTTCAATACTGAAAAGGTCAGTGCTTCTTAAATGTATACTACTAACAATTGCCGCCAGTTAACTCTTAACTAACATTTGAAAGATAAAGGATTTGACAGGATAGAGTGAGGGAAGAAGGGAAAGTACACCAACAAAGAAAGTAGACTGAAAACATGGTAAAGTAAAAAATGAAGAAATAAAAAAAGATAACAAGCACGGAAGAGAATAAAAGCTATTATCAATGTAAGTGTAGATACTGATGTAGCTAGTAAGAGAATGAATTATTGAGATACGAACACAAAGGGTTAGGAAAGCAGTAAAAATGAGGTAGGGCCATGGAATGGAAATAAGGGATGCCTCAAGTTCTAGTGAGAGATTAGCTGGTAAATTGCTTAGAAACAGAAATCTGAAGCACAGGAGGCTATTCAGCCCACAAATTCACACTGGCTCACAGAGCAAGGAGATCAATTCAATTCCCATCACCCCACCTTATCCCTGTATACCTTAAGTTCCTCTCCTTCATATGCCTATAGACTTCTCTCTTGAAAACGACAAAGGACTCCACCTACTCAGGAGGGAGTTACACATCCCAACTACTCTTTGAATGAAAAAATTCCTCCTAAGTTCTCCTTTCGCTGTTCTTGCAGCTATCTTACAATTATGTTCCCTCATCACCGACTCCCTATCAGTGGAAACAGCAGTCCTTTTATGTTTTATCCCATTTCCATAATTTGAATGTATTTAAATTCAAATGTATAATACAGTGAATAGTAAATGAGAAACAAATCTGGATTTGGTACAGACAGTGTGGGAAAAATTGGGTCTAAAATGTGATATTTGAAAAAGGATTAATTATGTTAATTGTGACATCTGATTTACAAATAAAGGCTTGCAGTTTGTTTTGCTCACTGACCTTATCAAGATAGCCAGCTAAGGAATCACCATTCAGCAATTCAGCTAAAAGCTGGATTGATCAAACTGATTTTCAAAGAACCAATTATGGCAATTTATGTTATAACTTATGTTTAATTCCACATTGGTTTTATATTTTCTAAAAACTAGAATATTGAGTAGAATATCAACATCACCATACAAGATTCAAAGACAGTACATTTTACTGTACTTAGTAAAAAGTCAAAAAGCTTGTTAACTGTCAAGAGTCAACTTGCAAATCTGGCACATCAGAAAATAGTCTTGTGCAATCAATTTATATTCAAACATGTCATCAATTTTACTCTGTAATTAATGTTGTCCAGCACATTAATAACAACTGCATCTAACTTTCCACAACTAATAACCGTATACATACTTTGGCATTCTTGCATCGGAAATCACCATTGCTCTGCTGAACTCTAGTTTCAAATCCATGGGCTCCAAGATGTGCAGAGAAGAACGCTTTGTTTTGCGAGCTTCCTTCCAGTTCTCATCTAAATAGAAATGCCAAAAGGATAATATATTTAATACTACAAAATTCAGAATAACTTTGCCTCTGAGGCTTCCAAGGTCATCTTCAGCTCCAGTGGCATACGATAGAACAGGACGAGACGTGCTCACGTTTCTTATTTCAGAAAGCGAGCAGAAGCAGTTCTGTGATCAGTGTGCTGAGGGACGAAACAGGCTTGGTGTACGCGGAGTAGGCCGATGCACAGCGGATTGCCAGAGCTTTTTATGCTGACCGTAGAAAACCCATAGCGAGCACGGCCTCCCGAGATTTCCTGACTGCCCTACCCGAGGTGCTGGACGAGGTGGGCCGGGAGCACTCAGAACGCCCTCGCACATCTCTGCCCTCCCTCATCCCAACTCTGTCCCCCCACACTCCTGATCCCCACTGTTCAGCACCTTTCAATTGAGCCAAGCTGACACCTACTTCATTGGTTCTAACATAAATGTTACAGCATAGCACGCCGCTTAACCCATTGTGTCTGTCTAGGCTTTTGAAAAATTGTCATTGATTTACTCCTATCCCCTTGTCCTGTCTCTTTTTAAAAAAAAAATATTTTCAAGCATTTCACCAATTCACTTTTAAAACCTTGAATTGATTTTCACTTGAACTTCTCTTTTAATATAAGGTAATCTTTGCCCGAATAACTCTCTGTGGAAAAATATTCTACTCACTGTTTTTTTTTAGAAACAACCTTGAATTTACGGCCATTAATTACCTATCCACTAAATAGTGTAAGTATCTTCCTAGTTACTAAAACCCCTTCAATTTGGAACCCTTCTATCAGGTCACCCCTCAACTCTCTGTTCTAGTGAAAACACCTCCAATTTCTGTATTCTCTAAAGAGTAAATATTTCAACCCTGTTAATGCACTACTACCACACTGAATTAATTTCATGAACGAAAGAAATTTAAACATATCTGAAAAATATTTTGCAGATTTTGAAGACTTGGATGGATACATACGTGGTTTAGCATAGAGTAGCTGAATGCTACTCAGTTGCATGTCGAACGTATCATAGGCTCTGGCCATTATATCTTCCAAAGCACTCTCTCCAATTGTAAGTTGTGGAAGATTTGTACGACTTCTACTCATCATCTAACAAAAATCAAGAGATTTTCTGATTGCATAATATTACTAAGTCAAGAAGCTATTTGTTCAACCTACACGTACGAAATAGTTACGACAACAGACCAAAATGTTGAAATTTTAATAATAAAGAAATACAGTAAAACTCACATAAGTCATACCATTTAGGACCATACATTTAACATGACTTATACAAAGTATGAGTTACGTCAAACTTAGCATAAATTGTATCATATATGACTTATGTAAAGTTATATATAAGTCAGAGTTTATATGACTTAACACATAACAACTACAGTACATGAGTAGTGTACTGGCTGGTGACATTAAAGTAAGGTGTCCTTACCATGTTTAATCCATGTTTAGCCCATTCTCTCCATATAGTACTGCACAGTACTGCAGAAAACATGTACTGGCACACTGGCAACAAATAGCACAACCAAACAGATTTAAAAACAAAAATGTTTTATTAGAATATAAACTCTTACTAAGATTGTTTCACATGCTCCAACCTTTTGGCTGCTGAGGGTTGGATACCTTTTTGAGACCATGAAACACTACACTCACTTCCCCTCTCTCTCTGTGCTCTCTGTTTCTCTCTCTTCCTTTATTCTCTTTCTCTCCCCCTCTCTCCCCTCTTTCCATCTCTCTGCTTCTTTCTCAATCAGCCTCAATCTCACCTAAACCTCTAATACAGTGCTCCTCCAGAGCTATATTGGAGTGTCAGTTTACTTGGGCTTAAAATCACAATTTGACTCAGAGGTTAGAGTGTTACCAGCTGAGCCAGGCTAGTGAAATATCTTAATATAGCATTTAAGATTTTCATTTTAGATTGGATGCCGATGTAGATGTCACACTTAACAGTGCATATAAGATACAAATTCTAATTCAATAATTTTAGACAAATAAAATACTGAAGTGATTTTGTTGTCCCGTCTTACAAAACTTACCTTTAAATGACCAAGATCTAAAATCAGTAGGCTGGAAGAATTATCAAAAAGGCCATTCTGTGGAACAATTACGTAGGAAGACATGAGGTTTATTTTAAAGTCGATCACTTTCTGTGTCTCAATAATGTACATCAACCCTGTAAAGCAGCAACACAAGTATATAAATAAACATCAGCACAATTAATTAAAGGGCAGCCATGAATTCCTTTCAGATATCTTCTGATCTTATTATTGAATAATCATTCATACCACAAGAGAGAATTCTTAATTGGACCGACAACAGTACACATTATAATTATTCAATCATAGAATTTTACAACAAACAGGCTACTCAACAACAAGTTGCATTTATGTTTTTTGTTAGATCTGGTTTTGAGTAATGAAATAGGGCTAATCAGCAATCTGGAAGTTAAGGCTCCTCGAGGGCAGAGTGACCATAACATGATGCAATTTAGCACTGATTTAGAGAGTGATGTAGTTAATTCCGAAACAAGGGTCTTTCATTTAAATAGAGCCAACATTGCAGGAATGAGAGAGGATTTAGCTAAAATACACTGGGGAATTAGTTTAAAGGATATGACAGTAGACCAGCAATGGCAACGCTTTAAAGATATAGAACGTAATTCCCAGCGATCACATTTTCCCTTGAGAAATGAAAATACCACAGGAAAAGTGGTTCAACCATGGATAACTAGAGCAGTTAGGGAAAGTATAAAATTAAACACTGCCAAAAAGAGCAATAAACCCGAGGATTGGGAGGGCTTAAGAGATCAACAAAGAAAAATTAAGAAAATGATTAGGAGGGAGAAAATGGATTATGAGGGCAAACTAGCTAGGAACATAAAGGCAGAAGGCAAGAGTTTTTACAAATACATAAAAAGGAAGAGACTATCAAAAGTGAATGCGGGTCCATTACAGGCAGAGACAGGAGGAATTATAATAGGGATTACAGATATGGCAGAGTCATTAAACAAATACTTTGCTTCTGTCTTCACGTTAGAAGACACTGAAAACTTACCAAAAATGGAAGGGAACCAAGAAGCTAATGTTAGTGAGCAACTTAGGGAAATTAACATCAGTAAAGAATTAGTACTAGGGAAACTGTTGGGATTGAAAAATGACAAATCCCCTGGACCTGATGGCCTGCATCCTAGGGTTTTAAAAGAGGTGGCTGCTGAGATAGTGGATGGCTTGTTTTTGATCTTCCAAAATTCTCTGGATTCTGGAATGGTTCCCATTGATTGGAAGATCGCAAACGTAACACCACTATTTAAGAAGGGTGGGAGAGAGAAGATGGGGAACTATAGGCCAGTCAGTCTGACATCTGTGGTAGGGAAAATTCTGGAATCCTTAATTAGGGACATCGTAGTGGGGTACTTAGAGGACCATAACATGATTAGGCAGAGTCAACATGGCTTTACAAAAGGGAAGTCATGCTTAACAAATCTTTTAGAGTTTTTTGAGGATGTAACTAGCAGGTTAGATAGGGGGGAACCAGTAGATGTAGTGTATTTAGATTTTCAGAAGGCATTCGACAAGGTGCCACATAAAAGGCTGCTACACAAGATTAGGGCCCATGGAATTAAAGGCAATATATTAGCATGGATCGAAGAGTGGCTAACGGGAAGAATAAAAGAGAGTAGGGGATAAACGGGTCCTTCTCAGATTGGCAAGATGTGATTAGTGGAGTGCCACAAGGATCAGTGCTTGGGCCTCAACTATTCTCAATCTATATCAATGATCTGGATGAGGTCATAGAACTTAAAATATCTAAATTTGTGGATGGCACTAAGCTAGGTGGGAGAGTAAGCTCTGAGGATGACACAAAAAGATTGCAAAGGGATATAGATAGGCTCGGGGAGTGGGCAAGTAGGTGGCAGATGGAATATAATGTGGGGAAGTGTGAAGTTATTCACCTAGGTAATAAAAACAGAAAAGCAGATTATTTTCTAGAAGGGGAGAGACTAGATAGTGTCAGTGTTCAGAGGGATTTGGGTGTCCTTGTACACCAGTCATAAAACGTTAATATGCAGGTACAGCAAGAAACTAGGAAGGCTGATGGCATAATGGCGTTTATTGCAAAAGGGTTAGAATACAAGAGTAGGGAAGTCTTTTTGCATCCGTATAGGGCCTTGGTGAGTCCGCACCTAGAATATTGTGTGCAGTTTTGGTCTCCTTATTTAAGAAAGGATATACTCGCCTTAAAGGGGATGCATCGGAGATTCACTAGGTTGGTTTCTGGGATGAGGGGGTTGACCTATGAGAGTGGTTGAGTAAACTATATTCTCTAGAATATAGAAGAATTAGAGGTGATCTTACAGAAACATACAAGATTCTTATGGGGCTTGACAGATTAGACAGTGTGAGACTGTTTCCCCTGGTAGGAGAATCTATAACTAGGGATCACAGTCTTAGGATTAAGGGTCAGCCTTTTCGAACAGAGTTAAGGAAACACTTCTTCACTCAGAGGGTAGTAAATTTATGAAATTCTCTACCCCAGAAGGCTGTAGATGCTCAGTCCTTGAACATATTCAAGACTGAGATTGATAGATTTCAAAAAGGATAGAGGGATTAAGGGACATGGGGATAAGGCAGGCAGATGGAGTTGGTTAGAAGATCAGCTCTTATTGAATGGCGGGGCAGGCTCGAGGGGCCGAATGGCCTACTCCTGCTCCTAATTCCAATGTTCCTATGTAGCACACATGACACATGGTAGCACTTCCGAGAGCTTAACAATGGTGGAGCTTGACACCAAGCCAGAGGAAGATGACCATAGCACAGTCAAAGAGGAAGGCCTTAAAGCGTGATCTGAAAATGGGGAAAGAGAGGACAAGGCAGAGGGTTTGAGGGAGAAAGTTCCAGAGTTTTGGGGCGTAGAAGCTGAAAGCATGGACATAGGAACATAGGAACAGGAATAGGCCATTCAGCCCCTCGAGCCGGTTCCACTATTCTACAAGATTATGGCTGATCTGAATACTTGATACCCTGACCTATCAAAACTCTATCCATCTCAGTCTTGAAAATTTGAATGGATCCAGCATCCTCAGCGTTTTGGGAGAGAAAGTTCCAAATTTCCACTACCCTTTGTGTGAAAAAAATCCTGATTTCACTCCTAAATGGTTCAGCTCTAATTTTAAAATTATTTCCCGTTTTTCTGGATTCCCCACCAGAGGATATAGTTTTTCTGTAGTTACCCTATCGAGTCCCTTTATTATTTTAAAAACCTCAGTCAGATCACCCCTCGACCTTCTAAATTCAAGGAAACACAGACCAAAGTATTTGTCTCAGAGGGGGTCTGACTTTTGATAACTTTTTGTACTTGTGAGCTTGTGTTTAATGATTTGGACGCCGATAGTTGAACGGAGGGGACGAGGAAGTGGCATGGGGAATAAACGTTCAGCCCATCAAATCTGAGCCATCTTATCTTGAATGGAGTTTCTACCAGTGTCTTGGCCAACAATTCCCCAGACAAAGCTTGTCATTCATTTCATGTTTTTTTGGGTGACATTGCTGTGTGTAAATTGGCTGCCTCGTTTGCCTATAAAATATACAGTTGCTACACTTTACAATAAATCCTGTGAAGCACTTTGATATTCTCCTGACATGAAAGGCACTTTATCAAATTATGATTAATATTATTATATTATTATTAATAATATAATCCCACTCACCTGCTCACTCACCATATCTTTAATAATAATAATCTTTCAAGCATTTATTTAATTCTGATCAACTAAACATACAGTCTCTGTCTCAAAAAAGGTTTCACGTTCTAGCCACCTTCAGTGCAAATCAATTTATTTGCAACCTCCCCAAATAATTCCTTTAGTGATTATCTTAATTATCTGTTTTTGTGACCGACAAAACACATCTTATGCTAAGTGGAAACAAACAATAATAAACTGGTCATTTTCAATCCACGAATATTTGTGGGACACTGCTGTGTGCAATTGGCTGCCGCGTTTCACCAACAAATATATGGTCAATGCACTTTACAGCATATTCTATGAAGCGCTTTGAGACGTCTAGAAGACGTGAAAAGCGCTAAATCAAATGCAATTATTATTATTATACCATATATTATTGTATATACATACATAGTAACCTATAATTCCAACCCATGCACCCTTGTGGAGTCACTGTTATATAAATTATACCATTAGAATGACTAAAATTATACGGAAGGAATGTTTTTCAATAATATCCTGAAATTAAAATGAAGGGAATAGAATCCTCAATTTCCAAATTGGACATTTAAGATCCAGAGCAGATGGCAAATTATCTCTGAATTAATCATGTTCAAGTCTTGAATCACTTTGGTGTTGTCCCAACCTGGGAAGCAGCAAATACCCTTTGCCTTTCAATGATCAAGACAAACGTCAGAGTATTAAAGCTCCTCCACTTAACTACATCAAGCAGTGAAGTATGCACTTCATGTACTAACTCTGATCAGATATCCTGGTATTCAATTCCCTTACTGAAGTCAAAGTAGGAAACATAAATCAATTGAAAAATGGAAAATAACTGAAAATGCATTCTACAGTTTTTGTCTGGAAAAGTAAGATTTACCAAAAAAAATGTCCTTTATTAAAATTGGATCCACTGCATTAGACTTAAAAATCACTTCTTTATTCACCAAGTTTAACTATCACCATTCTGTTTATTGACTACACTGATGAGTCTAACCATTATTATTTTTAATATTAAATGCCACAGTTCAATTATCCAGATAATTCAAAATCATGTAGTTTCCCTCTCCCAATCTTTTTCTTCCACATTTCTAAGCAAAATGTTAACTAAATTACTGAAAGTTAATTATTCAGAAGCTCATTGATCAAACCAATATAACAGCATAATATATATTGATATTTACCTGTGGCAGTTCTGTCACGGAATTCCTCAAGCTTCATCAAAGTAGCTGATGTCAGCTGTTCCAATTCAACATTTCTGGGAGTTTGAAAGAACCCCACCAAACTGTTCACAGATCGCTGTTGGAAGGTATACGTTATTCTTTTAGTGAAGTTATTTAAACCACATCAATAATTTAAGCCACTGCAAATATGTCTTACTTTAGCATAAATAAATGGGGAAGATTTTTTTTCAAAAATATTAGCACTCAAAAGCTAACTTTGTACAGAAATCTTTATTCATATTGTCTCTCCTCATCTCAATGCACCAACTCATGATGGTGAAGTTTCACCATTTCACAATCAACCTATTGGCTGTTTTTCATGTTAGCCTATCTGTTCTCACTTGACCTAACTGAAGCTAGAATATTCGATTTATGATCCATTCTTTGTAGATATCAATTTAGCTACTTGATTGGCTGGTCCCCATCATTTTCCACTCAGTCATATAAGAAGACAATTATTTTACTATTAAAAGTAATAAAATACAAAATGTACATCTCACTTACTGCATCATACACGATTTCTAGTGGCTGTGATCCCACCCTTAGCCGCTGATCAGCATTTTCATCTAACGGATTGGTCTCAAACATGATTTTGAGCAGAGGGCCTTCACTCTCAGCTGCAACATTCCGTGAAGAGAGTAAACATGGTGTATAACTATTCTGAAGTAGTCCTGTCACTTCAAATGTGTTTATCTGTGCTTCTAACCTATAAAAAAATTGAAAATCTTATAACATAATTCACATTTCAAATCAATATACTAGATGATAAATAATCATTTTGCGAACTCAATGCAGTGCTCATACTGCATATTTCGTATTTAGAATGACTTAACACCAAATGTGCAATATAAACAGTAGTTCAGGAAGCACGAATTAAGCTCAAATCCACTCCTTAAACTACCTGGAGGAAGTTGTGTCAGGAATGGTGTGCTATTTGCAAAACCCATTGAGTTGCTCCCCCTCACCCCATTATATGCGATCCATGCAAGCTCTGTGTTCAAATGTAACAACTTGCATTTATATAGCACCCTTCATGTGGGGCAGTGGCTCAGAGCACTTGAAGTGCCGGAGTCTGACCCCCGAGCCAGGGGGAGGAGGGTGGAGGTGACCGTAAGCACAATCAAAAAGGAAGGTCTTTAGGCTGGATTTGAAAGTGGGAGAGGGGGCAAGACAGAGGGATTGAGCAAGAGTTCCAGAGTTTCGAGGCTTAGTGGCTGAAGCCATGGCCACTGATGGTGGAGCAAAGGGGATGAGAGACGAACAGGAGCCTCTTGTTTATCCCTCTACAGTAACAGTAACACTAACACTAAACGTAAAACTAAACAAAATATTAACACTGTACACAATATTGGTGTTCTACCCGTTTTCCCATGTAAAATATTCTGAGATCAGGTGCTATTTAATCTATTTAAACTCCTAATTCAAATAATGAGCATGAAGCTCTATTTTTTAATGCTCCCAGGAAGACAGTATATTCTGTGAAGGGCTGAGATGTCTCGTAGACGTGATAAGGTGCTATGTCAAATACAAGAAAATGCAAATGTAAGGACTATTATCTTCACTCCTGGAAATAAAACTTGTTGGATTGGGCAATTTCAAATACAGCAAAGGATTTCTCAAATTTTTCAATATCAATTTCACAATGTGGTTGCTTTGGCACAATTCCATTAGGAATTGAAATACTTTGTTTCAGTTTGTTTCCCTAACATTTAGTTGATGATGAGTTCAGCCACACAACTTGGGAGCTAATTTAAATACCGATAGCTTTTGATGGTATCCAACCTCTTTAATCTTTTAGTAAATCTTTAAGAAATAGGAACAGGAATGTAAGCCTATGAAAAAAGTTCTTCATATGAAAATAAGTTAAGGAATTGGCATCTCCCTCTTTTTGGTACCATAGAATGTCATCTATAGAAAGAATTAATAATGCAGGTTCAATAATTAGATTTAAATTCCTGGAGTTTTGGCACAGTAATACTTTACAGAGTTTGTCTTCTTTTTTTTAAACTTGTGGTTTGCCACCTTCCCCGGATTAGATAAAATGAGTAAAACCTAATCTTAATTTCAAGTTTTACAAGCTTTTTTTGCATATAAGAATTACAAATGTTAATTTTTTTTCACAGTTAATATCTTATCAGACAGGGTAATGCTAGAGAAAAAATATTACAATGAAATCTATGAGTTGAAAGGTCGAACGGAAACAAACAAAGTATTAATATTCACTGCAACAATTACAAGCCTTGAATTACTTAAAAATGTAAAACCTACTTGATTGCTTGTGCTCCTGGTCTCTGGGTCAGCACTGTGCTTAAATCCATTACAACAATTTTCATAATTGTTGGCGCCAATTTTTCTTCTTTAATGGAAAAGGACATGCTTTGTAGGCTCACATAGATTTTCAATGCTTCATACTAGAGTTAAGAAATAATAAAGTGGCCAATGGTTATTTTCAGTTAATATACAATATATGCAATTTTAATTAAGATATAGTCATTTCAAAATTAGATTATTATTGATTTATCTAGTTAAGTCATTTATATTTACAATCCTCCTGTCAAATTCACAGTGATAGCAACATAAATTCAGTGCAAATGCCAGCATAGAGTAGCTGAATTATACTGATAATAATAATAATGATAATCTTTAATAATCACGTCGTTAAGACAACAACAACAAAATTACATTTGTAAAGCACCTTTCATGTCAGGAGAACGACCCAAAGCGCTGAGAAGACGTTTTAAAGCGCTTCACAGAATATACTGTAAAGCAAATTTACTGTGTTTTTGAGCAAAACGCAGTAGCCAATTGTGCACAGCAGCGTCCCACAAATAGTTCTGGATTGAATGACCAATTTTTTTTTGAGGAATTGTTACCCCCAGAAAGCAATCTACCAATCAACTAAAAAAACGGGTTCCTACTTAGTGCTAGATAAACAGAAATGTGTAGAGTAAGGAAACTTGCCCAAGGTTTTGCCCTGCCCAGGAATCAAACTGGGTCTTCTCACTTGCAAGGTGAGCGCGTTAACCACTACTCCACTTAAAACTGTCTTGCCTATATTTATTTGCTATTAACTGCTTTTAGTTGTTGCACAAAAAGAAAAATTAGATCATAGGATTTTAGTTCAGTATAACAGTTCTTCCAAAAGTAACAACAAAATTACATTTATAGAGTGCCTTTTACTTATGGAGGAAGTCCCAAGGCGCTGCAGTCAGGGGTCAGGACCCGATCATGCGGGAGGGATGGGGTAGGATGAGGGAAGGCAGAGAGATGGGAGGGCAATCGAAGGCACGATCGAAGAGAAGGGTCTTGAGACCGGCCTTGAAGGAGGTAAGGGAAGAAACGAGGGGATGGGATTGTGGGATGGAGTTCCAGAGCGTGGGGGAAGAGAGGCTGAAAGCCCGGCCACCGATGGTAGGGTGGGTCAGGCGGGAGACATGGAGCAGGCCAGAGCCCGATGAACAGAGGGAGCGGGCAGGTTGGTAGGGAGTCAGCAGGTCAGAGAGCTCAAAAGCACATGAATTAGAAGCAATTAAAAATGAGGTTTACCAAATTAACAAAAAATAATATAAAACTGTATATAAGAACATAAGATTTAGGAGCAGAAGTAGTCCATTCAGCCCCTCGAGCCTGCCCCGCCATTCAATAAGATCATGGCTGATCTATTCTAACTCCACCTACCCGCCTTATCCCCATATCCCTTGAACCCTTTATCCACAAGAATATGAAAAGCAATACTGTATTATCTGGACTACTTCTCTATTTCTTATTCTTTTAGCTTTGCAGATTCTACCAAATACCGAATTATAAAGTGTTCAAAACATCACAGTTTAAAACCAGAAAGAGAAAGCATGGTGTGTCTATTCAAATAGCCCAGAATACTGAATTTATAGTGGTTAATAAACAGTAATGTTTAGTCAGCAGCTTTCCGTGGTTTCATTTATTATAGTTTATGAATTGATTGTGTAAAGCAAATTTACAAACATACTCTTTTTGGCACAGTCGGGTCCACTGCAGCTTCACTGTATCCAATTGCTGCATAGAGTTTGGATTTCTCTTCAGGTGTCATTAATTCACTGATTCCTGAAGCAAAAATGTAAAATAAAATATATGAAAATCAAGTTATTTCATAAATGTGACATGTCCAAATGATATTGCAGTCTATGCTGAGGTACATGTAATGTAACAGGTTTTAATAATAATATAGTGCCTTTCACAACAGAAGGGCGTCTCAAAGCGCTTCACAGAATTTATTGTGGAGTTGCTGTGTATTTATTTGTAGGCAATCTCTACCAGATCAACCAAAATGTATTTTTTGGTAAACGTATCACCAAAACCCCATCTGGGATGCAATCCTGGTAGGTTTAATCCAGGTACTCATTGACAAGAGTACAACCTTACTCAAGCAATGGATTAAACAAAAACTCAAATCTCTGTACAATACTCATCTCCATCATTTTGCTAACTCAATTATACAATGAACAGTACCACAGGAAACAGCACAATAATCTCAGAGCATTCCAACAAAGACATCCTAGGAATGAGAGAAAAGTGAATACTAAAGAAGAATCTACATTGAAATACAACTCACAACTAATACCAAGTTTGATTTATGGCTCCAAGGGAACAAAATGTGGAAACATGACATGAGATACCAGGAAAAAAAAGAAAAAAAATCAAAAAAACATACTGGAAGCCTAAAGTCAAAATATCACTTTCAGAGGTGAAAAAAATCTATTTAGGAATAAATAATTGAACAAAACAAATAAGCTTTTTCATTAACTTGAACACTGAGCAATAACAATCAGTGAAGCCTTATTATAGTGTGGTGTTTGAGATCCATAAAATCTCAAATCATGTCATAGTGAAGCACATTAGTAGGGTTGATTGCACACTCACGTAACAAATCAGGACTGCAGGGTTGTTCTTGGCAGTTTCCATGCTAAAAGAATGGCCGATGTCCATGCACAAAGCAGGAAATTACATTACTGGGGGCCTGATGACCTAGCAGTTTGGCATTTAATTTGGTGCAGGAAGCTAAAATGGCCAACATTTGGGTGATCAGGTCACCAACATCACTTCCTACATTCACAAAAACAAAGAACATGACGTCCAAGGAGACCATTGTGGAAGAACCAATAAACAATAAAGATTGTGTGCATTAATGGGGTCTACAGTACAACTAACTGCATATATAAGCAAATTCATGCTAAGATGAAGTGTGTTTTGATGGGGTTACTATGCAATTTCTAATTTTTTTTCCAAGAAAAGGCCGATGTCCTCTGGTATGTTTCTCCCAATAAATGACAAGAAATATCCTATCCAAATTACATGAAGAATCCCAGTTCCTTTTCAAAGAATTGGATCACACTAGTCATCCAAACGTCTAATGTAAATGTTATTTTTCTTTTACCTGTTTTTGTTTCTTGTAGTTTCTCATCTTTTGCTCCTCCCCAATTCCACATCCAATCGAACCATCCTCCACCTTTTTCGTCTTCAACAGCTACACCTGGTCTGTAAATCTTAAAACCCGCTTTCATCGCCTAAAATTTTTTAAAAAGTAATTTACCAGTCAGCACATTTTAGTTGCATTATTTTCAAAACACTTTTTGAATTGCTAATAAACTATCCAGGGCAGAGTAATAAACAATAACAAAAAACTTTAATTGAGTCATTATATAACCACTGTAATCAGTTTGTCATTCATATTACCTAAATTGTTGCAACATGGCGGACTGAGATATTGCAATAAATCTAAGATCAAAATAAAAACAATTTAAAAAATTTTTTCCCCAAAATACCTCCATTTCTGCTTGTTGTCTTGCCAGTGTAATGTTAAACAAATCAAGGTCCTCTTCAAGTTCCTGAAAATAAAAATACTCATGAATGAAGAGGTACTGAAGATGATTAGCATTTATTTGTTTAATAACCAAAATGACAACCAAAATATGTAACAAAGTTAATGGATCTGTTTTATGTTATTCAATAACAATATCAATTGTGTACTCTGCTTTATAAGAAAAAAGATCACTATTTTTAGTTAACCTCCACTCTCAAATATCAATTGCTGGAATCATAAACCATTCTAATGTCTGAAGTCAAATATTGAATTACAGTAACATAAACCACTAACATCAATTTCTTGCACAAGGTCATCATCTGGTTTCATTGTTGTAATCTTTGTTTTGTAACATCCCTTATATCTCTTTATTTTCTGCCTGTGCTTTTGAATGTGTTTCCAAGACCATGATTCAAAGACAGGCTTTACATCTTCTTCCAAAATACCATTGATAGCATATTTCCACCTAATAAAATATAAGAAACAGTGCAATTCCACATCTTAAAAATACAACAGAACATTTTTACAAAAACGCAGCTGAGTAGTTCCACTGGATTTTGGAGCTGGGGATGTACAACATCTCTTGCATTTTGAGCTGGAGGTGAGGTTTGTTGGAAGTGAGATTTGTTGGAGGTGAGGTTTATTGGAGGGACTAAAGAGGAGTGAACAGGGGAGGCTGTTGGTAGTGGAACAAGGATAATAAATTTATAAATAATAATAATCCTGATGATCCTGAAGTAAAAGGTGGATTTACCAGAGCCGTGGTTTGTAAGGATAGTAGACTTCACTCAGGTCCAGCCAGAAATGCTGATGAATTGTGAGGCCAGAATTGAGCCACACGCATTCAGCCAGCATGCACATTGGATTTTAGGGAGCAGAGGTGGCTATTGTACCGGGGAGTTTGGGAGAGGGAGATCAAGATGTGATAGGAGCAAAATTATTGGCAATAGCAACAAGGGAGCTTTGCACAAGACCGACAAGAGGTAAGGTAAGGTCAGATAGAGAGCCAGGGAAGAAGAAATAAATAACCTACCTTACAACTACTGGGGGTTCATAAGACTCTAGAAGGGTTGTAAGGGAGGTTATTCATTTCCAGGAACAGAAAGTGATGGTCACCAGTTTGTTGGTACAGACAGGAAGGTGATAAAAGAAATGAAGAAGCGGTCAGAAATGGCTGTCAGAGTTGGACGCCTTTTCTAATGACCAAGTCAGGGATTGGCCATGGATGTGGCTATGGGAGTTGATGTGGAGGGAGAGGTTGAGGGAGGAGAGCAGGGAGAAGAAAATCAGCAGGAATGGGCTTGGCCAGAAGAACTGGAGGTTAAAATATGAAGGTTTATGCAATTATGAAACACGCACCTAGCTAATACAAGGTAGTCTCTTAACTTCCCTTTGCATTATCTATGCATCCACAGATTACACGTGCCTCTTCCTTTTACTTCCTATATGCAATACCTTGCATTTATTTGTATTGATTTTCATTAGCCAATAATTGGTCCATGTACATACATGGTTAAGTTCTCTTTGTACATCCTGGTGATCTCTTAATTCACATCCCCAACTTGGAGCCATTTCCAAAATTGACCACCTTGCATACAATCTGATACCTCCAGTCATTTATGTGCTGATGGAAGAGTCCCAGCAAAGACCTCTGAGAGATTCCACTCAATATTTTTTCCAGTCCATAGTATTTCCTCATGACTACTCTCTGCTTTCTTCTCTTTAGACAATTGCCAATGTTTCACCCTTGATACCTACTCACTATGTCCATTGTTCAGGCTGCCAATCCATCAGATTATTTGGTCATTTGGTCAGTTGGTCATGAGATCTGGCTGAAATACATTTGCTTATGTATCTTCATGTGAAAAGACTCCATTAAAAAAACACGCTTCTTTCCTTGGAAGCCTAACTATATGATGTTATATTCTTCACAAATCTTCTCCTTTGCTTCTTAAATACCCTGGAATAGTTTCATCTGCTACAATGATTCATTGATTATCTGCGACAATATCTATCCAGAACCTCTGACTTGTTAATGTCAAAATGGAGTTCAAACAACTCATGCTGAATGTGGCTGCATAGTTAGTTATATATTATGGTTACCATCTCTCATTTGTCCTCATTTTAAACTCTTGTGAGTCCCTTAGGGTTGGTTTTAAATTTCTCCCCAACTACTTTCTTGCTGTTATAATGGAAGATTTTATATCTGCTCCAATGTCCCTTTCCAAAGGAAACAATAAATTATAATGATTAGTTCTTGGGAAAATAGTGAGGGTAGATACCTACCCCATAATAGATTAATAGAACAACAACAACAAATAACACTTGTATAGCGCCCTTCCCATCGGAAAGATATCCTAGGGCGCTGGACAATCAGGGGTTTTGGACCTGAGCTGGGAGTTGGGGTCAGAAGGATGAGTGTGTTAATTTACCATTGCTATTATGATATCCTGGTGTGTTAAGGATACAAAAATCCCAATCCACATTATTACAAGGCACCATAGACTGTACAAAGCGGGAAGTGGTATTTTGGTTAAATAATGAATGACCTGGATCTTGACTGTTAGTGTAAAAGTCCTGTTATTTTAGCTAAAAGTCTTCCAGCACATATGAAGCTAGCAGGCTGGCTGCACGCATGCTTAATGAATGGCATCCACAAGAGTATTTGCATTATAAACAAATTTGTTCCACCATGAAGTACATTATAAGCTGGACTGCACTATATATTGCTACTTTCCATATTTCAGCTAATGTCATCAACCGTAGCTTGGATATAACATCTTCTCTCTTCAGTGTTAGAAAAGATAATCACATTTACTTTAATCTTTTCTTCTTAGTTGAGCATTATCATTAAAAGAAAAGCTGTTGATCACTCATATTCACCATTTTCCTGCATTATTGTGACAAGGAACATTTGGTTTATATTTCCTATATGGCAGATTTCGTGACATCATATCGACAGATCCAAGCAGTTCCATGATACTGACGTACTGTTAAAAGAATAAAAAAAAGTCAGTTATCCTTTCAAAATGAAAGGTATGTATTCATGAAGAGATAAAACAAACAGCTCCAATGGTTCTTAAATATGATTCTAGTACCTGAGGTCTTTTGAGTTCCATGGCGATATCTTGTAGTTTTACTTCCAAGTTAGTTTTTGGTGAAGTAAAGTCAATGTCTCCTCTGGGATTCATCTCCAATTTAGCTCTGGCAGATATTGGCCGAAAAACTATTGAAAAAAAACGTAGTTTGAGTAGGGGAGAGGGCAGGGGAGAGAGGGGAGGGGGAAAGGGGAGAGGGTGGGAGCCAACCTTTGGCTCCTGCCGCTGCAGAGATGATGTTCACTAAAGTGGGAGCGAGTGAATTGGAATGTTGGAAATGGTCTCGGGCCGGATCCGGCCCGTGGGCCGCCAGCTGGACCATGCTGGATGCAGCCCATGGACCTTTCTCAAATAGGAAATCCGACCCTCGGCAGCCAAAAGGTTGGACCACCCTGTCGTAGATAGTGAAAATTTATGTTATTAATTCTTTGGGAGATATTCCACTACTCAGTGTTTCTATTATGCAAATAGAAATTCAATGTTATCTACAAAATCACCAAATATATTCCTATGTCTACAACAACAACAAGATTCCATTTATTGAGCGCCTTTCACGTCGGGAGGACGTCCCAAGGCGCTGTACAGTTGGGTCAGGACCCGAGCAAGGGGGAAATGGTCAGGGTGAGGGGAGGGAAGGGAGGGAGCGAGGAGGGGGTAGAGAGTCGAGAGGGGAGCTGAAGGAACAGTCAACGAGAAAGGTCTTGAGACCGGCCTTGAAGGAGGAGAGGGAGGAAGCAAGGCGAAGGCACTGGGGGATAGAGTTCCAGAGGCTAGGAGCTGAGAGGCTGAAGGCCCGTCCACCGATGGTAGGGCGGTTGGGGCGGAGGATGTGCAGCAGACCGGAGCCAGAGGAACGGAGGGTACGGGCAGGTAAGTAGGGGGATAGTAGGTCGGAGAGGTAGGAGGGAGCGAGGCCGTGAATGGCCTTGTAGGTGAGGATGAGGATCTTGAATTCGATCCTCTGGGGGATGGGGAGCCAGTGGAGGCGAGCGAGGGTGGGAGTGATGTGGTCGCGAAGCTTGTGGAGGGAGGTGCCGGGAAGGCCGACGAGGAGAGAGTTCCCATAGTCCAGCCTTGAGGTGATAAAGGCGTGGACCAGTTTCAGCAGCGTGAGGGGTGAGGTAGTGCCGTAGTCTGGCGACATTCCGGAGGTGATGGAAGGCGGTGCCAGTTGTGGCGCGGATATGGGGGAGAAAGGACAACTCAGGGTCGAAGAGAACCCCGAGGTTCCTGACTGGCTTTGAGAGGTGGAGAGTGCAGCCTTGGATGCTGATGCTGTCAGCGCCTGAGGTGCGGAGGCGCTGATACGAGCCAATCAGGAGGGCCTCAGTTTTGCGCACGTTGAGCTGGAGAAAGTTATCTCTCGTCCAGGACTCGATGTCGGACAGGCAGCTGTCAGGACATCGGTGGTCGTGGAGTTGAGGGTAGAGGAGGAAAGGTAGAGGTGGGTGTCATCCGCATACATGTGGAAGTTAACCCCATGTCTGCGGATGATGTCACCAAGGGGGAGCATATAGAGGGTGAAGAGGAGGGGACCGAGGACAGAGCCTTGAGGGACACCGCACGAGACAGTGCGGGGGCTGGAGGAAAAGCCGTTAGTAGAAACAAAATGAAGACGGTGGGAGAGGTACGACCTAAACCACTCAAGGACAGGGCCTTGAAGGTTTAGGTGGGAGGACAAGCGGTGGAGGAGGATAGCGTGGTCGACCGTATCGAATGCTGCCGATAGGTCGAGGAGGACGAGGAGGCAGAGGGAGCCCTGGTCACAGATGGTCAGGATGTCATTGGTGACCTTGACCAGGGCAATTTCTGTGCTATGGGCAGCACGGAAACCCGACTGAAGCGGTTCGAATAGTGAATGGTTGGAGAGGAAAGAGCGCAGCTGGGAGGCGACAACTCGTTCCAGGACCTTGGACAGGAAGGGGAGGTTGGAGATGGGCCGGTAGCTTGATAGCTGTGACGCATCAAGGGAGGGTTTTTTCAAGGTGGGAGTGATGGTGGCAGTTTTTAAGGGAATGGGAACAGAGCCAGAGGAGAGGGACAGGTTGATGATGTCTGTGATATGTGGGGCAAGGAGGTGGAGCTGGGAGATAAGGAGTGGAGTGGAGTGGGGATGGGGTCAAGGGTCTAGAAGGGAATCCACACTCTCTTCCGAGAGGGATGCATCCAGCTTATCTAAGTATTAGGTGCAGTTTAGCAAGAACCGAGGCTTGATGTTTAAAATGAAGTTTAAACTGCATCCAATCAAGAGAGCTTTATGTATTTCATTAGATACCTTGAACAATAGCACATGATCTTTCATTTCTTTTAAACTGTGCATATATGTATATTTTAACCACAAGTTAACAATATCCTCATTTACCCTCACACATTCATCACATCTAGGCTTGACTACACCAACTCCCTGCTTGTTGGCCTTCCCAACTCTTCTCTTCACAAGCTGCAGATAATCCAGAACTCTGCAGCTTGTGTCCTCTCCGGAACCAGGCTCCGTGACCCCATCACCCCCACCCTCGCCCGGCTCCACTGGCTCCCCATCCCCCAGAGTTCAAAATCCTTGTCCTCACCTTCAAAGCCCTCTATGGCCTTGCTCCTTCCTACCCATGACCTGCTGAGCCCATATCAACCTATCCTCACCCTTCGCTCAGTAGGCTGTGCGTTCCATGTCCCCTGCCCAGATCTCTCCACCATAGGCGGTCAGGACTTTAGCATTTCTGCCCACGCTGAAAACCCTCAATGTGCCACAAACAGGCGTGGATTGATTGACAAAATTATTATTTAATTGCTTTTTTTGACTGATGTAAAAGCTTATGGGCTTGGTGAGTCAGTGAGCGTGAGTGCGTGGTGTGCATGTGTGCAAATATGAGCTTGTGTTGGACAAGTGTGAACGCGTGGGGGATGTGTGTGTGTGTGTACGTGTGTATGTGTGTGTGAATGAGAGGTGAATCCATGTCTCGGCAAGCTGCCCACTTGACATTATCTGTATAAAAATGTGCAAGTGAGGCTAGCACATGACCCTTCCTGAAATCTTCTAGCAGGAATGACCGAGGGCTTCTAAATCTAATTTTGTATCGTATCTCTCCGACCTGCTTACTCACACTGCTTTACTGGCTCCACTTGGCTGGCTCCGGCCTCCTGTTTGTCCCCTCTGTTCCACCATTGAAACAGAGGCCATGCTTTCAGCCACTACGACCCGAAACCTTGGAACTTTCACTCTCAATCCCTCCACGTTCCCCGTGCGGCCCGCCCCACCATCGGCAGTCGGGTCTTCAGCCTTTCTGCCCACACCCTTTGAAACTCCTTTCCACATTCCCTTCGCCTCGCTCCCTCCCTTGCCTCCTTCAAGGCACATCTCAAAACCCTCCTCTTCGATCATGCCTTCTGGCACCCTTCTACCCTCCACCCTCCCCAATCCCAGCTCAGGTCCAAATCCCTGACAGTCCAATGCCTTGGAACATCCTCCCGACGTGAATGGTTATACAAATGCAATTTTGTATTGTATCCTGCTTGTGTGACTTACTGAACTGATAGTTCTCTGGAACAAAGTCTCCAGTTGCAACTCCATCCTTCATGTATTTCTGAAAGAGGTAAAAAATCACCACATGTTAAATGCCAAATTCAATAATCAAATGATGAAAAAGAGTCTGCAAAGGAAGGCTATGATAAATTACTTAACGCAGGTATGGCTTGCTGATTCTTTGAGGGATATTCAACTTCAAAATACTGAAATTCTCAGTTGCACTGGCAAAATTATCCTCAAGGATATTAAAGTTTCACACTTGAAAGTGATCTTGCCCTACATCTTTAGTTACACTGTGAAGCTAATTCTCAGTTCTTTATCCTTAGAAACAATAGGGAGAGATTTTTCAGGCGAGTGAAGCACTAAAACATACTACTCCAAGGTTGGTGGAAACATTGTTGATGACACAAACATTAAATGAAGTGAAACGTGAAGCAACACAGTACAGGTTTTAAAAACAAATGGAAAAAAAACACTAACTCTCTTTAAGATTAAAGTATAGGTACTAAGTTTATTCACAACAAAAATATAAAATGGGCAATGCAATCAACCACAACATATTACAAAATCAAAGGCTATATTTATTAGGTCATTTATCCTTTTAATACTCTTTTAAAGTTTTTTTTAAAAAAGATGTTTTGTTTATCTCCTCAGAATTTTTGCTTCTCAAACAGATTGTGGCATTCCCATCCGTGCCACAAACATATTTTACACATCACAATCTTGAACTCCCAAATAGAAAACTGTGATGAGACGCCACTTAACTGATAGCAAGCAGAATCTCATTTTCCTCAGATTTGCCAATTTACTTGTATGAAATAGTGTTAAGAGGATCTCTCTTTAAAGAATCTATGAGTTTGATTTGATCTATTGAAGCACCTAGATCAGTTATTCCCAGCACCTGAGAGCCTCTAATCCCTGTTTTAAGACTTCCATAGTGCTACTTTCAGCACCTTGGGATGTCAAATATAATTTTGTTGTTGGTCACAAAGATTAATTTACATTGAGTAGAAATGTCACCCAAGTTATCATAGTCATTCTAAAAGATGAAGAGCAGCAAAAAAATCCAGGAAAAAAAGAGAATTCAAATATAGTGTCTTATCCTCTGAAAACAGTCTCCACAAGATATAATACTGTGGATATGTCCACGTTGGTGAGATATTCCAAAATAATAAGTGACAGATGATAACCATACCAAGCTGTAATCTATGACCATGGACAAACAAAGTTGAGAGTTTCGACTAAAATAGAACAAAAGTCAGAGATGATTGCTTTTTCAAAGTGATCGATAGTTAAGACATGTTTGGATCACAATTTTTGATCAGGTTTGGTTAGTTCCAAAGTTACCTCTGTCATGCTATCTAAAGACTCCTGTACATATTCTACTTGATCTGACATTTACAAACTGCCTCAGTGGTGCAGCAATCCTGCCACATCCTTCAGTTGTTGAGGCTGACAGGTCAGGAAGGTGTGCCAATTTGGATGGGGAAATTAGGCAGATATCCACCATAGCTGTTAGTCAGAATATGCTATTCACGATTTAATAAGGATGGAGATAAATGGATCCTTCTGTCAAGATTCACTATTTCATTCTGTTATTTAAAATCTGATCTGGTTGAAACAGATGTATATCAGGGCAGTTTTCATTTCTCGGTGAGATGTTAAGAAGTTCACGTTAATGTTAAGTCATGTTTTTGCATTATTTGGGGTTGCTCGTCTGCTGTTGGAACTGCAAGCTTGAATAAAAATCCATTTTCTTTTAAATTCTGATGTGGTTTGTCAACACGAGCAGCACTGGCCAAAGTTCAAGCAGAAAACAGTCAAGAAAATACATTAAGAGCTGAGCTAAAGAAGCATCTGAATATGACAAGAAGTGAAAACCATACAGGGTGAACCCACATATTTTACGTCTTAACTGTGAAACAGCATGCAGGCCACTGCAGAACTAGGAGGGGAAAAAAAGCAAAATGAAGTCTGAATTTATCAAAAAAAACATACAAAGTTCAGTTGGAAAAAATGGCATCTGGTGCAATGTAAGAATCTTGAACAAAAGACCTTAGCAACCTTAAATGGGTCAATTACCCACTAAAGAAACATTAGTGACCAACTAGTGACTATCCTTCTTGTGGGGAGGTAAGTGGGGGGGGGGATCTCCTTAAAGCTGAACTGGCTTCAAGGTGACATATTTGACAATGGAAAGTCAGAATCAAGCCAATCCTCTGTGGCTTACTCAGCAATCCAGTTCCTGAGAGAGGCTCACAGGACTCAAGGGCATGGCTAATGTCAGGCCAGCCAATCTAGCTCATCACCAAGATTTGGAATGGCAAACCGGTCACTGGAGTTGGGGACATTTCCCATTGAGCTCTTGGTAACCCTGCAAGCAAAAGCCCTATTGGGTAGGGTGGTCCAGCTGGACAAGTAGCTCCTCCCTACGTGAAAGGTGCTATACAAATTTAATCTTGTTGTTGTTGTTCTTGCCAGACAGTGTTTTCAACTACAATGTGATAAATTCAGACCTTCCTTTGCTGCACATGTTTAGCTGGTTACATTCCAGCAGTACCCCAATGCACTCTGGGCGTTCCCAAGAGCCAACCTATATCTATTACTCTCTGGAATTATGTAAGAAAGATGTGTCCCTCCAGGAGAGAGCACATTCCATTTCAACAAATATCTCTGGAATTTACATGTATAAGTGCAATGTATGAAACTGTTTTTGGATTTATCTTAAGCATGTTTTCTGGAAGAATATGATCAAATGATTTGAAGTGCCCTTTTCATCAAACCCTCTCGTGGGATTCGAATAAAGCAGAAGCTTCCTTGAAGTGTTTACATGAAAGAACTATCAGTGATGAAGATGCTCTCATTAACAGAAGCAAAAATGACATCTGGCCAAGCAACTCAGAATTAAACTTTGGTTCTTGTTGTGAATCCCATTTACCAAGATCGTATATTATGTACATCAGTCTTGCTACCAGAACATAATTTTTGCTTCCGTTTTTCCAACTTGCACATTTGAAATTCATTGTCTCAGCTTGTGATATGTACCAATAACCATCACTAATGCAACATTAGAACAAATAAAGTAACGGCTTTGGTTGCAAACCTAGTTTAGGGAAGCACAACAATAGCGGCATGAGATCTCTTGTAAAAGAGCACAAGTTCTGGAGGGTTAGATTATGTTCCTTGTATTGCTTGGTGGTTAAACATATTCCACCTCTTGAAGGATATATACCTGCTGTAAAAGAGGGTCAAATTTAGCCTCAAAATTAAAGAATTATTCAGTGATTATTTACACCTAACAGCAAATTACATTTGGTACAAAGAAGTGAACTTACCAAGGCCTCTTTTGAATTGTGTTTGGAATACATCACTGTGTTGACATTCCAGTAGGCACAGAGGCTGTCCAATCGGATAAGCTTAAAAAAAGGGAGAAGATTCTTCATTCACGTATCAAAAAATGTCTGCCTGGGTCAACTGGTAGCACTCTCACCACTGGGCAGAAGATTGTGGGTTCATGTCCTACAACAGGACTTGAGCTCACTGGCTGACAAATGTAGTGTTGGGAAAGCACTATGTTGTTGGAGGTGCAATCCTTTGGGTGAAACATTAAAACACATTCTCCTCACCTCCCTTGCTTCTTTTAACAACTATTTTAAATTGGTGCCCTCGGGTTACCGACCTACCCGCCAATGGAAATAGTTTCCCCTTGTTCACCCTATCAAGCCCCTCATAATTTTGAAAACTTCTATTAAGTCTCCTCTTAACCTTCTCTACTCCAAGGAGAATAATCCTAGCTTCTCTAGTCTCTCCTGATAACTGAAGTCCCTCATTCCTGGTACCATCCTACTGAATCTGCTTTGCACCCTCTCCAATGCCTTGATATGCTTCCTAAAGTGAGGTGCCCAAAACTGAACACAGTACTCTAGCTGAGGCCTAACCAGTGTTTTATAAAGGTTCATCATAACTTCCTGACTTTTGTATTCTATGCCTCTATTTATAAAGCCTTAATATCCCGTATGCTTTTTTAACAGCTTTATCTACCTGTCCTACCACCTTCAAAGATTTACTTACATGAACCCCCAGGTCTCTCTCTTCCTTCACCCCCTTTAAGATTGTACCATCAGTTTATATTCCTCATTCTTCCTCCCAAAATGCATCACTTTGCATTTCTCCACATTAAACTTCATCTGCCACGTGTCTGCCCATTTTACCAGTCTGTCTATGTCCTCTTGCAGTCTGCTGCTATCCTCCTCACTGTTTACTACTTTTCCTAGCTTAGCCTTATCTGCAAACTTGGAAATTGTACTCTTTATACCCAAGTCTAGGACATTTATATAGATCAAAAATAGCAGTGGTCCCAATATCGACCCCTGGGGGACACCACTGCACACTTCCCTCCAGTCAGAAAAACAACCGTTCACCACCACTCTCTGCTTTCTGTCTCCCAGCCAGTTCTGTATCCATGCTGCCACTGTCCCTTTAATACAGTGGGCTTCTATTTTGCTTACAAATCTTTTATGTGGCACTTTATCAAACGCCTTTTGAAAATCCATATAAACTACATCAACTGCACTACCTTCATCCACCCTCTCCGTTACTTTATCAAAAAGCTCAATCGGGTTTGTTAGATACGATTTGCCTTTAACAAATCCGTGTTGGCTGTCCTTAGAAAAATATGGGTTAATTAAGTGAAAATGTATTTTGTCCTGGATTACAGTCTTTGGAGGTTTCCCCACTACTGATATTAGACTTGACTGGCCTGTAGTTCCTGGGTTTATCCTTCTGCCCCTTTTTGTACAGGGGAGTAACATTTGCAACCCTCCAGTGTTCTGGCACCATAAACTACATCAACTGCACTACCTTCATCCACCCTCTCCTTTACTTCATTAAAAAAACTTTATCAGGTTTATTGGACATGATTGGCCTTTAACAAATTTGTGTTGGCTGTCCTTTATTAACCCATATTTTTCTAAGTGAAAATTTATTTTGTCCCGGATTATAGTCTCTAAAAGTTTCCCCACTACTGACATTAGGCTGACTGGCCTATAGTTCCACGGTTTATTTTTCTGCCCCTTTTTGTACAGGTGAGTAACATTTACAACCCCCCAGTCATTTGGCACCACCCCAGTGTCCAAAGATTGAAAGTTGTGGCCACAGCCTCCAATATTTCCACCCTTTGTGGGATACATCCGTCTGGACCGGGTGACATATCTACCTTGAGCACCGACAATCTTTTTAGTACCTTCTCTGTTTATTCTTATCCAATTTGTATTTGTTCTGACCCCGAACTATCTCTACCTTGAAGGCTTCTTATTGCTCATTAGCTATTTTACCTGCCATTCTTTCTTTCCAGTCCACCTTAGCTAGACCCCTTTTTATCACTGAAATTAGCCCTCTTCCAGTTGAGTATCTTCACCTTTGATTGCTCCTTGTCCCTTTCCATCTTCTTTGACCATGCCTTCGGTCATCCTCTCACCTCCACCCCCCTTGACCGCCACCCCTCAGCTCCAATCCCCAGGACGAGTGTAAACCCTTGACTGTCCAGTGCTTTGGGATGTCCCCCTGAAGTGAAAGGTGCTATATAAATACCCTTTTTTGTTGTTGTTGTAGTAAATTAGTCATTCACTTCAGGCTGTTTATGGAACATTGTTGTCCACAAATTGGCTGTAACATTCACCTCCAGATACAGTCACTGCACTTTATATAAATTTTGAGGTATGCTTTGCAACACTGACTTAACAGGCATTAGATCAATGCAATGATTTTTATATCATTACTATGTGAAAGGGTCAATTACTCCATGGCCATTTGTGGGACATGCAAATAGTCAATATCAAATGCCAGGATTATCAAGTTTCGAATTCTAATGCTACAAACTGTTACTATTACTATTTACCTTATGGACAAGGTGTGAACAGTCATCAACTAGGCATGGAATCACGTCTGTTGTCTGTAAAACAATATTAAGAAATTGAGTGCAACAGTTGTTTCTAATGGTATCTGTATCCTCCTTCAATATAACCTCCTACAAGTCCTGCCTCAAAACCCTCCTCTTCAACCATGCCATCGGTCACACCCCTTCCCCTCCCTCCCTTCTCCTTCGCTGGCCCCAGCTCGGGTCTGAAATGCTGTACACTGTCCAGCGCCTTGGGATGTCCTCCCGACGTGAAAGGCACTATATAAGTGTAATCTTGTTGTTGTTGTATCATCTGTCATACAGATAACCAAACATCTGAGATACTTTCACAATTGAGATCAGGATTCCATCCCACAGATCCTCCACTTCAACCATGCCTTTGGCCTCCCGCCTACCCTCCACACCTCCTGATCCCAAACCCCTGCTTGGGTCCAAATCCTTGAATGTCCAGCGACTTGGGACTTCTTCCTGATGTGAAAGGCGCTGCACAAATGTAATTTGTTGTTGTTGCTGTTGTAATATTTCAGATTGGAATTTGAATCTGTGACCTACTGATTTGCTCGGTTTAGTGTCCAGTGGCAGTGCCTTTATCCATTAGGCCATTGAGGAAGTCCAGGCTAAAGTTATTATTGTAAAATCAATGTTGATGTGGTCAGCAATGAGTCCTGCTGTCTCACCATTTATTTAGCACACAGTAACTATTTATTCAGTGAACTTATATCACAAACGTACAACACAAAAATAAAAATGAATCATAAGGGTGCAAGGTTTAAAACTTTAAACTCATAATACCTGCAGACTCAGATTCTGAAGTGACACTCCAAACGATAGTGGACAGTTTTCATTTGTGATCTGTAAATAAAAAATCCAAACTACTCAAAAGCAGGTTTTTATGAACAATGAACATGATAGAAATGACATAATCTTAGTATTTACTTTTATATTGACACACATTATTCTGTTTTTTTCCCCAGAACTCCCAAACTGGAGGTAATTTTGTAAAAAAAAATCAAGAGTTAAGAAGAAAATCAATAAATGCTGGAAATATTAAAAAGGAATGAAAATCTTTTTTAAAATTGTCTCCTCAGCTATACCATATTAACATCACTTCATCATTTGTTAAAATGAATACCCTTCTATTCCACTATTCTTTAAATATTTTCAACTTTTCAAAATGTATTTTTGTTATTTGCTCATCATCTCCAGCAAGTAGATTTTATAAACATAAAAGCCCACATGCCCTCTGACAAATGCTGTATCATCATTCAGTTCTAATCCTCCTACAACAATCTTGCAAAATGAAACTCCAAAAACACACCGATAATTATATCTAATCAAAGTCCAAATAATGGCAAATTTGAATCATATTGCAAAATCTGGATAACGTTTCTATTATTACAATACTGACAATTCTAAGTCATTCAAGAAGTAAGGTGTCAGCCTGGCTCAGTTGGTAGCATTTTTGCCTCTGAGTCAGAAGGTGTGGGTTCACATCAGTCCTCAACATCCATATAGTCTATGCTGACACCAATGCAATGCTGGGGGTGTGCTACATTGCCAGAAGTACTTTCCTTCGGATGAGACTTTAAACTGAGCTCTCATTTGTCTGTCCAGGTGACATTAAAGATCCCAAGGGACTATTCAAAAAGAAAAGGGAAATTCTCCCAGCGTCCTGGTCAACAATCTCCCCAAATAAAATTGGTCATTCACTCCATGACGGTTTGTGAGATACTGTTGTACACAAATTGGTTTCAGTGTTCACCCACAAACTACATACAGTCACAGCAATTTCTATATATACACTGTGAAATGTCTTGATTATGTTAGAAACACAATTATCAAACACAAGACTTATTATTACTCAACCTTGTGGAATATGTGTAACATTGCAAGGAAGAAAAAGGAATTAAGCTTCCCTACAGGAATCAAATTTTGACTAAAACATTTTACTTTTGCCCTTTCAAAAAAGAAAATAAGAAAACACTAACATAAAATCTGCTCATTTATCTCGGAAGTTGCTAGCCCATCCATTCAAATTATTGTCCCAAGAGGAAGGATTTAAATTAAGTGTGATTTTTTTAAAGCTTCAGGGTATCAAGTTACCAATTATCAAATAACTAGCACGTGGTAATCATCAAACATCGCCTAGATCATGAAAATATACTGCCTTGACGGTTTAAAGATAATGTTGCTACAATAAGGAGATAAAGGAGAAGATTTGCGAGAGCCTCACTTGAGCAGAGAGCCCAGCAGCGTGAGGAGGGAACTGAGTGAGGTGGAACAAAGTGAGAATTCTGTAAAGGAATGGGAATTCAATGCAGAGGGGAAAGAGGTGCATAATCATAAAATATATATAGTATATTAAGATAATATAAAACATGTCTGGAAATATGGCAAAGCAGCTGAGACCAGTTGCATGCACAATATGTGCCATGTGGGAACTCCAGGATGGTTTGTGTGCCCTGGACAGACACATGTGTAGGAAGTGTAGGAAGTGCCTCCAGCCGCTTGAGCTCAGAGTTTCTGAGCTTGAGGAGAGGCTGGTGTCACAACATAGCATACGGGAGGCTGAAGAGTTCATGGACCTCTGCCAACTTCTCCTCCCTCCTCTCTTCCCTTAACTTCTCCCTCCTCATCCACTCCCCCACAGATGACAGTGGCCACCCCGTTGACCTGGTGATCACCCGAAGCCTCACCGTCTTGGACAGCACCATCGTCGATAAATAATAATAAACCTTGCATTTGATATAGCGCTTTTCACGTCTTCTTGACGTCCCAAAGCGCTTCACAGAATATATAATAATAATAATCCTTGCATTTGATATTGCGCTTTTCACGTCGGGAGGACGTCCCAAAGCGCTTCACAGAACACACACTGTAAAGTGAATTGACTGTATATTTGTGGGCGAACGCGGCAGCCAATTGCGCACAGCAATGTCCCACAAACAGTCATGGATTTAAAATGACCAATTTATTATTGTTTTTTTTGGAGGGATTATTATTAGGCGTGTGGAGATAAAGCCATCTCGGACCACCACTTTATCTCCCTCAACACCTCAGTATCCCTTCCCCTTTCCCAACCCTCCACCATTACATACCGTTCATGGAAAAAACTTTCCTCCCTCTCCACTGCCCTGGAGTCATTTGAACTCCTACACCTCTGGCTCTTACTGATCGATCTCTCCTCCTCACTCTACTTTCTCCACAACTTCCTTTCCTCCATTCTGGACTCCCTTGCCCCCCTCACCTCCCGGACTGTCTCATACTCCCGCAAGTCCCCCGGTACACCAGTGCAAGCTGCTGAACGCGCCTGGACCAAATCCAAACTAACGGTCCAAACTAACTGGATTAGACGGGGGAGAAATGCAGAATAAACCTATAAGATCATCAAAGGGCATGATAGAGTAGATAGTGGGAGATTGTTTCCCCTGGTTGGAGAAACTAAAACCAGGGGTCACAACCTTAAAATCAGAGGCCAGCCCTTTCGCACTGAGTTGAGGAAGAACTTCTTCACTCAAAGGGTGGTTAATGTATGGAACTCACTACCCCAAAGGGCTGTTGACGCTCAGTCCTTGAACATGTTCAAGAGTAAGAGAGATAGATTTCTTATTGCAAAAGGTATTAAGGGATATGGGGATAAGGCCGGGTTAGGGTATTAGCTGGAGTTAGATTAGAAGATCAGCCATGATTGAATGGCGGGGCAGACTCGAAGGGCCGAATGGCCTACTCCTGCTCCTACATGTTATGTTATGTTAAACTAAGTCGATCTTGGAGTGCATGTGCGTAAACGCATGGAGTGTGACAAATAAGATTGGTGAGCTGCAGCCTCAAGTTGCCACATGGGTTTATGATGTAGGGGCAATAACAGAGACCTGGCTCACACAAGGGCAGGAATAGGAGCTGAATATTCTGGCTACAATGTATTCAGGCGAGATAGAGAATGAAAAAAATGGAGGGTTGGGGGTGGCAATATTAAAGACTTGGTTACGGCCCTGGAACAGAATCTATTTGGTTAGTGTTAAGAAGCAGAAAATGAGCTCTTACTATGTTAGGTGTATACTATAGACCACAAAATAGTGGGAAGTAGATAGACGAGCAAATCTGCAAGCAGATTTCAGAAAGATGCAAAACCAATAGAGTAGTGATAATGGAGGACTTCAATTATCCTAAACTGGCATAATAACAATGTAAAGGGAAAGGAAGGGGGAGGATTCCTAAAATGTGTACAGGATAACTTTCTGGATCAATATGTTTCCAGCCCAATGAGGAAGGAGGCAGTGCTGGATCTTGTTCTGGGGAATGAAGTAAGTTAAGTGGAGCAGGTTTCAATAGGAGAATATCTGTCTGGACAACAGTGATCACAACATCATTAGGTTTAGAGTACTTATGGAAAGGGACAAGGTACAGTCAAAGGTGAAGATATTTAACTGGAAGAGGGATAATTTCAGTGAGTTAAAAAGGGACCTAGCCAAGGTGGACTGAAAGAAAGATTGGCAGGTAAAACAGCTATCGAGTAAGGAGATAGTTCGGGAACAGAACAAGTGTACGGCATCCAAACCACTCTGGATGAATAAGGAAATTGGGATTAAAACAGAAAAAGGAGGCTCATGATAAGTGTCATATCCAAAATACAAAATATAATCAAATAGAATATAGAAAGTACAGAGGAGAACTGAAAAAGGAAATCAGAGGGGCAAAGAGTATGTTTGAGAAAAGATTAGCAGGTAACACAAAAGGGAACCCTAAGGTATTTTAAAGCATATAAAGAATAAAAGGTTAGCCAAAGGTAGGGCGGGTCTAATTAGGGACCAAAGAGGAAATCTTCTTGTGGAGGCAAAGGGTATGGCTGATGTACTGAATGAGTACTTTGCATCTGTCTTCACAAAAGAAGAGGGTGCAGTCAAGGCCACAGTATCAGAGGAGCGTGTAGAGAAATTGGAAAACATAAGACTAAACCGAGAGGAGGTACTAAAAAGGTTGTCGGCGCTCAAGGTAGATAGGTCACCAGTCCAAATGAGATTCATCCTAAGTTACTGAGGGAAGTAAGGGTGGAAATAATGGAGGTTCTGGCCACAATCTTTCAATCATTCTTGGATACCGGGGTGGTGCCAGAGCACTGGAGGGTTGCAAATGTTACTCCCCTGTACAAAAAGGGGCAGAAGGATAAACCCAGGAACTACAGGCCAGTCAAGCCTAATATCAGTAGTGGGGAAACCTCCAAAGACTGTAATCCAGGACAAAATACATTTTCACTTAATTAACCCATATTTTTCTAAGGACAGCCAACACGGATTTGTTAAAGGCAAATCGTATCTAACAAACCCGATTGAGCTTTTTGATAAAGTAACGGAGAGGGTGGATGAAGGTAGTGCAGTTGATGTAGTTTATATGGATTTTCAAAAGGCGTTTGATAAAGTGCCACATAAAAGATTTGTAAGCAAAATAGAAGCCCACTGTATTAAAGGGACAGTGGCAGCATGGATACAGAACTGGCTGGGAGACAGAAAGCAGAGAGTGGTGGTGAACGGTTGTTTTTCTGACTGGAGGGAAGTGTGCAGTGGTGTCCCCCAGGGGTCGGTATTGGGACCACTGCTATTTTTGATCTATATAAATGTCCTAGACTTGGGTATAAAGAGTACAATTTCCAAGTTTGCAGATAAGGCTAAGCTAGGAAAAGTAGTAAACAGTGAGGAGGATAGCAGCAGACTGCAAGAGGACATAGACAGACTGGTAAAATGGGCAGACACGTGGCAGATGAAGTTTAATGTGGAGAAATGCAAAGTGATGCATTTTGGGAGGAAGAATGAGGAATATAAACTGATGGTACAATCTTAAAGGGGGTGAAGGAAGAGAGAGACCTGGGGGTTCATGTAAGTAAATCTTTGAAGGTGGTAGGACAGGTAGATAAAGCTGTTAAAAAACATACGGGATATTAAAGCTTTATAAATAGAGGCATAGAATACAAAAGTCAGGAAGTTATGATGAACCTTTATAAAACACTGGTTAGGCCTCAGCTAGAGTACTGTGTTCAGTTTTGGGCACCTCACTTTAGGAAGGATATCACGGCATTGGAGAGGAGATTTACTAGGATAGTACCAGGACTGAGGGACTTCAGTTATCAGGGGAGGCTAGAGAAGCTAGGATTATTCTCCTTGGAGGAGAGAAAGTTAAGTGGAGACTCAATAGAAGTATTCAAAATTAGGAGGGGATTCGATAGGGTGAACAAGGAGAAACTATTTCCACTGGTGGGTGGGTTGGTAACCCGAGGACGCTGATTTAAAATAGTTGCTAAAAGAAACAGAAGGGAGGTGAGGAGAATTTTTTTTTTTTTTTTTTTTTTTACAGAGAGTTGTTCGGATCTGAAATGCATTGTCTGAAAGGATGGAGAAAGCCGACTTGATAATAGCTTTTAAGAGAGAAGTAGATAATTATTTGGGGAGGACAAGTTTGCTGGGCTATGGGGAGAGAGCGAGTTAGTGGGATTGATTTGGATAGCTCTTCTCAAAAAGCTGGTAGAGACACGATGGGCCGAATGGCCTCCTTCTGCGCTGTACAATTCTATGATAAGTAATTGTATTTTCTATTTCCCCATACCCTTTTAAGTATTGGAATAAAAAGTTTTATTTCTACATCAGATTCAGAGTTCTGAACAAAGTATTTTTTTAGAAATAAATTTAAAATGCAAATAAGTCAAAATTTTAGGAGCAAATCATGTGACTTTTACCAACAAAGTTTCAGCAAAATATTTGCCTCAGAACATATCAAAGTGAACATTTGCAATAATGTTCAAAACACCCAAAAATATACATTTTGTTTAAACACAATCTATAAAAGAAATTAAATACTCACGTTATCTTCATAACGAATATGGATGTTGGTAATTTGAACCTGCAAATTCTTAATAACCTGAGTAACCAACTTTTCAACAAACGTGTCTTGCTTTTCTTCTTTTGGTTTCCCTGAAAAGGAAAGGATTTAATAATGGTAAAAATCACACTACCACATGTCATCTTGCTTCATCATGAAGCACTGCAACATGAAAAATTAAACAACCATTATCTTAAACTTGGTGGTGGTGGTGGGGGAAGGAGAGAGACCAAATGTGCATTTGCTAGCCCTTAAAAGCGACAGGGGTCCAGTTAAAGTAGCTTCCACTGCATTAGAAAAGGCTTACAGATCTGAACTTGTACTCATCAGNAAAAAAATGAGGCAAGGAATACAACACACAAGTTATTTCAGACATAGATGATTTGGATTTGAACAAGATGACAAGTATATACCCAGAGACTTGGTGAAAATTTTGTGTGCAGAAAAGGATGTCAATTTGAAATTACGTAATGTGGGAACAGATGAATATTGGGGAATCGAGAAATAAATATGCATACTTTTCACCAAAATACAGAAAATACAATATATTATCTATTGATGAAGGACTCAATACGAATGTGGAACTAAAGCAATATCTAGTGTCCAGAGACGACAATGGTTATTTTCTGAGTAAAAATTAAGGTTGAAAACACTAAGAAGCCTTTTTAAAAAACTGAGGGGGTAAATTTCACCCAAGTCTAGACTTACTCTAATTTTAGAGCATCTAGAATTTGGCAAATAGTTCAATTCAGTCTTAACTTTAACATCAATTTTCTCTAGTTCTTATAAAGACTTAGAGAAAACCAAAATTAAGGATAAATTTAAGAATGCTAAAAGATTTGGTCTAGACCCAGGTGGACAATCTCCCTGTAATATTTTGGCAAGATATCTTTGAGGGTATGAAGAATAAAATATGAGTTTAAAGTGGGAGATGATATTAAAAGTAAAGGATATGGAAGGAAATTGGAAAGGTTCAGGTGAGAAGTACACCCTGTTTGCCTGTTCAGGTAGACACTAAAGAATTTCTCCTAGTGCCAGTAACAAAAATCAGTCAGAGAAAAAAAAATTCCATTTACTTTGTGGCTGTTTGTGGAACACTACTGTGCACAAATTGGCTGCCATGTTCCCAAAATACAGTCACTACACTCTACAGAAAACTCTCAAGATGTTTTGAGATGTTCTCATGTGATACGACAGCAAATGCAAGGATTAATATTATTATAGGTTTTAAATAAATGTTTTAATATGCAAAATAAATTTATCCCTGAAATAAATTGTGGGGAAACAAAGAAACATTGCCGATCACCAAGAAAGTTACGGAAGCTTTGTATTATATTCCCGATTTACCATTAATATTCTGCTTTATAAAATATACACCATGTGCTGACATTTACAAGTGAAAGCATAAAACGGTTTTATGGTGCTGGAAGAGATATACTTCATTTCTAATGGGCTTAATCAAAACTCCACCTTCCATATCCTCACTCCACCAAACTCTGCTTACCAATCATCCTAACTCTCACCAAGCTCTATTGGCTCTCAGTCTTCAAACATATAGACTTCAAGGTCCTCACTCATATATAATTTCCTTCATGCCCTCTTCTCTCTGATCTGCTTTTACCTCGCACCCCCCCACCCTCCCACTCAGCTACATAAGCCTGGGGCCCTTTGTGCCAGCGTGGCCGAGCCTTCAGTACTTCAATTCCAGGCAGGGCGAAACCTTGAGCAAGTTTCCTTACTCCACACGCCTAATAATCACTCCAAAACCAAAAAAAATAATAAATTGGTCATTTTCAATCTACGACTGTTTGTGGGACATTGCTGTGCGCAAATTGCTGCCGCATTCGCCCACAAAGATACAGTCAATTTACTTTACAGTGTGTTCCGTGAAGTACTTTCCTGACGTGAAAAGCGCTATATCAAATGCAAGGATTATTATTATTATAGTAACTATGCCTCTATTCCTGCCTCTATCCTTCTTGCTTGCTCCTCTGTCTTTAAAATCCTATCTTCAAATCTACCTCTTCTGCGCCTGTAGTAACCTCACCACTTCTCCCTTGCTTGGCATCCAATCCAGTCATTGTGAAGCACTCAGATGTTTTCCTACGTGAATAGTGTTATATAAATGCAAGTTGTTTGTGTACTTTACCTTTGTCAGCAACCTTTTGCTTTGCTTCTTCAATTCTCTTTAATTCCCTTTGTTTGAGTTCGTGAAGCTGCCGTCTTTCTTTCTCTGCATCATATGTTATACCTGGAACATGCAATTCAAATATAGTATTATACAATTCCAATATTATTTAAGTCAATTTATCAAGCACATTTTTAAAAAAATATATATCTATTCTTTCAACTGGCTTAATAGATGAAATTCAGAAACAAACTTCAATTAGACGAATAGTTGCTTTTCCTCGTACTTATTCATTTGGGCAAGTGATGAGTGGAAAACAAAAACAGGAGTTAACTTAGATTTCATTCAAACTTTTTCTTGGTTTGGAAATCATAGTATAGATCAATTGCCTAAGACTTATTCTGGTCCCCACATTATAGAAGGGATGTGGAGGCACTGGAGAGGGTGCAAAGGAGATTCACAAGGATGATCCCAGAACTGAAGGGTTATACCTATCAGGAAAGGCTGAACATACCTGGATTCTTTTCTCTTGAAAAGAGGGTAAGGGTTGACCTGATAGAGGTCTTTGAAATGATGAAAGGTTTTGATAAGGTAGATGTAGGGAAGATGTTTCTACTTGTGGGGAGACCAAAACCAGGGGCCATCAATATAAAATAGTCACAAATAGATCAAACAGGGAAGTTAGAAGAAATTTCTTTACACAGAGTAGTGGGAATGTGGAACATACTACCACACGGCGTTATAGATCAAATAGCATAGATGCATTTAAGAGGAAGCTAGATAGGTACATGAGGGAGAAAGGAATAGAAGGTTATGCTTGAAGACTTAGTTGAGGAAGGGCAGAGGTGGCTCACATGGAGCATAAACACCCGCATAGACCAGTTGGGCCAAATGGCCTGTTTCTGTGCTGTATATTCTAATGTATTCTAATGTATTATTCATGCTACAAAACAACAACAAAATTATATTTATAGAGCGCCTTTCACGTCGGGAGGAGTCCCAAAGCGCTGAAAGGTGAGATTGCAAAATTCACTGTTGACATACATTTCGGCATATTATTTGTGATCAAAAAGTCTAATCAAGATCAAATGTATACCATATTATCATATATGGTACAACTAGAGTAACCACCATCAAAGACTAAGCAGCATCCATCGAAGCTTTCTAAGATAGGTTTCCAAGAAATTTTCTTTACACTAACCAGCTTTAAACAAGGTTTAGTTAATATATAGTATACACTTCCCATTTACAAATGCTACTTGATTTGTACTATAAACATTGCATGCATAACATTACTTCTGTAAAAGATTCACGTAGTTTTCATTATAGATTTGATCTGAAAAATTATTGTAAAAAAGTTTTACTCACTGGCACTAGGAACCACAAGCAAATAAACTCCGTCAAGTATAGCATCTACCGGTTGATTATAGAGATTATTCCATGGAATCTTCAGTTGAAGTTTGGCTGAAACATGCAAAAGTAGTTAAATGAAAAAGTACTAAGAGTTGAAAGATGTTATAAAATAATAATCCTTGCATTTGATATAGCGCCTGATCACGTCTTCGAGACGTCTCAAAGCGCTTCACAGAATATACTGTGAAGTGAATTGACTATATATTTGTGGGCAAAACATGGCAGCCAATTACGCACAGAATAGATGGGATGAAAAGAATGAGGGAGCATCCTAACAACAACTTGCATTTATTTAGCGCCCTTCACACAGGTAGCATCCTGGAGCGCTTCACAGTGGTGGAGTCTGACAATGAGCCAAGGGGAGTGGGTAGGTGACCATAAGCACAATCAAAAAGGAAGGTCTTTAGGCGGGATTTGAAGGTGGGGAAGGAGAAGGCAAGGCGGAGGGATCGAGGGAGAGAGTTCCAGAGTTTGAGGGCGTAGCGGCTGAAGGCACAGCCACCAATGGTGGAACGGATGCAACGAGGGGCAATTAGGAGGCCGGAACCAGTTGAGCAGAGGCAGCAGTTGGTGGAGTGGGAGGTAAGCAGGTTGGATAGGTAGGGAGGTGCGAGGGAATTAAGTGATTTGAAATCAAGTGAAGTGATACATCCTTCTGCATGTAACAAACGTATTCCTCATCTGCTTTAGGCAAAGATTAATGTGGTCAAGATTAGAGGCAAAACAGTTACCATCAAAATCATTGATACATTATACAATATATTTCATATAATGTATAAATTATAATAATGTATATAATGTATTTTATATAATGTCTCCTTCCCCACCTTCAAATTCCCCGACCCACCCGCCCCACCACTGGCGGGAGAGCCTTCAGCCACTCCGCCCCCAACCTCTGGAATTCCATCCCCCAGTCACTCTGTCTCGCCCCCTCCTTAGCCTCCTTCAAGTTCCGCCTCAAGACCCTCCTCTTCGACCATGCCATCGGCCACTCCCCTTCCCCTCTCACCGACCCCAGCTCGGGTCTGAAATGCTGTACTCAGTCCAGCGCCTTGGGACGTCCTCCCGATGTGAAAGACGCTTACAAATGTAATCTTGTTGGTTGTTTTGTATATAATCAGTTGGTAGGAGTCTTGCCTTTAGAGTCAGAAAACTGTGGATCCAAAACCCAGATCGAGACTTTGTAGGCTCATAAATATCTATGTGTTGAAAGAGGCTCCAAAAAGTTAAATCTCATCAGTTGCAGTAGAAGCGAAACACTTACCAATATGCCCAGCTTTTACTTTGAATGGTACATCCAACTCACTCTGGAAAACAAATAAACACAGATGTAAAATCAAACTTTAAACAATTACAACATCTCTGAAACTTATCAATCACCAACTAGACGATTTGTTTTTTTTTATATTTAGATTATTGCAGCTAGTATAATTAAATAATATTTGGCTACCAGAAGGGCTGGAAACATTATTTGTGTCTCTGCTATTCCCATTCATTCAAAGTCTCCATTTCCATGCACTTAATTCAGGTAGTAATCTCTTGTGGAAAACATTAGGACATGCCTTCTGAAAGTTCATGCAGATGACATTGATTGATCACCTGTTTCACATCTCAGTGACTGTGTCAAAGAACTCTATAAAATTAGTCTAGCTATCATAAAACAACATTGACTCTCCACAATCACTTTTTAATTTATCCAAATGCTTATTTTCTGTCCATGATGATGGATGCAGGTCTGCTGTTGGCCAACTATTGAATTAATGGAGGAGTGTAGATAATGGAGTCTATCAATACTCGCCACTGAAACTTAACTTTGAGCCTTACATTTTCAATTTCAATCCAATGGTCCATATTGCACAGTATGAAATCAAACACAAAATAAACGCCAAAAAAAAACCCTTACCAATGCATTTTCTTTAACTTCGAGGTTTGTGAGTACTGCATTTCCTGTAATACAACACAAAATATTTTGTAGCAGGTAATGACTGAAAGAAATCAGTAAAATCATACATGCAGAGTTAATAAACCTTAATAATCTTCAAAAAAAAAACCTTCCCTGGATCGATCTCTGCTCTCAAATTACCAACCCATCTCCAACCTCCCTTTCCTTTCCAAGGTTCTTGAACTAGTCGTTTCCCAGCTTCGCACCTTCCTCTCTCACCACTCGCTATACAAACCCCTCCAATCGAATTTCCATCTGTGACCAGGGCTCCCTCTGTCCCCTCGTTCTCCTTGTCCTCTCTGCTGCCTTTGATACCATCGACCATTCTATCCTCCACAGCCTCTCCTCTCACCGCAACCTTCATGGTCCTTTCCTTGAATGGATCAGATCCTACCTCTCACACCGTTTCCACTTTGCCTCCACAAACAGCTTCCCCTCCAGCCCCCGCACAGTCTCGTGCGTGTTCCTCAGGGCTCTGTCCTTGGTCCTTTCCTCTTCAACGTGTACATGCTCCCTCTTGGTGACATCATTCACAGACATGGGTCAACTTCCACATGTATGTGGATGACTCCCAACTCTATCTCTCTGCCTCCGCCCTCGATTCCAGGACATCTGATATCCTGACGGCTGCCTGTCAGACATCAAGTCCTGGATGAGAGCTAACTTTCTATAGTTGAACGTCAACAAGACCGAGGCTCTCCTGATTGGGTCCTGTCAGCGCCTCCGCACCTCAGACACTGGCAGCATCACCACCCATGAATGCAAACTCCACCTCACTGAACTGGGCCCGTCGGCTTTCCCAACTCTTCCCTCCACAAGCTGCAGATCATTCAGAACTCCACAGCACATGTCCTCTACCACACTAGGCTCCGTGACCCTATCACCCCCACCCTCGCCCAGCTCCACTGGCTCCCAATTCCCCAGAGGATAGAATTCCAAATCCTCATCCTCGCCTTCAAGGCCCTCCAATGACTTGCTCCTTCCTACCCCTGTGACCTGCTGACCCCATATCAACCTGACTGCTCTCTCCGCTCAGCAGGCTGTGGGTATTGGAAGAGTTCCCATCTAGCATCAATGAATCCAGCTTTAATGTTTATCCAATTCATTTCCGACATATAGGACCGACAGAATAAATTATAAAGATTTTTGAGGTTTGAAATATTTTACTGAAGATAGGAACTATAACTCACTCTAAAATTGATGAGCCCCCTAGTGGGACATTAATCATATCTCAGAGCTTCATAATATAGCCTCCATTTGAAATGCAGCCATCAAAATCCGGCAATTCAGATACATCTACGAATCAGGAATTAAAATTCCATGAGGATGAAATTATGAAGAAATATACTTGATACTTTCTGAATAAAAATTCCAAGAAGTCATTTCTATTTTTTTTACACACACACACACATACCTTGATAACAAATTATGAGTATATTTTGATATTTAGAGAAACTTTTGGCCCTCTGCAGACAAGGACCATTAATGTCAGTTTTAATCTCTAAACTAAAACCCCAAGTATTTATCAGGGGTTTCCCAGGACTATTTTTCAATCAAAGAAGAAGATAATCAGTGGGAGGGGAATTTAACAAAACAGGTAAATCAGTGAAAAACGGGATTTACTTTGTAATGTTAATAAAATTCAATCAATCAAGCCAGATACTAGTACTTGTTTTGTTTTTTAAAAAAAGACCTTCACAGATTGAGACAACAAACCAGATCAATGTTTTTGAATACACACTTATTCCAGAACTGGCTTACCAGTCTATGATCACATTTCCAGAAACTGCTCACCTGCATGTACAATGGTACTTTGCATACATATCCAGACCAATAGTGCAGCAAATCATGGTTCAGAATATTAGCAAGAGTTCAGGCAGAATCCATTTTAACTTTCAAAATGACCTAAATAAATACCCAACAAGGAGTAAGCTGAAGGATTGCTCTTAAAAGAACCAACACAGACACAATGACCTTCTTGTGTGCTGTAAACATCTGTGGTTCGATCATGGATTGTAAATAGAAACAGCAAGTTTCTTAAAAATAAAATTTGAAATAAAAAATGTTACCAATTAAGTTTCACCCACAACATTTGGGATTTATAAGTGAAAACTGGTTAAAAAACATCTTTATATATAGTGTAAAAAATTATTTTGTCTTGCAATTTATGATCGCACAGAATAACATAAACCTCTTAAATTCAGTTTTAATTTGGAAGCTATTTTTAAGTACTGAGAAAATTGGCTTCCAAGTTAAGATAGAATTTAAGAATTTTCCATAATAGAATTAGAGGAATGCTGAATTAGCAAGGTGGCTTCAGTTTACTTTGCCATTCAATTGCAGAAAACTATGGCTTATTGCCTGAATAGCAATAGATCTGGAATTAAAGGTGGTGTGGAAGAGATAAGAGTTGGAAATCATATCGGAATAAACTAAACTAGCACCCACGATAGTTGGGGCCTCAGAGCAGACCACCCACTCTATGCTTCTGACTGAAGATGCATACTATATTTGGACTGTCATTCATGTCACATGCTGCATCTACTATGATTGACCGTTTCATGGAGTCTCCTCCCATTAGTGGTATGCAGTTTTGGTCTGTATCCTTGTTACTGTGTGCAGTTTTGGTCGCCTTATTTAAGGAAGGACTACATGCCTTGGAGGGGGTGCAGTGTAGATTTACTAGGTTCGTACCAGGGATGAAGGGGATGTTACCAGGATAGGCTGACCAATTTTGGCTTATATTCTCTAGAATATAGATGAATTAGAGGGAATCTTATAGAAACCTATAAGATCATCAAAGGGCATGATAGAGTAGATAGTGGGAGATTGTTTCCCCTGGTTAGAGAAACTAATACCAGGGGTCACAACCTTAAAATCAGAGACCAGCCCTTTCGCACAGAGTTGAGGAGGAACCTATTCACTCAAAGGGTGGTGAATGTATGGAACTCACTACCCCAAAGGGCTGTTGACGCTCAGTCCTTGAACATATTCAAGACTGAGATAGATTTCTTATTGCAAAAGGGATTAAGGGATATGGGGATAAGGCATGGTGAGGTTATTAGCTGGTTAGATTAGAAGATCAGCCATGATTGAATGGCGAGGCAGGCTCGAAGGGCCATATGGCCTACTCCTGCTCCTACATGTTATGTTATGCAACCTTGTCATTCTGCTCAACTCTGAGATTTTTTTTAAATTTCCCCAAATGTAGTACATGACCAAGATCACAATATTCCACTTCCGAGCTGGAGATTGGGGAGGTTTCGGGTTGTAGTGGCTGAAAGCATAGTCGCCAATGGTGAAACAGAGGGGACAAACGGGAAGCCAGATGTTAATATAGGCTTCGTCGAAATGTATTTTTTTGATTACTATATATCTAGAGTGAATATGCATATATGTATACATGTCTATGTATTAAGAGTTTTTAGAAATCATTGTAACAACGGAATTGTGGAGACTGGCTCTGTCAGCAAAAGAGAGGCAGTCACCTTGGTGCCAGCTGCTGTAACACAATGAACTTTACAGTATATTCTATGAAGTGCTTTGAGACATCTAGAAGATGCGATAAGACGCTATATCAAATGCAAGGATTATTATAATAATAGTGCCTTTCACATCAAGAGGAAATCCCAAGGCGCTGGACAGTCAGGGATTTGGACCCGAGCTGGGGGTCGGGAGTGGGGAGGGTGAAGGGCAGAGCCGGGCAATGTTGCGGAGGTGGGGGAAGACAGAGCGGGTCATGGCACGGATGTGGGGTAGAAAAGACAGTTGAGGGTCAAACAAGACTCCAAGGTTCCGGACTGGCTCAGTGAGGTGGAGTGCGCATCCATGGATGATGGTGCTGTCAGCGCCTGAGGTGTGGAGCCGTTGACTTGACCCAATCAGGAGGGCCTCGGTCTTGTTGTCGTTCAATTGTAGAAAGTTAGCTCTCATCCAGGACTTGATGTCTGACTGACATTCTATCAGGACAGCAGTGGCCCTGGAGTCGAGGGTGGAGGCAGAGAGGTAGAGTTGTGTGTCATCCGCATACATGTGGAGATGTCAAGGCGTGGGGATTTGTAAACAAGTGCGAGGATCTTGAAGTCAATCTGCACCGTGGTGGAGTTCGACACCAAGATGGGGATAGAGGTACGATCAAAGAGGAAGATCTTCAGATTCAATCTGAAGTAAGAAGAGGCAGTCGAGGAAGATTACATGATCAACTGCATCAAAAGCAGCAGAGAGATCCAGCAGACTAAGGAGGCAGAGGGAGTCCTAGTTACAGAGAGAACGTTATTTGTGACTTTGACAGGTGCTGTCGGTAGGGTAGATCCCACTTATGAGACCAATGTTAACATCCAACTCAGAGACGAAGCAATACAGAATATAATCCATTTCACCAATCATGCGAGTACAACTGTCAGTAATGCAAATATTGGAAGAGAGCCATTAGCTAAAGTTGGAAAAGCAGTTGGGCTTTTAATAAACTGGGCGTCATCTGGAAGTATGCCAACTTTCCCTTAATACAAGAAAATCTGGACAAAAATGGTGCAAGAACCTTGAAATCAATGGGGGGAGGGGGGTGAACCAACGATCGATTATCATACATGAGAGGTGGAGGGAGTTTATTTACTTCATGGGACTTTATTTGCTTTGTATATCACTGGGTTTCTTCAGGTTGCTGATTAGCAATGTCTTAAACAATAGATGGCTGAATATCACAGAATCGTGGCAAAAGACAAATACTACAAGATGATACTTTCAACATTTAAGATACAGGAAATAAGCTCGCCCTGAAGTATATCAATGAATAAGAAAGTTAAAAAACAAAACAGGTATTTGTAAGCAAACTTAGAAAGAAAAAACACCTTCAGTTGGCTTGATAATGTGCTCTAGACATCAGGATAAACATTATGCTTTCTATTAAGTATCATATGAAAAAAATAAAGAGCTATCACTAACAGTTGTGCCAAGAGAGGGATTGAGGGGAAGTCAACGATATCAAGGGAAAATACCGTACAGCAAGATCATGATGATTCAAGAAAAAGCTAGACTCTCTCCGTCCCTCTCGCCTTCTATCCCCACTTGACCCTCCCACAACCTCCCTCTGTTCCAGCCTGGGAATCCTCCGCCGGGCTCACCGTGGAAATCGGCGTTGGCTATCCAGCAGCAGCCATACCGACTGCCCCATTCCCCACCACACAGACCCGGGGAGCCAACTTCTCCTTCCTCATCCCCATCCTCCCTCCCTCCCCACGCACCCTTCTGTCAACTGCTCCCTCCACATCAGACTACAAAACGTCCGCTCCCTCTGTAACAAGGTCCACGCCTTTATCACCTCAAGGCTGGACTATGGGAACTCTCTCCTCGACGGCCTTCCCGGCACCTCCCTCCACAAGCTGCAGGTCATTCAGAACTCTGCAGCTCGTGTACTGTCCCGCACCAGGCTTCGGGACCACATCACTCCCACCCTCGCTCGCCTCCACTGGCTCCCATCCCCCAGAGGATCGAATTCAAGATCCTCATCCTCACCTACAAGGCCATTCATGGTCTTGCTCCCTCCTACCTCTCCGACCTACTATCCCCTACTTACCTGCCCGTACCCTCCATTCCTCTGGCTCCGGTCTGCTCCACATCCCCCGCCCCAACCGCCCTACCATCGGTGGCCGGGCCTTCAGCCTCTCAGCCCCGAGGCTCTGGAACTCCATCCCCCAGTGCCTTCGCCGCCTCCTCCCTTTCCTCCTTCAAGGCCGGTCTCAAGACCTTTCTCTTTGACCGTGCCTTCAGCTCCCCTCTCGACTCTCTACCCCCTCCTCGCTCCCTCCCTTCCCTCCCCTCACCCTGACCATTTCCCCCCCAATGCTTGGGACCTGACCCAACTGTCCAGCGCCTTGGGACGTCCTCCCGACGTGGAAGGCGCTCTATAAATGCAATCTTGTTGTTGTTGTTGCAGACCTTTACACAACAGATGGGAAAAGAAGGGCGTGGGAGTAAAGAGCGGGTGAAGACCCATGTGAAGCGTAAACACAGATTTGGACTGGTTGGGCCGAGTGACCCGTTTCCATGCTGTTCTTTGTGGGGGAAAAAAACCTCTTAGGGACCACGATCACCTAAGAAATGGCACCGCTCAACAGCAGCGTGTCCAGAGACAGGGTGGGGATTGGTGCCGGCCTTACAAAGCCTGGGTCCCTCACTGGGAGTGTAGACTTGCAGCTCTGCACCGGACTTTGTAAGCAAATCAAGGGCACGTTCGCTTGCATTATTTTTTTCTGATTTGTTTTTTTTAACAAAAAACAACAACAGGCACGACACGAAATGACGAACTACACATAAAAAAATACACACACGAAATGAAACGTCTGGACATCTCCCGACTGAACGCCGTTGCTTCTATTTGGGTGTTTTGACGAGCAACGTAACACTATTTGGTGCAGAGCTGCGAGACCACACCAACCCCAACCCCAACCCCCACCCACTCCAAGTGTCGTCCTCGTAGTGACCCAGGTTTTCTGAGGCCAGTAGCAGACCCCACCCCACCCCTAACCCCCTCCTCCTCCTCCTCCCCTGACACGCTGCTGTCGAGCCGTGTCATTTCTCGGGTGGTCCTGGTCACTTCAGAGGTCTTTACAAACGCGGTCAACCGCACTCTGCAGTACCGCGCAGGATCCCGAGGGGCGGGTCCCTCACTCCCCCCACCACCCCCGGGGAGGGGGAGAAGGGAAGGGGTGGGCCATTTTCTCAACTGTCAAAAACACCAGGAAACGGCCGGGAAATTAAATACACGAACAGCCCGCAAACATAACATCATCTGTTAACTTATTTTTTTTTCTCTCTCTCTCTCTCTCTCACTCACTCCTTTTTACCTCCCCATATTCCTATTGTCAGCTGCGAGCTGTCCAGGTTCACCACGTAATCGCCCAGGAAGCGGTTCAGCACGTCGATCACGATGGACTCGAACACCATCCTGCCGTCAGCAGCATCCTCGGGGTCCCCTGGACCCCCACACCCCGCCCGCCCGCCCGCCCGCCGCTGTCCACCCGCTCCCCGCCGCCGCCGCCGCCGCCCTAAACCGCACAGAGGAGGACCCGCCTGTGTCTGAGCAGCGAGAGCACGAGACTCACTCACTCACTCATGCGCACACGGGGGGGGGGGGGGGGACCGAGCGCGAGCGTCAGGTGCCGTTTTTTTTAAAAACGCACACCAACCGACCCCCCCGACGCCACAGCGACCGGAAATGCCGCCCACGCGCGCGCGCCCACCCGCCCGCCCGCGCGCGTGCGTCACCTTACCTTCACCAGCAAAGGCAACCCGCGCTCCAAAGTTGACAGCTTGGGGCGGGTTCGCACCCAGTTGGGCTATTTTCGCGGGAGGTTGTTGCTGCTGCTGCTGCTGGCGTTACGTCGGCTTTTTTTTAAAAAAAGGCTTTGGGCGGACGCCTAATTTTGACTTTAAACTTACAAAACGTCTTTTGCGTTTTAAGACGTTTTACTGCGTCGTTTGAAAAAAAAAACACTAAAACCCGAATCGGTCAGTCTCTGCGGCGCATAGGAGGCGACACGTTACCATCGGGCTACTTTTGGGCTAGTGCTTGGTGGATTTTGGACTCCGAGCCTATTTTAATTCCTGGCAAGTTCCTGGTCGCGGGTGGCGATGGAGAGGGCGGTTATTTCTGGGCTTAGGAGGAGTCTGAGGCCAAACTGTCCATTATTTGCCGCTCCGGGTCCTTACCCCGTGTGAAGGGCGCTGTAAAATTTAAGTTGCTATGTAATATAGTACATGGTTAGTTTGGGACTTATGTGCGTGCGACCGTCAGGAAGGTGGGAGGCGAACTCGATGACCTTGGTCTTTTTGCGTTCACCATTTCTTATGTTTTTACGCGGTTGCCCGGTCCACCTCGCTGAGCCAGTCTGGAACCCTGGCGTCTTGTTTGACCCTCAACTATCTTTTCTACCCCACATCTGCGCCCTGACCCGCTCTGCCTTCCCCCACCTCCGCAACATGGTCCGCCACTGTCTCACACCACAGGCCACAGAGACCCTCACACACGCCTTCATAACATTGAGGCTCGACTACGCAGACTCCTTGCTTGTCGGCCTCTCCAACTCCTCCCTCCTGCAGGCTGCAGATCATCCAGAACTCTCCCAGACCAGGCTCCGTGACCCTGTCTCCCCCATCCTCGCCCCACTCCACTGGCTTCCATCACACAGAGGATACAGTCCAAGATCCTGGTCCTCACCTTCAAAGCCCTCCACGGTCTTGTTCCACCCTACCGCTGTGACCTCCTAACCCCCTACCATCCTGCTCACTCCCTCCACTCAGCGGGCTCCGGCCTGCTTCACATCCCCCGCTTCGCCAGACCAACCATTGGCGGGCGGACCTTCTGCCACTCTGCCCTCACCCTCTGGAACTCCATCCCACAGTCCCTCCACCTCACCCCCTCCTTTGCCTCCTTCAAGACCCATCTCAAGACCCTCCTCTTCGACCGTGCTTTCGATCTCCCTGCTTCCCCCCCCTGCCCTCCACCCTCCCCAATCCCGACCCTCAGCTCTGGTCCGAAACTCTGACTGTCCAGTCCTCCCAACGTGAAGCTTTACAATGTAATTTTGTTGTTATATTTTTGTTGTTCGCAGTTAAAGTCTTAAAAGTGTTGGCGTGGAAGGTAAGCTGACAAGGCGTTAAGGAGCAACTTTGAATGCCAATCGATTTAAATCACACAACAGAGTTTATTATTATTATTGTTATTTATTTTGCATCACCTCCAAATCATAAAACTTGTGAATGATTCATGGTCGAACATAAAATTGTTATAATGTACATTTGTAATACTTTGAGCTCCAAAGAGAATGGGATTATTTACATATTTTGTTACTTTCATTTTTTAACATTTTGATACATTTGCAAAAGAAATGCAACAAAGCAACATAACCAAGATGTGTACATTTCATGAATAATCAATCTAACGTATATTGATAAAGATATACACACAAAAAAGTTACACAGGCTACCAATTAGACAAAGTGGAAGTAAAGTTCCCAGTTTACTTGCTTACAGGTTGGTATTGTTTTCTAAATGATATATGTTGTTTCCAATGCCTTTACTTTTCTGTGTTCAGAACTAATTAACTCAATGATGAATTTAAGAAAACGTAAGTAGTAAAGTAGTCCTACTTGTCAAGATTTCTAGATATACTGAAGCACACTTTTGTTGAATTTGTCTATAAATCTCTGAATTTCATTAGCAAACTACTGTACTGATAGCAACTGTGTTACGATTAACAATGGCGTACTTTTATGTGAAACTTGGATATAGTATAGCAACTCCAATAATGGGGGGCTTTCTGAGTGTATTAGAGATGGTTTGGCAGAAGGGATGAGAGAGGAAGCTCTTTTTCGCCAAGCTGGGTATTACGTTTCAGGTTAACTCCCTTGTTAATAACCTTTATTTTGAAGTACATGTTCTTGTAATTTTCCTCCGTTATCCCATCAAAGAAGAAGTCTTCATTGAAAATTGGATTACTACTGTTCTTTATTATGGTGCTGCATTGTTTTTGAAATTTACCTGGCATCAGGTATAAAAGCACATAGCAGTTGACATTCTTTATCTCAAAGTCTTTATCATACAGTTCCTCCACTGCAATGACACGCACCCGAAAGGTGACTCTGCTGAAGTCGAATTCTGTGGAGAGCCTGACTGTGCCTCTTTTATTAAGTAGGATTGTGTGCTCGTTAAACAATCTTTCACGACACTGGAGTAGATCAAGGGGAAAGATTGCTGAATGTGCAAAAGGGCATCCATGCAGAGATGTTTGACAGCTGTAAACAGACTTTCTGGAAATACTGGGGCTCGTATCTGTAGAGCTACATTCATCGGTTGAAAATGAGCTGTTCCTTCCTAAGGTCTGTTTGGATTTAGAGTGCAGAACCTGAGTGGAACTCTCATTGCTGAATAATTTCAAGAGGGAAGACCCGGACACGGACCGATGCAGGGATGGAGAGTTAAAGGGAGATGACTCTGATGAAGATTGAGTATCACTGTCAAACGTGCCTTGACTGGAGAACATTCTGGATGACTTAGATAAAGGTAATGTCAGTTCAGGAAGGCTTAGATGCTTTATCTGCAGAAAAGTGTTTGTAGTTGACTGTCTCTGATCATCATCTGTTATGTATTCTTTCTGCTGTAAGGTTTGCTGTATAGAACTAGTGACTGGATCGACATGGAATAATGATTCCTTTCGTCTGGTATGAGGATTCTCCAATAAAGGTGAAAATCCATAGCAAGGCATCAGCGATTTATAATCTCTAATCCTATCTTTGTCACTGCTCTGGTTGTTGTCACTGCTCAGATCTTCAGCACTTTCAACCTGTATTATATGACAATTTGCTAGATGTGCAAAGTTCTTATTACTATCACATTTTCTGGAAAAAGAAGGAATATCGTTGCATGAAGCAGATAGTTTCAATTTGCATTTATTGAACTGGTTGCAAGAACCTCGTGAGCTATTCCGCTGGGCTACTGGAAGCTTGGGTGGAATAAAGAAATCTGGTATTTTGTCTGGTGTCAGTACATTGCTGTATAGTCTGGAGATCTTTACCCTGGGTACACTTCCATCATATGATGCAAACATTTTGCTGTCAGAAGAAATGCTGTTTTCACCTGATGCACGGACTTTATCAAACAGCCACATGAATGCTGAATATTCTGAACTCAATACAATTTAATGTCAATTGCATGCACTCTGAAAGAAAGATACCACAGAATTACATGTAAAAATCTGAAATATTTATTTATTGCAAATCTATTTCAAAATCTATATATCTAGAAAATACAATTGAATAGATTTATTGGCGATTAGTTAGAGTCCTAAGTTTTAATGAACACTTCATTTTGAATAAAATGATGCTATAACTTATGCTTACCCAGTTAGAAACTAAATAAATGCTATTCATGAGCTAGGCATAGCTAGTTTTAATATTCTTTTTGATGTTCTCAATAAGTTTCCACTCGTATTTTGCACAATATTCTTGTATTATACCAGCAACACTAGCTTTTTTTGCACAAACTGCAGTGGTCCAAATTGTGACTAATCAATAAACATTCTCATATTTGTAAATAAAAACCTGGAAAAGTATCTTCATCCAGCCCAATGTCATGTATTTACATCTTATTTTAAATATACATAGTAAATAATAAACAAGTTGGAAAAACAGTGGGAAATGTTTATGGTATATATGTAGCTGTAAAATATACATATTTTAAATAATTGATAAAAAATTTGGATTACAGTTTGTGTTCTTCATGAGCATTATATTAACTGAAAAAGCATCCAAAGAAAACTGCTTATTCACTTACAGTTTTGAAGGAGATATCTTGCAGGTCGCTCAAAGGATTGCTTGATGAAAAACGTCGATGTCCTCACTGAAGTGCTCACGAACCACATTAAAGAACAGTTGCAATGAAGTGTTTTATATATAATGAAATGACTGAACGTCATACAGTGAGAATCATTTTAACCAACCAGGTGACTGGTAACACCCAAAAGCTGCAAAATAAATTATGAATTATAAAGCATCCTTGAAAACCCCATTCAGGATTTTGTTGTACAAAATAAATAAACATTATTCAAATGTATGTACATACTATCTTGAATGCGCACAATGATGCAAAACTTGACCACTTAAAACTTGACCATTATCATAGTAAATGAGAGAATATCCATTTTAAGAAAGCATAAAAGCTTGGTTAAATAATCGCCACTGTGTAACACTCTGAAACATTATTCTACACTTGATAATTTGGACCATTTATATTAGATTCTCTTAGAACCTCTTTAATATATACAATTCCATTTTTTAAACCTTTCATCATAACTATACCCTCTTTTTTCTCATATCACTTTGATAGAAGATAGTGAATACATTCTTTTCTGCTCGTGGGATTCAAACAATCTGAGCAAAGTCAATATCCCTGAGCACTGTGAAGGACAGTGAGACTGTTCAGGGTGGTGTTGGCATGCGCTAGGACAGTTTGCTGTTGAGGGTCTACACATACACCTGCGGAAATTTTTAAACTTATGGGGGGTTCGGGCCTGGTCTGGCTAGCTCTTAATTCCAGATCTCCAGAGTTTGATATGCTAAGGGTTTATCTAATGCAAAGATTATTCTTATATTGTTAGTGATCCAGTAAATCTCTGCTGCACCCTCACTGTGGCTTTCATATCCTTGAAAATAGCCCAAGATTCCTAGGGAAATATGTTAGGGACTTTAGTTGTAACACACATGTTCTAAAACAGCAAGTTGCTGTTTCTGCTATTTTAATGCAAGTACTTGGAAAAAAGAAAATGTTGGGAGGAAATCTTTCCTGAATTAAGGTAATGTTACAGTAATACTTTCTGGAGCTGGGGGGAGTTTTATTCTGTGGCATTATAGACCATGCATTAGAATTATTCAAGTAACTGAACTGATTAACTGTAAGCATCTTTACAAACCTTATGGATTGATGGTAACAAAAAGTTCACAGTTTGGGGAAAAATGCAGTATTCCCTAACATGTTAATACTAATTAAGAAAAACACCTTAAGGAATACCATAAATTAGGTCATTAATTAATTAACATTGAAGTTTTTTGATTTACCTCAGCAATGAGCAGGCTGCTTCTGGTCCTTGCAAGTTGGACTGGAGGGGCTCAAGTGGGGAATGGAGTCCAACAACATATTCCAGGACTTTGCAGAACAAGGGCAGGTTGGAGATGGCTTGTTAGTTAAGAAATATGAGGGATCAAGGGTAGATTTTTGTGGGTAGGAGGTAGGTGATAATTATGAAGGGTGAAAACAAATAATGTGCTATAGAATGGTTATGGGGTTTAAAGGACGAACAAGAAACCAAGGTTCCACACTCAGCAAATTACAGCAAATCCTGTGAAGCTCTTTGAGACATAATAATACTAATAATAATAATCCTTGTATTTGATATAGCGCTTTTCACGTCTTCTAGACATCTCAAAGCGCTTCACAGAATAGACTGTAAAGTGAATTGACTGTATATTTGTGGGCGAACGCGGCAGCCAATTGCGCACAGCAGTGTCCCACAAACAGTCATAGATTGAAAATGACCAATTTATTATAGTTTTGTTTTGGAGGGATTATTATTAGGCGTGTGGAGTAAGGAAACTTGCCCAAGGTTTCACTCTGCCTGGAATTGAACTCGGATCTCTCGCTTGCTCTAACCACAGCTCCAGGACATGTTCCTAACATGAAATATGCTCGAACAAAGTAAGGATTTTAAAAATTATTTTTAATAGAATAATCCCAATTTAAGACAATCTGAACAAACTGCAAGTTGCCGTGTTCAGTCAACACTTTTGTTGCCCATGATTGTAACCTAAGAAAGCCACATTCTCCTTCTTAGATTTCCTGCTAGCTCTTTTCCTGCAATCATGGTATCAGTAAAAATGACTAATGTATTAACGTGGTAGTAAGTATATAAATGCAATAAAATCTTAGTGAGTTGGGAAGAAGGTGTAAAATATCATACACAGTATCAAATTGAGATTCTTTTTCAAATGTAATTCAAAATTAAGCGTTTTAATACATTTTAGTTGAATATTTAAACATGGTACAGGAAGCAGTGAACTCTGCAGTACTAATTCGAACCATGAACCATTTAAATCAGTCTTAAATTGCCTGGGCTAAATTATTGATTTACTGAGGCCTGTGCAATGACTGTTATAGTTGTCACAGACTTTATGATATATATAGCAAATGAGGCACGCTCTGCCAATGTATTGGATCAATTTGGTAATAGTGTGACTAATCTGAAAGATAATTGAGCAAATAATTTCAAACTTCAAACATGATGTGCAATGATACATTTATGTAAACATTTAATATTCTAACGTTATCAAATTCTACCATGGAAAAAAAACGTAACCTTGGATGACATACGATTTTCACCTTGTATTATTTAGTAAGTTAATTTTGAGCTGTCATATGATATTGGAGCAAATGCAATTGTACATCTGAACTTCTTTTCATAGGAATCTGAGCAGCTGCATGAGGTTGACATGCCTGTGCTTTCTAAGTATAGCTCCCAGTGAGACAGGGTTACTTCCCACTCAATGCAATAACAATAATTTCTTGTGAAATATTATTCAATGCTCAGTTGCTGGATTTACCTATATACTGTATGCATGCTGATGCTGAGATGAAGACCTGTCATGATTCAATTAAAAGGCTATTTTACTTGTAAACACATTTGAACCTGAATACATTCATAAAATGCAGGCTCGACTAAGCAATTCATAACATCTAATTCATAACATCCAAACTCCCCGCTTGCCAGCCTCCCTAACTCCTCCCTCCACAGGCTGCAGATCATCCAAACCTCTGCAGCCCGAGTCCTCTCCTGCACCAGGCTCCGCAACCCTATCACCCCCATCCTCGCCCAACTCCACTGCCTTCCCATCACGCAGAGGATACAGTTCAAGATCCTGGTCCTCACCTTCAAAGCCCTCCATGGCCTTGCTCCCAACTACCTCTGCAGCATCCTAACCCCCTACCATTTTGCCCGCTCCCTACGCTCAGCGGGCTCCGGCCTGCTTCACGTGCCCGCCTCACCCGCCTCATCATTGGCGGGTGGGACTTCAGCCACTCTGGAACTCCATCCCGGAAGTCCCTTGCCTCCTTCAAGACCCATCTCAAGACCCTCCTCTTCTAATGTGCCTTCAGACACCCTCCTTTGCCCACCGCCCTCCACCCTCCCCGATCCCGACGCTCAGCTCAGGTCCGAAACACTGACTGTCCAGTGCCTTGGGATGTCCTCTGACGTGAAAGGCACTATACCAATGTAATTTTGTTGTTGTTATTAAATACAGTACTGTACAACTACAAGAACAGAAAAACTAGTCTAAATAATATGCCAATGTACCATTCTTTCAACAAGAGAAGTGGGGAAGAATGGCTGCATCAAAGAGGTTAAACTGTTAATAGGAAGGATAAGATAGTATTGCCATTGTAAATCTTGGTACTCTAAAATATTTATGTACCTTTTAAGAATATTATTTTTAACTTGTCCTTCACAATATTAATCCAGCTTCTATACAGATGAAGATTGCCAGATAGAAATAGGAGGCAGTTAGAACATATTGATTATATTATCAATGACCTTCCCATGAGGCACTTATAAAACACAACAGGAGCCCTTCCACGTCAGTTGGTTACTCATCAGGAATGAAAGAACTGCAGTAGTTTATCGATTGCACACAAAACAATGTTTCTGAATTCTATTATATTTCCAGTAATTCAAGTTCGGAAGCAACTACCCTCTATTTGTTGATGTTAAGTTTTCTAGTTTGCCCAACTACCACCAATACTCCAAGTGGCTTCAAGCCTAGTAACATAGGCGTAACATCAGTAAATGTCATTGCAGAAACTTGGCGGGGAGGGCATAAGAATCAGTAAAAAAAACATAGTTATTTCTATTTATATTGAAAATTTACCACCCCTTTACCATAACACCAGTCTTTACCCCATGAGAGTGCATTACAGTAACCATTTAATGATGCATTTAAACTGTTTAGAAGACAGTTATATAAAAAGTTATATAATACTATTTTAGGTAATCTGCTATTCACTTGCTTGGGGTAGGGAAGTATTACTGTTGGGAGTAATGCAAGTTTAAGCATTTAGAAA